CAAAAGATAGCCTACTCCAAGAAAGCTGTGCATGACTGGGCTAAGCAATATGGCCTCCGCTGGAAAGACGGAGACCATTTCTTCGAGCTGGCTGGAACCTCTCGTCCTGTTGCTGCCGCTCACATGCAAGCAGCCCAGGATTGGGTCGCCCAAGGGAAGACTCCTCAGCACTACGGGGGCGCCAACCTGAAGAAGCTCCCTGTCGCTTGGGTCACCAACGCGCACGGGCTCGGAGGCAGGCCTTTCGGGTAATCGAAAGCTGCCATCGTGGCTCTGTGCGTGGCTGGTCATCACAGCCACTGGACATACCGACGAGTCGACCTGGAGCTTGGCGCTAGCGCAGAGGCAGATCCCGTGGGCGGAATTGACGTTTCATCGGTGATGCATACACACGAGCATCCCGATCACTAAATCTTGATCACCCTGTCTGGCTATCCCATACTGAGCGATGGCCTGCAGAGGTGTGACACATCACAGATCCATTTCCGAATGAACCACACCGACCGTGGTATCAGGACAAGAAACGGATCGAATCCGGATTTCTTCACGAACCGGAAACGCAGCGGAGCGTATTGACCGCTGTTCTGAGGGAGCGTATTTGACCCTCGGACTGGACCCTTCTCTCGCCGAACGACACCGACAGTGGTGCCAGGACAAGAAATGGACCGATGCCGGAACAGTTGAAGGACCGGAGAGTCAGTGGAGCGTATTGACCGCTGTTTTGAGGGAGCGTATTTGACCCTCAAGTTGACGCGCACCCTGCCTGGCTATCCCGTATTTGGAGATTGGCCTGCAGTGGTGACACTAATTACAAGACGATCTCTGCCTGAACAGAAGCGACGACGCCACCAGAACACAAGACGCATCCCACTGACGATTAGATTGGGGCTGGAGGCAGTAAGTCGCGACACAAGGGCTACTGACATCAAGTGAAATCTTCGCTCACGATCTTGGATTCAGCTGAAGTTGGTTAACCTGCCTGGCTATCCTACAGCGATGGCTTGCAGGGGAACTTCACCTACAGCTTTGCTTCCGCGCGTCTTGTACTAACCATGTCGTTCGAGGTAATAAAGCAAAGCGCGAGGCGATGTACAGCTAATCAGAGATAGCTTGTAAATGCAATAATGTGACTAACCCACGCTTGGCTATCCCGTCTCGTTGGTGATGGCCTGCAGTGATTGCAGCTCGCTTTCGTGACCATCGTTATACTTTTCGTGACTCCATATTTTGGAATCGCTGTGGGCTGTTCGGTTTCCCAACAGCGCACTGGAAGCTCACGACGATAAACACGGAGACGGCAAGCGCTGAGCCTATGACTCCATCCAACTCGACTTTTGAGTGCTGCCGAGTGGCCAGACGCGGCCGTACCAGGCAATTCAAACTTTGTGTGAAGCATCTACCACTTACCCATTTGCTGGAAAGTCCACAGCCGTCCCCGACGAAACTCTACTACACGAGTTTGGCACTGAGGCGCCCTCGATACAGATCGCTCGACACTGCTTTGGTTTACAAGAAGACAATGGTATGATCGTCGAAATCGTGCCATTCAAGTACCCCACAAGAGCTGCCGGCTTTTCGTCTGGGAACGGGCGACTTCTGAGGCAACCACAGCCAGTGGACGTACACGAAGATCTCCAAGACTCTATGTGTCAAACAATCGAGAATTCCAATGCGTACTTGGTATTCTTCACGGGAAACCTGCCACACAACAGCTATATCAGCAACACAAGACGTGCTCGGAGGCAATTCTTGTATCTGTGCGAGGACGATGCCAGAGCTGGAACTGGGCCATGTATCGAGATCCGTTTCGACAGGAATGAGGTACACAGTCTGCTCACCCCATTGCCTAATGTGTACAGGATGATGAAGGACGGCCTGGAGATCACGGCAGCACTCAGCGCAGATGTGAGACGAAACTTCATGTATAGTCTCCTGGGACGACAGAGACCAGCCATCGGCTTTGAGGATCTGACCCTGACTCACCTCATAGGCCTTACTGGGGAGGTGCAGATTCAGAAGTACTTCGGTGTCTACGAAGACAGGGCATACGTGTGCGACGTTTGTGGACAGCCTTTCCACAAGCGAAAAGACTTGAACGGACACGTCAAGACGCATGCCACCATCAAGCCATACGTCCGCGACATCACCGGGTGTGGAGAGCGTTTCTTCCATCAGCACGAACTGAACAGACACACCAGGAGGCATTCGGGCATCAAGCCATAGGCCTGCGACGTGCCCGAATGTGGGAAGCGTTTCTACGAGAGGTCGCAGATCGCGTAGGTCAGATGAGATGGAGACACAGTGGCGCGCAAGAACCAAGTCGCGCGGAGACAGGGGGAGGAACTGCATACCCCATCGCCTGGTGTCATTCGAAAAGCAACATTTCGGAATCATCATGCTCCCTTGTGCTCTTCTCTGTCCCTCGAGCTCATTGCCTGCCATCATCTCTCCGCTTCCAAGGATTTTTCTCCTAGCACTAATTTGGAAGGACGATCAGAGCCGGCCCTTTCTCCACATTCACGTTACGCACGAAGCCACTCGGTATCCCCTTCGACAAGAGTTCTCGGTACGGAATACGACAGAATCATGAGCAGGAAGCACGAAAGTAGAATGAGTTCACTTTCAAACTTTCCATTTCTCCGCGATCGTCGCGCTATGCTATTTTTTGTTTGTTGGAAATCTAACACTGTCTCTCTACATCTCCTACAGCTTGTCGCTCTCGACGACAGCTACAGTAGTCTCATGCCCTTTCGTCAAACTCTTTTCTTCTTTTGATCTTATAGTTCGGCCGTATCGCGCGCATGTATCTCGTATCATCCCTTCGATTCGCCTGCGCGCCATCATTTCACACTCTCCAGAGATGTACCAAGGAGCAAGTTTCGGACCACGCAAGCCTACCTCTGACCGCACTCGTCGTGTGCAGCCGTCTCATGCGTGTCTGCCCTCGCTCTCTTGAGCTCTTTTTCCACAATTGAATGTATGAAAGGTATCGAACAATTCAAGCAACCCAGCCCAACTGTTCCAATGCATCATTTTCCGCGTCTATACTCCGCCCTTTGCTCAACTCCACTTCTTGATCAAGTCACAAGTCGTCCTCGTCAAGTTCCGAAGGCTTGAGAAGACCGCCGACCTTGGACATGCGCTCGCGCTCGGCGTCCTTGGCGTCGCGAATGGCCTTCTCGCGGTCCTCCTGGAAGAGCTCGGCATTGTCACCAGCGAACTCCTTTAGCTGAATGAGGAAGTCACGAAGGATCAGCTTGAACTTGGGCAGGTCCTCTGTGCTGTCGAAAAGCTGCTTGATGAAGTTGGTGATCTGTGCGGCCTGCAGGTTCGGGAATGCATTGCTGAGCAGCGACGCGACAAAGTTCTGCAAAAAGTCTTTGTTGGTGGTGCCGGCGGTAGCTTGGTCTGGGGTGTAGATTGGCTGAGAAATCTTGTTGGCGCCAACGAGCCAGAAGAGTCGGGCGAGCAGCATCGACTGGTACTTGAAGCCGGCCTTGTGGTCGGAATCGGTAAGGACGAAGAAGACGTCCTGCAAGATCGTCGTGTAGAAGCTCTGGAAGAAGGCATCGCACGTCTGTTGGTCGGTGTGGTTCGCCATGTTCTCAACCAACTCGATACACATGTTGAGACCCTCGCCCTCGACAGCACGATTGTCGTGCTTAGAAGCCCACATGCAGCTGTCAATGACGAGCTTGAAGTGAGCCTGATCGAGCTTGATGAGAGCCGGGAAGCAACGCTGGTTGATCGCACGCAGCAGCTTGAAGAACTCAACGCGATGTTCTGGGTATTCGGAGAAATCCTTGTTGATCATGTCGAGAGTGCATTCGAAGCAATTGTCGAGAATTGCAGGCACTTGTTCGGTCATCATGCCCTGTGGGGTCATGTTAGCGTCGTCGAGCTTACCTGTCGTCGCGAGTGCGCGTACGATCATGTATTTGCTGGTAGCCTGGGTCCAACGTACCTGAAGTTTCGTGATCAAGACAGTAATGACTGCCAGGACCTCCGCCTCGCGTGCATCTGGCACGTTGTTCTTGTAATCGAGGAGGATGGCTTCAAGCAGCTGAGGCACCAGCGTTGTGTGCACCATCTCCAGATCGTCTGCTTTCTCGACATAGGTCGTGATGAGCTTCAGGATCTCCTTCTTGATGGTCCTCAGACCTCGCACTTTGGGCATCTTGGTGGCGATGTTGCCATCACGCTGCACGGCCTCGTCGATGAGTTGTGATGATGCGCGGTACATGGTGAGCATGTCCATGTAGATCCGGCCAATTTGTGGGTAGAAGTATGCTCCGATGCTGCTGCAAGCTGCAACGTTTGTCTTCATGATGTTGCCGACGACCTTGATCGTCTCGGCATTCTGCAATATGCTCGGGTCCTGGTGGGCTGACTGGATGATCTGGTCCCACGCAGCATTGGGCAAGCTCATCAACTCACCAATCAGACGCTCCTGAGTATTCTTGTGGCCCTGTGCGCTGATCATGTAACCGCATGCCTCGTAGAAAGTATGGACCTGCTGGGGAGACAGATCGCAGGTAATCTTGCGCATGGTCTTGACAATCTCATCGATGAACGGTTCTGTCTCGCCAGGCTGTTGGATGACGAAATGCCGCTTGCACTTGTTAGCAATCTTAATGAACGTATCGCAAGCCATATCCTGCACACCCTCGTGCGTCTCGTGCATGAATTCGAAAAGCTTATTGACGACAGTCTTGAGGAACTTCCAGTGCGCCTTCAAGAATCGTGGGTACTGTCCAACAATGTACATGATGTTGGATGCCACGACAGCCTTGTTGTCCTTGCCGCGCTTCATTTCCGTAAGTCCCAGCAGGTCTTTAATGACAGTGACAAGGAAACGCTTCTCGGTTTCTTCGTTCATGGCACCTGAGATCGAACCAATAGCCCAGCAGAGCGTGTTGCAGTTGGCCCAGCTCCACTCTGTACCATCGACTTGTCGCGCCAACTTCTCGGACATGATCTGCTCAGTGTCGACGACGTCAAGATGTGTCAGGAACACTAGACATTCTCTCGTCGTCTTGTAGAGCTGGATCGTGTCCGACTCCTTGACGAACTCACGCACAATCTCTCCTTCATCGTTCTCCACAATGAGCACCTCCTCAGGTCGGACCATCTTCTCGATCATGACTTGTCGCAGGTTGGAGAGCACATCGGTGTACTTGTGCTTACGAAGTGGGTAGTTAGCCAAGATTTGTGGATTCATCGCGCCGCCTCCATTCGCCATCCCACTCATGTTGATGAGTGGGTTCATCTCTGTGATGGGGATCTGCTGCATCTCGTCGTACAGCTCACACACCAATTTCGTCCAGTACTCGAGGCAGATCTTGAAGATCTCGCGATCGTCAATCTGACTTATCCGAATGAGGTAGAAGTGGCCATGAATCAAGAAGTCTCGATTCGGTAACGCCTCGATGAGGCTGAGGTGATTGCTGAAGAAATTGCACAGGAAGAGTGCGAGATTCTGGACAAACTCTTGGTCTCTGCCGTTTGAAGAAGCGTACGTCTGTTTGAGGTCTAACGTAAGAGGAATGATCTTGGAGATGGTGGTAAGCGTCTCAGTAAACATTTCCACCAGCTTTTCGTTCCAGTTTTGCTCGGTCTGCAGGCTGCCAATCTCGGTCAAGCACTTGAGAGTGATGTTGCGGAATTCAGGCACCTCGAGAAAACGGCTGCGCAAGAGCTCGATCAGCGACATTTGAGTACCGGGTGGGGTCTCGAAGATATAGCCGAGTGGGATCCAGTTCAAAAAGCGCAACAGCGTCTCGAGTGTGGCCTTGATCAGACTGGGTTGGTCTGCGGTCCGTAGAATCTCAGAGCAGAGCTGGTAGATGCTGGTAAACTCGTCGCACATGCTCTGTTTGAGCTGGCGCGTCTTGGTACTCGTCATCTGCTCCGCTGAGAAGTCGAAGACTTCCTCTGACAACAATCGCAGAATGGCCATGTTGTTCTCGCATATGGGAAGGCTGCTACGGCATGATGTGACGATTTCGTTGATGAAGGTGGGCCAGTTGTGCGGCCACTCTTGCTTGAGAATGCTGACCAGTGTCAGGTTGAGCTTGTTGAGCAATGCGCGCTCCTTCTTCAGGCTCTCCTCCGAGCTGCTCTGTTGGATGATAACGTTGACGACGAAATTCCGGATGCCCATGCACTGGTCTCGCGGCAGCACCTTCCACCGCGTCATGATCACGTTGTCGAGCACCTGCAGCCCAAGGTACTTAGTCTGAGGGTATTGCGCCTTTTCGAGGATCTGGTCGACCATGAGCCAGGCATCGGGGTTCTCTTTGAATTGATTGAGTGAGGCTTGTGCCGCCTTTTGCTGGTCACCACGACCCTCGTAGAAGGCGCGCACCGTGGCGTCGAGCTCTTCGATTGTGGTCGCCATGTTTGTAGCCGGGTGTGGTGGTCACCACTCGAGTTCGGTGTTGGGTGTCTCGCAAGCAGGCGGGTGCTCTGAAAAGATGAACGCGCAGACCGCTTGGAGGGTGGCTAGGCGGGGTTCATGCAGCTGTGACAGCGGCGGGCGGGATAGTGAATTGCGGTGGTGGTGCACGTGAAGGAGAGGAGCCTGTCGGTGTTGGGAGCGGTGTTGAGTGGAAAGCTCTGCACTGTTAGTGTGCGAGAGAGGTGGGCGTGTTTGTGCTCTGGCTGGCCAAAGTGGCGGGTGCCGCGTGCTAGCGTGCGTGGAGAGGAGTGGAAAGCGTCACTGCGCGCGCTGCCACGATGACAAAGCGGCCGACTCGAAGCCGAATAGATTGTGCAAAGACCCGCCGTAACACTCTGAGCAGTCGCAGAAGCAGCAGCGCGGTGTTGTCAGTGTTGCTGGGAGAGCGAGCTTGGTTGTCTGCTGCAGGTGGCTGTCCCAAGGCGGCTCTAGTCGATTCGATTTGGCGGCGGGGTTTGCTCTTCCACGTGCCCTGCAGCAACGGCGTCACTTTTGCTGCGAACAAAGGTTCCCTCCTGCCTACATCATCTATCCGACATTGCGCGAGCACAGCCTGCTCATGTCTACCTACGACCTCAGAACGTGTGTGTGCTCGTAATCCCAATCAGGACACACAGTAATCGCGAGATACATCCAAACATGGCTCCCCATCCCCAAACACATCTCGCCGCTGCAGGCTCTCGGTCTGGCACAGCGACACCTACATCGGGCAGCCAAACGATCACCGCAACTTCCAGCTCGCAGCCGTCTGCTACACTTCGCCTTCGAGGCGCGTCACCCGCATCTGGGACAGGCCCACGCGTACAATGGGCTGAAGATGTCATTGACAACGAAGGCATGGGCAAGAAGAGCTCCAAAGTTTGCTGTATCTACCACAAACCTCACGAACCTGGCGACAGCGACAGTGATTCCTCCTCCAGCTCGGACGACGATAGCGACTCCGAACCCGATTTGAGCAGAGCGAGGAGAGCTGGAGACGGTGGCAAAAGAGGGAGGAAAGGCAAGCACGATCATGATCATGAAAAGGGAGAAGGGAGTGCGAAAGATAGGAAGCCGAGCCCGAACGCGTACGAGAGGCAGCCGAAATACAAAGGAAAGGGAAAGAACAAGAGCGAGGGCTGAGGATGAGGTTTTCATTCGGAGGATATTCTCTTTATTCTGGTCATCTTCTATGAGATTATCCGGACATCATTACCAAGGCAATCGACTTGCTAAGGCAGTCTGTCCACACGGGCGTGGCATCGTAACGTATACCCCTCGGAGCTGCCCGAGGGGTTCGTGCAAGACACGAGACTGGTACTTCTACCAGCCTGTAGATTTTGCAGACCAGGACGCTGGCTTCTCGGTATGTCTAGGCTAGGTGGTAGCACCATTCAGCTTTTTCGGCAGCGTGGTTGTGTGCTTCTCGAACATGGTCTGCGTCATTGCGCAGCAGCAGCAGGTAACACCACTACCTCGGTTTCGATTGCTGAGAAAGGCTGGCCGTGCGTAGGTGGAAAAAGTTGAGGACAGACGATATCAGTCCGTTCGGCGCCGCAGCAGTTCATTCACCGGCCTGGCTTTCCTGCATCGCTTTCTTCGCATGTTCAGCCTGCTCAATCGGGATGCGGACCAACGTCTGTGGAAGCTGCGGCTCTGCGTTCGGTTCCGTCTGCTGTTGCTCGTCGGCCTCCTTTGGCTTCGGGATAGCAGCTACGGCAGTATCAGCAACACATGAATAGATAGAAATACGAGACGCAGCATACCACTAGCCATGTGTATCGCTCTGAGCACAGTGTTCCAGTTCGCCATCACCGCAGCCACAGCTTCCGTGCCATTGCTCAGCGTGGCCAGCCTCTCTTCCAATTGCTGCATTTGTCCTGCCAGACCAGCGGAAAGATCGCGTAGCTGCTTCAGACTTTCCAATTCCAACTTCTTCTCGTTGATGCGCGATTGAATGACGGAGGACTGCGAGTTCGTCGACCCGTGCCCGCCCAAGCCCGAGGACGGGCGCATCATGCCGGACGTCGGTCGTGGTGCGTATGACATCGTTGCGTACCGGCGCGTTGTGTCGAAGTGGGTGCATAGAAGACCCTTCCCGCGTTTGCGCCCAGGAACGCGTTCCATCGATGAGCGTTTCGTCTCGGGCGGGCAGAGCCGCAGCTAGCGAGAAAGCTTCCTGTTTCTCCTCACAACGCGCATCTGTTTACACGGCAGGAGCTGCACGATAAGGTTACACGAGGACTCGATACACAATTTGCGATTGCTGCGCCTGTCGTATTCCTCTGGAAGTCTGGATATCCACCCGAGAACCTCTGGCGACCTTGCGCACCACCATCACTACCACCGATATCGAATTTCGCACAATCGATCATCTCATACGCGCGGGCGCACGCGCGAGTTTCGTGCATGGCGCGGTTGAACGAGCCGCCCATTGCACCTGCTCCGACGACAGCGACGAGTCTGGTCGCGGGCGTTGGTGCTGCAGGAGCAGAGAGTGTTGAAGTCTGTAAGTCGTCCTCGTCGTGCTGACGCCCCCAGCCACACACATTTCAACGCGATGAAATGCGCACGAAATCGAAGCCACACAACTTGCCGCCAGCAGCTGATTTTGCCGAAGTAAAACGCAGATTTATCCGACAGAATCGCGAACTCGCAAAGAACAATTCGACACAATCCCTCCGCATCCGAAGCTTGGAGCTGGAAGTCAGCAAGCTGCTGAGCGATAATTTAGATTTGAGGGAACAGGTGCTCAGCCTACAGAATGAGTTGTACGACGCGCGGATGCAGGCGAGCAGCGCTGCGGCAAGGAGAGTCAAGCAGGACCTGAAGGCGAAGCTGGCAGAACTCAGCGGGCTGGTAGATGGCATCGACGAGGGTGGTGATGCGGTCGAGGAAAGAGACATGCCCGAAAAAGCTCGCATCCTCAGCCCGAGCAGACAACAGTATCGCGAGAGACAACCCTTGGCCGAGCTCATGCAAGATACGCAAATGCCGACTATCACCGAGAATAAGATGTTTCCAAGACGGACTCTCGAGGAGCTGGAGATCAGGGAGATCCGTCTTAGCGGAGGCAGTACCGCGAGTGGGAGTCCAGATCTGGGGCCACCGCCTGTTGCGCATTTTGACGACCTACCAAAGCTGAGCCAGGAAGACCCTGTGGAACCAGAGGACAGTAGCAACCAAGTGGAGGAGCTTCTTCCATCTATCAACCTCGAAACACGCCGGAAGAGAAAGGATCCATCGCAACCACGGGAATCAAGGAGATCTTCAATTCTGGCACATAGTCCCGACAAGACTGATGATGCCCCAACTACGATACTGAAGACAGGTGCCAAGAGGAAACTGTCTGATCGTGATAATGACAAGCCCATAAAGCCGCCTGCGCAGGGAGACTTCACGTTCAGCAGAAAACCTTCTGCGACGCAACCAGCACCCGAGGAGACTGAAATACCGACTGTCGCGATCAAACCACCTGTGGAGTACATTGAGAGGCCGTCGTCGCCCACGAAGCCAGGAAGGAGGGTTCTTGGCGACAAGAGCACCAATATGTCGCCTGTCAAGACTACTCGCAGAGCGACGGAGCCAGTGCAAGAGGATCTGAGGAAGCCAGTCGACTCCAAGCCTACCATTGAGCGTGAGCGTGCACCATCGCGCAGCAGTCGAAGGCTATCATCCATGTCAGCAATTCCGGTCCCTGCTCCTCATGACGACGATGCACCAGCGATAGCAGAAATCGCTCCATCTCGACCTTCCTCTACTGAGGTGATACCCGAAACGCCAGCCAATTTCGATGTCTTCTCGCCCGCTACGTCCCAGCCGTCTGAGAAGAATGGAGGTCGCGATACACCTCCGCCGGCGGACCTCTCGTCGATCAGCAACACCACAGAAGGCAGCCAGCGACCTTCGCGGCGGGCACGATCAGCAGTAAATTATGCTGAGCCGTCGCTCGTGGCGAAGATGCGTCGACCTGACAAGAAGATGGCAGACGCCATATCTGGCCTGCAAGATCCGCGACGAGTCATGAGCACATCTACTACGACCAAGAGAACAGGCTCGGGTGTTGTGAAGATTAAAGAAGAAGCCGCAGACGACTCGTCATGGGGCGGCCTCCCGCATACTAGCAGTCTCAGCAGAGAGAGCATGGGCTCACCACTTCGGCATCTTACAACTGACGACCGGCCACACATCTCTCCACGCCCTTCACCTCGTGCATCGCCTGCCCGATCTTCGGCTGGTCTCTTGGGCGACATTGGAGAATCCATCGATGTCATACCCCGCTCCCCACGCTCATCCACAGCGGACTCCATCTCGACTCTACTCGCGAATTCTAGGAAAAGACGCGAAGCTTTAGATAAGAGGATCAGTCCGCCTCCAGACCAGGTTGACGCTGCGACTAAGAGGCTGGAAGAGCTCGACCTGTACGACTTCAAAGAATCCAGCTCTCCAGCAAGTGTGGACGATTCGTCATCGACGAGTGGCAAGGTCGGCGGAAGGGTTATTGCGGCTCACAGAAGGCATAGCAGTGTACCAAAAGCAACGCCACCAGCTACGGTCACTGCTGCCGCGGCCAAGAGCGCAAGTGCGAGCGCAAATGCCGGGACTACTGCTACTACGACTGTCGGACATGGCTCGCGAATGGCGAGTAGAAGACGAAGCATGATGGTGTGAGGAATTCGACATTTTCGTTGATATTGCTGTTCAGCGAGCGAGCGACTTCTGTTTGAGCGATCGTTTTTTGCTTCTGTTGCCCGGATTGCTGTACAGAGACAGAATTTCCTGAACGGGTCACTTATCGGAACAGATGGTGGAAAGGGTCGTTACTGGTGTGGGGCACGATGGCTTTGCTGGATCGGAGGAAAGTGGACGGGAAGGGGGCGCTTTCGTCGTTCTTATCGGGTTACACAGAAACAATCGAACGACCAAATCAAATTCTTCAATGCATTTCCCAACATTCTTCATTCGATCTTCCAAACCAACCGTAATTTGCAGGTTTGGGCGAACACCTTCTCGATGCATTGTGCTAGTTTTCGCGATCGTGCTGTGTGTTGGCTCTTTTCGATAGGGGCCCCTTTGCAGACTTTTTTCGGGAATATCGCATTGCTCATACGATGTGGTGCTGCTCTGATGAGAGGTTTGTCGGGCAGTTTGTTTTGTTTATGGGAATTGTCAAGAGCATCAACTTTGAGGTTGCGGAGGATGTGCTTGGGGGATTTTGTAGTAGAAAAGAAAAGCCGAGGGAGGGTTTTAGATTTTGAGTACGGAATCGAAAGAGGCCAGCCTTGGATTCAGGTCGTTGGATGATCGGGTAGAGCCGTCTGAGTGGTGCGAAGTATACAATAGTGGTAGAGGCAACGATTCAGTGTTGTGACTGACTGAATCAGGGGGAGGAGGTGAATCAGAATGTATGACCTCAGACTTTGAGGGTCTGACACCCCAGAGAGTGCGGAGATGTTGGAGAGTGCAGTGTCGTCCGGCCGTAAATGATCATATTCGGACAGGTCGGTTCCAGGGTGCGAATCGTTCAGTTTGCTGTAAAGTTTTGCGTTGGTTTCCAGAATTTCGTAAAGATGGGCCTTGCAGTGTTCGATAACATCGATGAGGATATGGCTGGGAAGTTTGGCGAGGCAGGTGGAAAGATCAGAATCTGTCGTGAGTCCATGCTCGATTGCAAGGTTGATTCGTTTGGTGCATGCGATGAAGTCGTCCACGTCTGCGGAAGAGCACATTGTGATTGTGTGTTGTTCTGAGATCTTGGATGTTAGTTGCTCGCGTCTTCTTGTTGTCGGATGCCGATGTGTTTGAGTATGGAATTGCTGTGAGTTGACTATTTCTGGTCATTGTCAAGGACTTATCTGCAGCCATGGCACTGCTTTTGTGAGTGGATTGACTTCTGTTGTGAATGCGCGATGGCAATGGTATATTCTACTACATGCACGACGGCGACCAGATGCTCGATTAAAGTATGAGTGCAGCAACGTTGTTCAGTGTCTTCTGTGCAACTCTGGCTTCCGAGGAAGAAGCGCATAGTGTCGGAGCTGGCTCGTCCATAGAAGATATGAGCAAAGCAGATCAGGTATCAACGAGCAGGTGACCATGAGAATGACCAAGTTCGACAGAAGTGTTCACCACGATAGGCCATGTTCAGCCAGAGCAGAACCTGCTAACAGTATGTAGTTTCCTTGGGAGTATCCAATGCAGCATATCAGCATTGGTCGTTCACGGCGATCGTGCGGAACTCGGGTTTGTTTCGCCGTCATCAGATTGAGCAACATTCATGCTGCGTCGCGTTTGAGACTGGAATATTCGAGACCCAGCGATTCCACGCAATTCCTCCGCGACAGCTCTGAGATCAAATTGACCAGGTAGCACAATTGTGCGATGAAGCCTTTGAAACGGTCATGTAGCTTTTGTGACACGAACAGTGTGATAATTTGGACCAGCTGTTGCAAGACCCTGTGAGTGCAGTCGATTCTGTGACTACGATCATCAATGGCGACATGTTCGGAGACTTGGCTCCGATGCATTTGAAAGCAACAATCCGCGATTCACATGTCCGCTCAGAATTTCATAAGACCCGCAACGCGTCGTCGATAGCACCGGCGAGCCGGGCGGTGTGGTTCGGTCTTGGCTGAAGAACGGCGTGGCAAGATGATGAGGCTGTCATTGTCACAATTGTCTCCGAATAATAATGCTGCCTGTTGCGTGGACCCGGCTCGGGTGTTGAAGCGCCCGGTGGACCAAAGTGAAGAAATCGAACATCACATTGACCGCCCCCGTCTCAGTTCAGCATGACACATTCTTGGGTGGCACTCCAACGCGTTATGCATTTTCTGGGCACCAAATCGTTACGGTACTCCGAACTGGAGCGAGATTCGTGCACAGAGCTGTTACACCCCCAGAGCTTGGGTTTCTACAATATTCGCCGAGACGAGTCGTACTCGCGCAAAGCCCCACCGCGCGCTTGGTCAGCGTTTCGAATGGACGCCATGGAAACACGAGCTTGGTCGAATTTGTAGGTCAACTGCCACAACCACAGGCCAGAAATTAGCAGAGTGTGCACAGGAAAATTGAGAAGATTGGATGTGCCAGAGGAGAGGGTGTGAATCCTGCTTTCGCTACTCCTGAAACGGTGCGTCGTGGTGATGGGGGATTTGCCAGAAAGATCTGGATTGAGCTCGTGTCGTGAAGCATCCCTGCTGGAGGATTGCGCGTTGCGCGTTTGACAACTGCTGGTCCCTGCTTTGTCCCATGTCTCGCGCAGCCCATTGGGTGGTCGTTGCAAGCGCGCTCAGCTCGTGTCTCTCTCATTATCATCAGAAGGCATTCTGTATAAGCTCTTTGGTGTATGGAGAGAAGTGCTGTGATGATGCATCCAAAGCAGGTTTCTGTGATGTCAGCAGGAGAGCAGATTCGTACTCAAAGTGCTTGAAGACCCACCGGGCGACGCTCCAGTCCCGTGGCACGGGCGCGGCACGCGACAAAAAGTCTAAAATAGAATGCTGAGCGGAAGTACGAGCCCGAACAACCCAGCAAGATGCTGCCCCAAAGGTGGCGCCCTGCGGGTTTTCTCTTCACGAGCTGATGCATCCACGACCATTCCTTTCCGTCTTCTCATCACCGACCCACAGACAACCACTTCACATTCACTCGCTTGAAATTCATCTTGTAGTTTTGAAAGAAACACGAGACTCACCTTCGCTTGACCATCACTCATCACACTTGATCACCGCCCGAAGCCTACGTCAGCTCCGCCCGGAAGACCCGTCGGCGTTCGTAATTTTGAGCTTGCGGCCAATCGTGATCTTCCTGACTAGAGTCTGTTGAAGACCAGAATTGCTTGGCATATGACACCCCAACAACCCTACCAGGCCTTCCCAGCATCCATCATGCTCGGACTGTTCCTTGGATTCGCCCAGATTGGAGCAGAAGAACTTCCTGCCGGTATTGTTCCCAATAAGAGACAGGTCGTCGGAACAGGAGTCACTTCCAGCGCCGCCGAAACAACATCATCAGAATCAGAAATGTCGAGCTCAACGAGCAGCGCCCCGCCGGAGGAGACGACGAGCTCCGCTCCAGCAGAGACGACTCCCACGACGCAGCCCGAGACCACGCCGACAGCAGAAACGACGCCGACGACAGAGGCAGCGCCCTCAACAACGAATGTGCCGACTTCGATCGATGTCACCACCACGAACGCCGATGGCTCGACCGTGACTTCGCGAATCGCAACATCGACCGCGGTGGTACCAACCACAGCATCGAGCGAAGTTGTCGACTTGGGCAGCACGACGATTAATCGCTCAACCCTCTCCAGCGCCACCGTAGTCACCGCACCACTCGTAACATCTCGAACCGAACTTTCGACCTACACATCCGTCTTCACATCAGATGGCTCAGCTTTTACTACCACTGGCACAACTCAGCGTGTAATTGCGAGCACCACCGGCTTTGCGACGTCCACAATCGCACCTTCAATTCAAGACGGCGGTTCCGGTGGCGGAGGTGGCGGATTATCGTCCAGCTCGCAAAAGATCATTGGAGGAGTCGTCGGTGGTATTGGAGGAGCGATACTGGTTGGCGGCGTTGCGCTTGTGGCCTGGAGAATCTGGGGCAAAAAGAAAGCACAGAAAGAAGCCGCAATGGATCCATTTTATGGCGGCGGCGTCGATTCCCAGAATGACAGTGTGAGGAAGAGTTCGCCACAGCTTGCCAGTGGGACGGGGTTGGAGAGATATCAGCAGCCGCACAACAACCCGGGTGTTGTGAACCCTGGGAGTGTGAACACGGCGAGCAATTTCTAGGAATGAAGTCCTGATCGGTCCGCGAGAAAGAGACGACAGATCCATCCTTGGATTTTCTGATTTTGTTTTGCTGCAATTTGAGCGTAATGATGGGAGAACGGAATTGACATCATCGGAAGGCTGCATGGACAGGCGAGCTGCTTGGAAATAGATCGGATGGGAACATATTGATGAGACGAGATTGCATTTTGAGAGGTGTCGATAGATCGAAACGGCTGCGACACAGTAGAAGGAGAAAAGTTGAAACGACGATGAAGAAGGGGAGGGATCCCTCACATTCTCTTGTGAATATTTCCGGACGTAGAGGAACTGGTAATCAGTAGAAGAATATTGAGATGATTGTAATGAGCTGGTCTTGAGGTCATTCTTTGTCGTTTCGAGGTTCAAGGAAGGCGGGTGCGCAGGTGTGGGCACTTCTTGGTGTCGCTGATGTTTTGACAGGTGCCTGGCCCTTGGAATGTATTGGCATTCCCGCAATCGATTCCGGGCGAGTTCTCGAATCGCTGGACGCATTACCGACTTGAGTCGAGTTGACCTGCTGCGAGAGAAGAAGCCGCCGAGCCTTCACTAAGTCCCTGTGGCTCAGCCGTGTCGCTGCTGGCTGATTGTCTTCCCGTTCTTGTTCGGTTCTCGCTGCACGTCCTATCTGGATTGGAACTGGTCACTGGGGTTCATGGTTGATGCAGAAGCGCTGTTGAGGTGTGTTGAGTCCGTCGTTGCTCTTTCCTCTTCATGAAGTGTCTGTGCTTTGAGCGACGACTTCACCTCCTGTTCACCGCAACACCCGATGTTCCCACAACACGAAATTACACCATTGCTGGTCAGCGGATGACTTGTACATGTTATGGGCGTTCAGTGTTGGGGTAATATTTCACGGCATGGAACTTACAGGGCACTGCCTGCTCTACCACTGGCGCTGGTAAATGCGACCGCCAGACAAGCAGTATGCATACTTGTGTAATCGACTTTGGCTTACGATATTGGCTTCTCGATGCCTTCGGCATAGTGTGTGTGTATATCGGTCGCGTTTCGAGCAGGATGGTCACTACCTGGTTCTGGCTTGGTCATCACAACGATGGTAGCCATTTTATGAGCTCGTGAAGATAGGTCAAATATCACTGGGTGAATCTCAGGGTTGTCGACGGATCAAAACTGGTAAACACGCACAGTCGCTGCCGTTCTGGTGCTGTGGACTACGGTAGACTGCACGTGAGCAAATTGAGACGCCTTCTGGCAATGATCTGCTTCTTGCTTTCTTTTCCGACCATATCTGACAACTAGGTATGGCGCCTACCTGCATCAACGTATTGCTCATCACCACGCCAGCTTGTAACGAACGGTGGCTGCTGACACCGTAAAGATTGCAAAATAAACACGAAAAGGAATTATTCCTCAAATCTCTCCCTAGACATATGTTATTACAGGCACACCATCCGCGCGTCCTGAGAAGCTTGCTGCCCGCAGACCTCGGAGTCTGTTAGCAGTCTGAAATAAACCTGGAGGCTTGGCGCAGTTCGATCTGACATAATAAAAATTCTCAAGTGATTGATGTCTACAAAAGTTTGCGAAAGGCATTTCTCATCCTGCCCACAAGCAGCAAGCTACCGAACAACAAAATGAGTCGTCTCTCGCAACAAAAATGCAAAAAAAGACAATCTGAATGTTGATGAGAGTGGCTAGTCTTGTTAGTTCGTGGTTTTGGAATTGACCTCTTTGGTAGAGCTTACGATTCGAACCCACGCCCTTTCGGACTAGCGGATTGAAACCAACTGAATGATTTCCTTAAGCTAGCGCCTTCTTGGCGATTGTCAGCGAATGTTTGTAGGTGAAGAAGTTGGAGGTGAATACTCACAGACCGCTCGGCCATCTCACCGTGTGATTGGATGTTGTTAGAGCAGAAACTGTTGTACATGATGCTTCAGCAGAGCTCAGACAGCACGAAACTAGCCTGGAAAGATTGCAATCTCTTCGATTGGGTAATGGGTGGGGATTTATCGGAAATTTCTGGATGTGCGTGGTCCGTGCGCCAAGTGAAGACTTGGCACTTTTACTCCACAACCTTTGCTACCATGCAGCAACGACTTCTACAACGCCTCTATGCGACCTTGAGAGCCTGCAACGATCGTTCCATATCATCAGGCGGTCATACCCGACTGTATCAAGCATGTTCGCGTCGTTGAAAGCGACCCTATAATTAGCCGCGAGACGATTTCCGGCGCCACGTCTCGTGGCACAGGGTGCGAAAATGGGCCCAGTCGAAGCAGAAGGTGCTTCACGCATTCCAAACAATGTCGTCGAACGATTCAACTGAAGTGCTCTATTTCAATCAACGGCAACCATTCAGACAATGTCTACCATGCTACTCTGGACTGGTCAAATTTCTCCGTCTTCACAGCACTTTCCTTGTATGCAAAAATGAGGCAGGAGCATATTGAAGCACTACCATCAGACTCAACATCGCTTTACCTTCCATACCCCGCTTGAACTCGAACATGACAGCGAATTGTGTGAGCTAGAGCTTCTAGATCCGCTCCACGGCCTCGCGATAGTTTCTCACGATGCAGCATCGCTCCTGCATTGCAAGTCCTATTTCGGTAATAGTCCATTGCCGGATTACCTTTTCAGTACTTCCAGCTTCTGCTACATAACCAACATCAGCAGACAACTCACTTCACCAGTTCTTGAACATTGCATCGTAGAGAGAAATGGCCTCAATTGGACGTCTTGCTGGCAAGGTCGCCATAGTAAGTCGGTCAGTCTCACCCTGATTTTTCGCTAAGAGCAGCCAACAGATCACCGGCGGAGCATCAGGAATAGGCCGAGCAACAGCCCTCGCATACACAAAAGAAGGCGCCAAAATCGTATGTGCTGATATCCGAGAAACCACTCGCTACAAAGGCAGCAGCGAAGAAAATGGCACGACAGTAGAACAAGTAAAAGCCCTCGGAGGTCGGGCAATTTTCAGCCCTGTCGACGTAACCAAAGCAGAGTCCGTCGAAAGTTTGATCCAATCTGCAGTCAAACAATTCGGCAGACTTGACATTATGGTCAATAATGCTGGCGTATCCCTCGAAGCAAAGAATTTCCGTCCTGTGTGGGAGATCGAGACCGATATCTGGCAGGGGACACAAGACGTGAACTCAACGGGTGTGTTCTTTGGGACGAAGTATGCTGTGCAACAGATGTTGAAGCAGGAACCTCATTCTAGTGGTGATCGGGGATGGATCATCAATACTTCTTCGATTCTCGGCTATGTTGCTGCAGAGCATACTGCGGCTTATTGTGCGAGTAAAGGCGCTGTGCTGAATTTCACAAGAGCGGCGGCGATAGATTGTGCCCCACATCGAATTCATGTCAATGGGCTGGCACCTGGGTATACACAGTCGTCGATGACGGGGCCTTTGTGGGCTGATCCTGTTGCAAAGGCCAAGTTGGTAGAGAAGCATCCTTTCCGAGGTTTGGGCCAGCCTGAGGATCTTGCGAAGGCTGCTGTTTTCTTGGCTAGTGAGGATGCTCAGTGGGTGACTGGGGTGAGTGGAAAAATTTTGGGCTGATGAGATCTGTGCTGACTTCGTGATCAGCATACGCTTCCTGTGGAAGGTGGTTACCTTTCGCGCTGAGCGGCAAAAGAGAAAGCACCTTGCTGACAATGTTGAGGAAACGAGTCTGACAACGGGAATTGTGTTCCCAAGGAACAATGTTGGAAGGATAGAATCCTTTCATGTAAAAAGACCTTCATGCAACTTGCAAACTACACGCAAATTGCCGCTCAATCAACCCTGTCCAAACGATCCACAACAATCTCCTTGGTGTCACCGTTTGCAGCAGTATCAGGCGCAACGATATCGGCTCCTCCAATAGCATCCTTGATGTGAAGAACAACCTTGGGCCCAGTGAATAAACGATCGATTTGTTCGAGCGACAAGTTGCGTGTCTCTGGGTAGAAGAAGTAGATCAACGGCAAGAAGCATGCGTTGAAGATGGCAAAGTAAACTATGAATTGTTAGTGATGTCGTTCGTGAACAGCTTATGATTAATTTTGCTCACTGTAAGTCTTGTACCCGATGCTCTTGATACTGACAGGCGTGATCTCGACGACCAGGAACGTAAAGATCCAATTGCTAGCACTGGCCAAACTGGCAGCTTTCGTACGAATGGCCAGCGGTGCGTACTCTGCCGGCAGCAGCCATGGAATAGCAAGCAGACCGACAGCAAAGAAGAAGTTGAACAAGAAGAGCATGATCGTTGCAACAATGCCAGAGGAAGTAGAGCCATCCCAGACTGTTCCGGCAAGGATTGCCATGCAGCATGCTTGTCCAGCACAGGCGAAGAGCATGAGTTTTCGGCGGCCGAGTCTATCGAGGACCCAAATCGGAGGGAGTGAGGAGAAGAAGTATGCAATCCCGTTGAAGCCAGCGAGGAGCAGCGAGAGTGAATGAGATAATCCGACCGATTGCTGGAAAATGACAGGGGCGTAGTAGGTGATGAGATCTGTATTGCTGTAAGCATTACGCAAATGAGAATGTGTCAAGTATGTCTTACTGATGCCGCTGAGTTGCTGCATGAATTGCCCTCCAATACCCAACAGAGTGCGGTACCTGAAGCGCTGCCCGCCGTCTTTGGTCAAAGCTCGAAAGCCATTGCCAGCTGCTGCAGCACGTTCTTCATCGACAGCATGTTTGATATCCGCCATTTCGTGATTCACGGTATCTTGATTCTCGGAGGAAAGACGGAGGCGTGAGAGGACATCGCGAGCCTCTTCGAAGCGGTCGTGCGCAATGAGCCTGGGCAACGTAAGCAATATGATTTAGCTGACGAGGGATCATAACTGACCATCTTGGTGATTCAGGGCACGCGAAGAGTCCCGCAGCTGTGACCAGAGCAAATAAGATCTGAAGAGCCAAGGGGAATCGGAACTGTGATTCATTCGCAACAAAGCTCATCCCGTAATCGACCCAGTAAGCAGTGGCCACGCCAAAGATGTTGATTGCAAGCTCAATGGACAGTCCCTTGCCTCGCTTCTCTGCTTTCATGAGTTCGGAGTGCCACACAGCTGGAAGTGGTCAATATTGTTCTTTGCCATTGAACCCCCGTGAACCTACGAATTGTACTCGTGTTGATACCATTCCCAAGCCCAGCCACGATGCGACCGACGATCATTTGTGGGATGCCATAAGAAGCGGCCTGGAGAGCAGCACCAATGCTTAGAACAAAGCACCCAAGCCATATGCAGTTTCTTCGTCCAAGCTTTTCTCCAAACAAGAGACAGAAGATACTGCCGAAGAAGCAACCAATTTCGTAAATGGCTACGACTGTGCCTTGGAGGGAGGACGATCCGGTGCCGGTATCCGTGGTGTCAATTTCTGGGAATTGTTTGGTGAATGCAACGCCTGTCAACAGGCCAGACATAACACCTTCAATGCGTCAGTGGACGCGCATCTCAGCCAAATCCCATCGTCCTACCTTGATCATAACCGAATAGAAGGAAACCAGAACCGGCCACGGCCGTAATGGCCCAATTGAGAAGGCGGCCAGACAAAGGCATGATGTTCAATACTGTCGAGCGTGCAAGAGCCAGAAAACCGGGATAGCACTCCTACCTGTACTTTTATGTCTATCGCGTGTTCACCCGCATCATCGGCGTGCCCACGTTCGCCCACATGGCGAACCCTGGTCGGTATGGGGCAATTGATGGAGAAGTGTGGGTTGTGTAACCCTCTCAGGGCACGGTGGGCGCGTAAAGATTCTTCATCGGCATCCCGCATGCGTGCAAAAGTTTCGACTTCATGCTCCGTGCCTATCAAGGAAGATGTTCGGCAACGGTGGCCTGTGCTACTGAGTTCACCATGGGGAAACTGGTCTTGTTTTCTGAGTCCTCCGCGTTCAGTTCTTGTTGGAGATTGGTCGAAGTTAGGGCCGCATGTTTGATGCAGATGCCGAAGATGTGCCTCGAGGTGCAGTACCATATCCCGCTTGGTCGTCGAGGCAATTGGAAGCGCGATCCGACATGTTGGTTGGGATGCTAGGTGACGTCGAGACAAGAGTCAAAAATGCGGACAGCATTATGCTTGTAGCTGTTCTCCATCTCTTGGCCCTTACAAAATCTAGTCTGACTGTCGAAGAAAGACTACAGAAGTACATAAAGGAGAGAAGAAGTGACGATGCTCACTGCTGGCCCGAATCCGGAAAAAGGAAACGCCGATCTTGGCGGCTATGATGCATGCTTTCCTATTCGATTACTCGCTAACCGAGGCCCATCACTCATCTTTACGCGCTATGGCCGAATATCGTTGGCACCTCACAGAGGTGGGGAGAGCCGCAGTGCTGACATGTCCTTTTCATCATTGCTATTGCATAGCTAGTTTGTCGACGGGTTGTACCACATACGGAGCGCTGCAGGACCACCCGAGAGGAATCCATCAAGATGCCGACCAAGTCCTCATACGCTGATGTCACGGTCCCAGATGTAGACATCTGGGGACTTATGTTTGATCGCAAAGATCGGGACTTTGGAGATGACCAAGGTATGTGCCGAGTGGAACAGCTCGAGATCACATGCTAACGTGAAGTAGTGATATATCGATCTGCCCTAAACACCAACAGGTTATACACGTTCGCGGACGTCAAGGCTGCGGCTACAGCATTCGGAGAAGGCCTCTGCAACCTTTGGGACTGGCAACGTGGCGATACTCTCAATATCTACGCACCAAACGACATTGATGTCGGACCAATTATTCTCGGTGTCTTCTTTGCTGGAGGCATCGTGTCTCCTGCAAACCCTGGCTACTCTGCAGATGAACTCGCCTTCCAGCTCAAGAACTCCGAGAGCAAGGCTATCGTTACTACCAAGGCATTTCTACCCACCGCATTGAAGGCCGCGAAGGAAGCGGGCATTGACCAAGATCGTGTAATCATCCTCGGCGAGGAGAAGGATGACACACACCGTGTCAAGCACTGGACCAACATCCGCAAGACTTCGGGAGCGCAGCGCTACAAGCGACGAAAGGTCAAGGATCCCAGCAAGGACTTGGCGTTTCTTGTGTACTCTTCTGGCACAACTGGTCTTCCCAAGGGCGTCATGCTCACGCACCGGAATATCGTCGCCAATCTGAATCAGGTCCACGCCATGGCAGGCACATACTACAAAAGTGGCCAAGACAAAATTCTAGCAGTGTTGCCATTCTTCCATATTGTAAGTCAGCAGATTTGTTGAATGGGAGAAAGCGACTAACCTTGGTCTTTCACACTAGTACGGTCTCACAGCCCTCGTCCACCAACCTCTTCACCGCGGCATCGAGCTTGTGGTAATGCCAGGCTTCGACCTCAAAATCTTCCTCGAATCTATCCAAAAGCACAAGATCACTTACATTTACGTCGCACCACCAGTCATTGTGCGACTTGCACGAGATGACACAGTCAAGAATTACGACCTCAGCAGTCTCCGAATGATGACTTCGGGTGCGGCTCCATTGACCAGCGAGCTCGTGGAGACGGTGAACTCAAAGTACAATATCAAGATCAACCAAGCATATGGTCTCTCTGAATCCAGCCCAATGTCACATTGCCAGCCTTGGGAGGAGTGGCAGTCATCTATCGGATCTGTAGGCAAGATCGCTCCGAATATGCTGGCGCGGTATGTAAGTGCTGAAGGAAAGGAATTGGGTCCGGGAGAGACTGGAGAGCTTTGGATGGCAGGTCCAAACATTTTCCAAGGTTACTGGAAGAACAATGCCGCGACGAAGGATTGCATTGAGGTCGTTGACGGCCATCGATGGTTCAAGACGGGAGATGTCGGCTTCCAGGACGACAAGCACAATTTCTACATCACAGATCGTGTGAAGGAATTGATCAAGTATAAGGGTTTCCAGGTAAATTCGCCCTTCCTCTTCTCCTTGATTTGGCGTCCGAGCATGTACTGATCAGATGTAAAATGTAGGTCGCCCCCGCCGAGCTCGAAGGCAAACTCTTGGACCACCCTCTTGTCGACGATGTCGCCGTCATCGGTGTCGACGACAAATCCCAGCACACCGAAGTTCCTCGCGCATACATCGTGCACAACAAACTCGGAAAAGACGCGGGCGACCCGAAGACGGGCAAACCCACGGACAAAGCAGCCAAAGATGCAGAGGAGATTATTGAGTGGCTGGGTAAGAAGGTTGCGCATCACAAGAAGCTGAGAGGTGGCATCCGATTCATTGAAGAAGTGCCGAAGAGTCCGAGCGGAAAGATCTTGAGGAGAGTGTTGAAGGAGAGGGTCAAGGCGGAGGAGAAGGAAGGCAAGGCGAAGCTGTGATGTTGCTACCGAATTCGGGTCTTGTCTTTGCTGCAAGTGTTTCCGGCGACAAAGAATGGATGCAAAGCCGCCAGATGTTTTTGTATCCATGAATGTATCTGTGTATGTATGTGTGCGCTGTATCATCGAAACCTGTTGAGCGTCTTCCATTTCGCCCGGGCGATTTTGACCCTCAATATGATTCCTCTTATCTGCAGGCCAGCCGTTGCAGTTGATGGAGCACAAATCGCCACGTTGTTATTCGTGCTATAGTCGCATTTTAACACTACCTCTCCAGCAGTCCCAACTTCTCAAAACTCTTGATGACAGGCTTCTCCTTCCTCTTCGCAGTCAACGCCTCGAACAAGACACCCTCGCCACCCCACGGACGATGCATCTCCGGGCCCAGGCCGGACTGCCCGGGCTGCTCTTGCTCCTGCAGAGGCTGAGCCTGCTGCTGAGCACCGTCCTCGACAACAAAGACTTCATCCAAGCAGCTCCTACACGCCGCCTCCACATCTGCGAATGCTGACTCCACAGCAACAGCTCGTTCCCGCATACACCTCCTCATCAACCCCTCCACAAGTCGACTGACATCGGAGCCCGTCTCGTTCAGCCTCTCAATCAATCTCTCGATCGAATTCACCAGATACTCTTCCTCATACACCGTACCCTTCTTTCCTCTCGCGCGCTTCCTCTCCTCTTTTCGTCGATTCTTTGATGTCTTTCGTGTCGCATCCGTTGCAACGGACCCGAGCAGATTACTCTTATTACCAGTATACCGAGTCATGAACGTACCAGCGCTCGTAGTGGCATCTGTAGGTGCGAGGGAAATGTCATCCGGGATATCCACATTCGCTGCTGCGCCAGAGCCGTCGAGGAAAGCCATCGGGTCTTCTTGTTTCTTCTGTCGGAGATCACGGAGGCGAGGGAGTTGGTGTTGAAGCTGAGTCTTCATCTCGGCGAGGAGCTCAGTTGTGGTTGCGGAGGTCTCGATAAGACCAGGATCGATGACGGATTTGAGCAGGTCGAGTTGTTTGCGTTGGGTTACGAGGCGAATAGCCTCTGCGAAAGCATATGCTTTGCATAGGAGTCTGCAGGCCTCGTTGAGATCATTGAGGTATTCGAGGTGGATTGTTGCAGCTGAAGTGTAGTCTTTGGACTCCTCGCAGCCTTCTGCAAGATCGCGTGCTGCGGCGAGGACCTGCTCCTCAGGCATATCGGCCGTGCATGAAAGACATTCTCGCCACAGGGAACCCACGCTGCGATATGCTTCAAAGGCAGCAGAGTAGTTGCCGATATACTCGAAGGCGATACCAGCTTCCTTGTAGCGATTGCGCGAGAGCAAGAAGTCGGCATATATCCGCGTCAGCTCCGTCAGTCTCGCATTATCGTAGCGGTAAAGCTCAATCGCTTGACTGTATAGCTCATGCTTTGCAGCGTAAGCTTTGACTTCATCGAAGGCCTCAAGAGCATGTAGGTGGCCTAGAGCTTTGACGTGACGCTTGAGATCATTGTCGATGGCGAATCGCTGACGAAGAGGCTCCATGTCCTTCAGCGACTGCAAATAGGGTAGGTACTCCCGAGGGTCTTTCTGCGATTGCTGTGCCACAAGTAGTGTAACCTCCAAATCGTAGATACCCAGTGCCGTGTCGTAGAGCCTGTTCGCATCCGCCAGAAAGCAGATGTGATCTACAGCTTGCTCTAGCTGATCTTGTCTGCCCTCCTTTCGAAGCGTCGAGACAAGCGCGAGACCAGCAGGAAGATCTGGAGGATCTTTGCAGACATGCGCTGTGATGATCGACTGCAGATACGTCTGTTCTTGATTTGAAAGTGCTTTGAGGAAAGCATCGCATACCTTGTTGACCTTCGACGTTGTCGATCCTGTCGATTGCGTGATATTGCCGTTTGTTAGCCCATTCATGCCTGATGAAGAGCCCTGCGACTTCAAAGTCTCCTTGTAGATCGTCTGGCTGACATCCTCTTCGGACAGCGAGCTGAGGAAAAGATCGATGTATTCGACTTTCTTCACTTGCTTGATGAAGAGCTCAACATCATTCATGAACTGCTCAGGCGCATAATCGTGCAAGATGTTCATATCCACTCTCTGTGTCCGGCAGATGAGAAACGCCTTCTTGTACTCTCTCTTGCTGATCTCATGCCGAATACCCGCTAGCACCAAGGCTCGTGGGTAAATCGTTTCGAGATTGCCTCGTGGCATCTGCAGAACGAGGGAGTATGCACCAGGCATGACTGTGACCAACTTCGCACCTCTCTCAATGTTTCTGCATCTTTCATCTTTCTCAGGCTCATCAGGCGGCACTTCGAGCTCACTGTCGTTTTGCAAATGCACAAACTTCAGCAGATGGTTGCTGGTCGTGTACACAAGATGCGTATGAGTTACAGCAAATGAGGTGCACCCGGTGATTCTCAACTTCTGCAGGTCGCTCTGGATGTGCAGCAGCCCGCCCGCTGTGAGACCGAAAAGGATGTCGCCGTCGTCGCCGTGCCACACCTCCACCTGCGGGCAGGCATTTGGGAGCGTCCCGACAATCTCTTTCGTCTGAAAGTCATGAACAGCTCCCTTGCTATCCTCGAACAGTATCCGATCGTGATTAGTAGGTCTGAACAACGAGACCACCTCCGTCTCGATCCGCATATCGGATGTACCAAAGTCCGAGACAGTGCTGATTCGCGTGCCTTCTTCGGCTGGTGTCGAGGAGGCCACAACTATTCCGTCATCCGCATCGAAGCAGAGCTGTTGTCCTGATGTGCCAGGTGGCAGATCCAAGTGCAGAGACTCTAGTATCTTGGCTTTCCTAGCCGGCTTCTGACTATAATTGCAGTTCAGTACTGAGATCTTATTCGAGTGCAGCACTCCTATCCGCATGCCGCTCGGGTCAACAGCCACATCTATCGCGTTATCGGGCAGGTCAATCTCGTCAAACGCCATTGGTGGAGGAACGTTGGCAGTCCGCAGCGGCGTGACCTTCAGTCTCTTCCCGTCAATCACAGCCACGACCCCGTAATCAAAAGGTGGCTTGACACTTCCTCTGGACACCTCGAAAGAGTAATTGAGCCATCTAAGATCCTGACCAGTATGAGACGCCAGCTGCAAGGGCTTTTCGGAATGCCAGTTCGTTTTCACTTTATCGTCTCCCGATGGCGTTATCGAGATATCCTGCTTGAGGTAGTAGTGGTAGTTGCCCATCGTCCATAGCTGTACTCTGTCCTTCATACTCACAGCCAGGACGCTAGAGTCTGAATTCCACTGCAGGTCGATCTTTTGCCCAAAGGTATCGCATTCGTCCTTGGATAGCCTCAATTCGAATTCGCCGTGTCGTAGACCGTTCCTCTCGAAGAATACAACATCGATTCGCTCTTCTGTTTCTCGTCTCTGCACACCAGCAATAATCTGCCCACTGGGCTTCCAAGCGACAGCACTCTCCAAGCCATCGACAGGCTCAGAAGCAGAGTCAAGCACGCCTTCTCTCGAGTAGACTCGCACAAGTCTCCGCCTCAACTTCTCCCCGTCCTCTCGCCCATCCACTTCCACGACCGAATTCACAGCAACAAATTCGCCATCGCCTCTCCAGCTGACTCCAACACTCTCGCCATCGTCATACTGACTCAAAACACCACGATCAACCACATCCTTCACAGTCGGATCCTTCAGACCCTTCGCCCTCGCACCAGGACCCAAAAACTGCGTTTCCTTCTTTCCCCACCCAACATCCACATGCAGATTCGCACTATGCAAAACATCTTCTGGACGCAATTCAATCGCAGATCCATCAGTCGTACTCTCATAATCCCGATTCATGAACAGAATCGTTTGGGCTTTCGTGACGATGACGAGCAGTTCTTCATCCGGCGACCATTCCGCGGCAGAAATTCCCACGTCCACGGATCCGACGATTTCAATAAGGTCTTGGCCATCTTGAGGGTCTTCGCGGACGACGATGATGTCTCCACCGGCGAGGATGAGAGAGATGGTGCCTTGGTCCGGGTGGCTGTGGATGTTCAAGATTTTGTCGTATGGAAGATCTGGGTTTGGGGAAGGAGCGTCCCAGGATGCGATGAGGGCGCCATCGGATGAGGGAGTATTTTGGGTCTTATTGTAGCGCTTGAGAGTTATCGCTGGGTTTGTGGGCGTCGGTCCAAAGGCGCAGATGAGATTTGAAGGGCCGTCCCAGGCTGTTGCTGTGAGTGGAGATTCGGAGTCAGAGGCGGGAAAGTGGAAAATTGAGTGCGAGATGTTGCGGAGGTTCCTCATTTTGGCTGGTCAGAAAAGAGAGTATTTGAGAGCCTTGGATTCGTGAATATCATTGCATCGTGTCGAGTTGTAGTGGTTGGACATTTGATAAAAAGTTCACATGCACGAATTGAAGTTCTGAAGTCACGGAGCCAAGGCCGCAGCCAATCACGACGCGCAAAAGTGTCAGATAGATGGGAGCAAAGAGGAAGCGCACTGCTGCTTGGTCGTCATCCATTGACATATGAAATGGCTCTAGAAGTATCTGTACAATGCCATTGTTTCTAACTGCCTGCTTTCCAGCCACTCCTCGATGCGCTTGAATACACAGAAGCTCACTTCTTCCTTCCCAGTTTCGCTCGTCTATTGGTTCTTGTACGTTTGCCAGACTGTACTCCTCGTCAGCGCCTGCCTATCCAGTACTGCCTGCAGCAAGTTGCGCAGCATGTTCTGTACTTACCAGCAATGCCGAATGGCAGTCCAAATCCAGTAGCTGTCCTCCCTGTCAGTGTCTCCCTTCACTTTGCTTCTACTCTTCCATGACCCACCCATAAATGCCCAGTACCGGAAGGCAAAGAATCTGGTCAGAGGGTTGAATGGGATGTTGCTTCGTGGACCCTCTGGGTAGTGGTATGGCGAGCCGAACTGTGGGCGGGTGGTTGTAAAGTTGCGGCGGAGAGCGGCAGTTGGTGCGCGGCGCGCGATGACACGGGATTGGGCGAGCATCTTCGAGGTATGTTAGCAGAGTCTCAGGCTTCCGGACGGTGGATCGTACGGTGGTGGTGTGGCTCGTCGCGGTGGTGAGAGTGGAGAATGAGAGATCGTGGTGATGTTGCTATGTTCGACCTGCGCTGGTGACGGTGATCTTTCGGAAGGAGTGAACGGGATCTCCCGCGCAGAGCCGCATATCTGCATCTCGACCTCGAAACCACTCGACGAGCATCGCACAAGCGACTGAAATTTCCATTGTGAGCATCAAGCGCTCGCCGACATGCAAATGTCTGTTGGGCCTGTGCTTCACTTACGAGCTCGCTAGGATCGCGCGATCCCATTTCTCTCAGAAGTGTCGAGCATGACTGATCACAACTGCTACCGCCAGAAGCATGATTGCCGTCGCGAAGAACGTAGATACTGATTCAATCTCAAGCTGTACTCCTGAACCGCACTTCGCTCGCCCTCTCAAGCAATCTCCGTCTCCATGCGATCGATCAAACGCTTGGCTTTCTCACTGCCAGCTCCAGGAGGCCTTGTTGTCCGAAAAGTTCAACGCAGGACAAGTATCAAGCAGCGCGTGAAACATAGTGAATACAATCTGTGTAGACGGCACGGCATGGGAGGCACTGTAGAGAACGCATCTCCAGTCGGGCTAGTACTGCAGAAGAGTTGGACAGCGTGGAGACAAGCTCGGTCACAGGCATCAAGTGACGGATCATACCAGGTTCAGGCCCAGGCCGTCTGCGATTCTTGGAGTCAGTGTAGGGAATGTACATCAGTGCCGAGCGACTGTGGCCATGCCTCGGAACAGGAGTGGCGGCAAGTCGAAAGATTTCAAGATCAGTGGCGTTGGTAACATTAACAACTCCCCTGGGACATAAGGAGCCACAATGCGCAAAGGTCATCGGCATACCAATAATCAATACAGCAACATGACAAGTAGTCACCGCCGACGCACTAGGCTTTCACCTGCTACGATATAGTCGCCTTTGCAATAGGGAATCCTCCTCACTTTCCCAGCCTCGTGCTCTGCTACAATGTTCACGAGGCGCAACTTCAGTTTCATTTGCCCTTCGCTTGCATGTGCTTTTGTGACTCTGCACATGCCGAGCTTTCCTCACTACTGCAGCTTCACTTCACTTAGCTGCCTAACGACCCACTTACCAGCACACTTTTACTCGCCTTACGCTTTCTTCTTTGCTCTCTCCATCAATCGCGAAAATTTACAAACACCAACACCACACGCGTATACCGGAAATACATCACGACAACAGGCGCCATCTTTCAGCAAATATGGCCATCAACGATGCGGTTCCAGGCGTCGAAATAGCCATCACGGTTGATGGGAAGTCGCTCCAAGAATACACGGAAGCTGGCTTTGAAGAAGAACCGAAGACCGTCACTCGTTACGTGGAAGCCAAGTCAAACCAGAACTTTGCGATCAGCATCAAGACTACCAAAGGCACTCACATGAAAGGCGATTGTCTGTGCTTTGAGGTATACGTCGACGGACAGCGGGTTATTCAACCCATCGTGACCTCAAAGTCTGTTCGATACCGCAGCCTTACACGGGTTGTCGAAGGCCATATGCCCTCGGCGACTACAGTCCGATCATTTCGTTTCGATTCGTTGGAGAAAGCATCGGATGGCAAGATCCTCAAGCGAGAAGCCGCTCTCGTCAAGAGCCTTGGCACGATAGAGGTCAAATGCAGCCATAGGACTAGGTCGCACAAGATGTCCCGACCCTCAGATTTCGTTTCCGATACTGGGATTTTGTCCGAGAAAGCACTACAAGGTCGTGCGCTTTCCCACAGCGTGGCGTTCGAGGCACCAAGAACGACGAAAGTATGGACATGCTATGAGACAGAGCTGGTCAATAAAGATGAGCCATGCGCGGGGAAGATTGCCTTCAAGTATCGATCAAACGAGAGTCTGAAGACAGAAATGATCATACCACGCACACCTTCACCGCCCCCGCTTTACGAGAAAGAGAAGCTCAGCCAAGAGGAAGTTCGCGAGTTGCAGAGACAGATGAGGGAGTTGACGGTACGAAACAATTGCACAGATACATGTTCACGGGAGGTACTGACTATTGCGAAGAGTGTACCAGCAAACCTGAAGCGTGAGCGTTTGGAACCATTGAAATCCAGATCCAACAAGCGCCCGCGCAACGAGCTGAGCGCCGACGATACTCTGTACGACCTGCAAGGCGCTATACCTCAACAGATCTCGACCGCTCACCTGCCACCACGAAAGAAGCCAGAGGTTGTGGAGCTCAGTAGCGATGATGATTCTGACTGAAGTTCGTGCGTCTCTACAACTCGAGCCTCGTCGACCACAGCAGAGTGTATACACCATCGGTTATCGTTCGACCTTCCGGAAGCAAGCCGAAGCGTACAGCTACATCGGTAGCATCAATCAAGCAAGACCATTTCTTACCCGTACTCATGAACATGATACACTGCAAGATCACTCACGCTTCTTCAAAGGAAGTTCCAGAAAGGGGGTCGAGAACAGTGTATTTTCGTTGCATTTCGGGTCGCAACTCCTGCAATGCCAGGTGTAGGCTCGACAGATCCAGAAAATGCATTCATCAGACACGAGCGGTTCATCTCATTGGTGAAGAAATCTCGCAAAATCTAGCTTGAGTCTGAGATGTTGATCAATCAAAAGTTTTTGTTTCTTAGATTTCTTCATCCGCCCCATGCTCTGCACACTACAAAGGAATTTTGTTCTTCCCCTTCTTTCCGACGAGGTGTCCAATACCCCAATCAACATTGCCACCGCGTCATCTCATCTCCTCCTCGTCACAGGACCGTGCCTCCCGAGTCCCGGTACAGTCATGAAGTAGATGATGAATCGCACAGCCTTGCCAATCACATTCCGCACATACGACGTGTCGTACGCCGAAAGGATCCGTGAATACCTCGTAACATTCTCGTGAAGGCAATGTGCTCGACTCGTGACAGCAGTCGGCGTGAGATCTTGGAACTGGATCAGGAGTTCGTGGATGTTGAGACATGGTGAATTTTGTTGCGGTTGGAGGATGCATTCAGTGATGGAGAATATCAACAAGCTGGAGGGAAGGAGAGGCTTTTTGTACCACGGTTGCTGAAATTGGTGACAGCAAACCGTATCGGATCGAGAGGCGAGATCTTCAGATATTGGTGTCGCGAGAGATGAGATCGATCTATGCTGCTCTCACCTGATCCCACTCCCACAGCACGACCTCTAAAATAACGGAGCAGAGAAATCCTCCCCACAAGCTGTCACCTGAATCTCGGCAGCCAAATCATCTCCCCATAACCTCCGCCCCACTAGTCTGCAACTCATCCTCCTCCATCTCATCCCACCACGCATCCTCAAACGGCACATCATCCTCATCATCCACAACCGCCACATTCTCCGCATCCGCAAAATACCACACCAACACCAACGCACTCTGCCACTGCCCTCCAGCAATCCACTTATACTCATCATCCTCATACCCAAACGCCTCAGCAAACGCCCGATCCGCACAAATTCTCCTATGCGCCCCAAAACTATCCCCTTGTTTCTGCTCCAGCCCAAACCAATAATCTTCCGCAAGCTCCATGATTTGTTCCGCGTTGGTAGGTGGAGGAAATTTCTCGGACCAGAGAGCTGGGGCTATGAGGTTTCGTTGTTGGGCTTGGATGTATTGTTGTGAGAGGGGTCCTCGGAGAAAGTTGAACCAGTGTCCGCCGTTGGAGAGGAGGCAGTCGGAACATGTTAGGGCGTCGCAGCTCCAGCAGTGCATGGGGACGCCGGGGTTCTTTTCTAGACATCCTGTGCATACCCAGCTTGCCATGTGGCGGCAGCAGTTCGCGACTGTAGATCTTGTTCCTCTCGTCCGGGAGTTGGCATTCAAGTGGTAGCCTGGTTGTTTCAGCTGCAAATGGAAGAAGCTTGAAGAGCTACTTCTAGTAATCTGGATAAATGTGCATGGTAAGCAGATCGGGCTTCCGACGTGTATGCTGTTATACAACATGAAGTGGGAGCCTTCGAAGCTCTTATTGGCTCGTATGGCACAAAGAGCTCAGCTCGCGTGATTCCGGTGTAGGCAAGCTCCTACGTGGCAAGGGAATTGCCGGTTTGGGTTAGCGCGGCGAGAGAGCTCCAGGTGAGCAGATTGCAATTCATGTCGGCAACTTGAAGCCTGGTAGATAGCTGGATCTCTCTCATGCCATCTTTGCTCCTCTGTCATCGTCCCGGTATAGCTCCTGTTGCTGGACCCATTCTGCGACTGTAGGAGTGCACAACTGTTTGATCGTCTCCCAATCTTTGGCTTTGGCAGCCTTCCGAATCTTCGTACTGCTTACTCCGGCCTTCGGATTGGGGGCCACGAGCTCAACTTGCTTCGCCCATTCTGGCTTTCCGCCATCTTTTGCCATTTCTCCGTGCTCAAGCTTCTTCGCAAAGGCCTTCTGCTCCTCAACCGTACCGTAATCATCATCAGGGCGTAGTGTGACTCGTAGTCGATGCCCAGCATCAAAGTACGGATTCAGAGCCGCGAAAGGCGGGTCAAAGTCCTTGTAGTACTTCGCGCCAAAGAACCTCGTCAAGGTATCAAAGCCGACTAGATGAGTGTGATGCGGCTTATCCGGATACCATTCCTGGCCTTCTGTCTCAATCGCCTTCGACTTGTCTGTGTAGTACGGAAGCTTTGTGACGCCGATATCAATAGCTAATGTGTCGTATTTGTCGGGTTCTTGCTGAAAAGAGTCTTGTAGATCCCGCGCAAAGACTGTCATTAGAGCGAGGCGTTGTTCGAAGGAAGCAGGCGAAGGAGCCTTGTCTGCGTTCATGATTGCAAAGAGTAGTAGTAGACGATGAGGCTTGGCATGTTGGGCAGAAGAAGCTCGCTCCAATGCGGATTGCGCAAGTGTTCTGTGGGCGATCGATGGCGGGTTGAAGGAAGAATCTAGGATAAACAGCGTCTTTGGCGACTGGTCGGCAGTTGGCAAAGATGGACTCTGCGCTTCCTCATGTGATGGAGTTATGGTCTTGAGTACTCGGAACTTCGCCTCTGAGCTCTGGAAGGCCTTCAGGCCGCTTTCAAGCTCAGGTACGAGCTTGCTGAACGCGCGAAGTCTTGCAGCCATTGAGGCGTCGGTCATGGTCTTTATGCGTCTCCCAAATTTGTTGATGAGGCTTACTGGTCGGAGTGCCTTTACTGCTTCTCCAATCATGCTCTGACGATGAAGTCGATGTCGCAGAGAGGAGAAGAGGCTAGCAGTGATGGAAGGCTTCATCGACAAAGTGGGGGCATTATGCTTGGCGTGGGGCTCAGTGTTGCCCGCTTCAGATCATATCATTACTTTTCTCTTCCCTTTCTATCGTACACACCTCATAAGTGTCATGAAGCAGATCGCCCTCCCGATCCGCTGTATCTCTATCCTTTTTGATCTATTGTCTATTTCTCCAAACTTTTTAGAAGCTGAAAAGCCCGCTCCTTCTCTTTCCGAGAGGATAAATTACCAAAGCGCTCAAGAACAATCCAACAGTAATGCCAACCGCAATTTGAATCATCGAACCCGCAACGTTGAATACCAGCTCGTTGGAGCTAGCTCCAGTCACCGCGCCAATCTTCTCATATCCACTTGCGCCATTGATTGTAGAAGTCGAGTTGTTGATCTCATTCGCGACACGAAGCCCACTCAGTAACCCGCCAGTGCTTGCAAGACCTCCCGGAACTTGCGTGAAGATGGCTGGAACGAGGATAGCTGCCGCTACGCCGTGCCGGAAACGCGAGTACAAGTTTGCCAGAGCACCGACAGCGAACGCGCCTAAGGTACTCGCGATCTGCGGGCTCTTTGCGAAGCGCAAGCTGCTGTAGTAGTTGACGACGTAGCCAGCGCAAGCCACAATGACCATGATCGGCATCTGCTTCCACTTCGCCTGGTAGAGGATGCTAATACAGATCACGAAGAATGGAACGAACGCGAATCCATACTCTGACGGAAGTGGATTCCGGCATTCAAGATCGGAAGTAGCGTTCTTGTCGATGAGCCCGTACAAAGCTGATCCAATGGTGATGCCGAATCCGAGGAGCAAAGAATAGACCACTCCGTAGACGATCCGGATTGAACCAGGAACAATAGCTCTTGCTTGTAATTCCAGCGACGAAGACAGAAACATGTATCCCGGCAACAGCATGACAATGCCACCTTGTGCCAGAGCGGAAAAGCAAAAGAGACTGCCGCCTCGAATCGTGCCAAACGCACGAGCCAAAAAGCTGACGAGCACAGTCGCGCTCACTTCAAACACGTTGCTGTAAAGAGGTGACATAGGAGCCACAATGAGCTGGAGAGCTCCAACCAGACAACCGAAGAAGAAGCAAAGTGGAAGGTCGATCAATCGCGCGTTGAAGGAAAATGGAGCAGCCGTGACGCTCGTCATACCGAACACGAAAACCCGGAACCAGGGATGGAATTGTGGCTTCCTAGCCATGAGTTCGTCCAGTTGGCCGGTGCCTTCTTCCACGCTCGTCACATCGTGAATGACCTCCTTGTATACCCGATGGACGTCCTTGAGTTTACCCAGATCGATACCCTGCGCAAGGCGAACCAGCTTCACTTCCGTGGTGTGCGTTGTCGCATCATCGAAGGAGATAATCATGCAGCCGGGAATGTACAAGAACTGAGCCTCGATTTCCAGTGCTCGTGCAGTCATGGTCAAGTATTCCTCCAGTCGGTGAGTTGGGGCACCATACAACATCAGCGCCCTACACATCTTGAGAATGAATTCCTGTCGAGCAAGAATTCCAGAAATGTGCATCTTGACTTGCGTTTCTTCTTGCTTGAAGAATGCACTCAGTCGGTGAGCCATGCTCGAATCTCGCTTCTTCTTTAGCCGTGGTACTCTCCCATCGACCTTCGGACCTGCCGGCGTAGCCAAACTATTGGAGGCTCCAATGAGAGTTGCCAAAGTGTCCCGAGACTGCTCATTCTGTTCATACCACTTCCTTCGACCAGGCGTGCTCGTCCCAGAAGCGGATACAGAAGACTCGGATCCAGTTTTGCGGTGGCCAGGAGTTGGCGGTGTTTGCATCAGATCTCGCATGCCACCAAGTTCAGACTGCTTGTGAAGCTTCAGAAGCTGAGAAAGCACACCACCACGATACTTCTCCGGCTTGGGAACATTGTACGACCCATCCACATACCCATTGTAGATCTCTTCGTATTGCTTTTGTGGCTTCTCGTCCTTGTTCTCTGTCGCTTCCTCGGAATCCGGACCTCTCTCCAAGTCTGTGGCGTATCCATCGGGCGCAGGATAACCTACCAACGTATCGTGGCTGTAGGTACGTCTATGTCCATCTTCGTCATGAGCGTACGGCTTCATCGCAATGTCTCCGGAGTTTCCAAGTAGTTCAAAATCGCTCTCGCCATCTTCTGTGTATGCTGTAGACTCAATGGAATTCCGAGAAGAGTATGGCGGCGAGTCTCGTCTGACTCTTTCCGCCATTGCATTCCCTCGACTCTGAGCCTCAGCAGCAGCTCGATCTTGAGCATGCTTATCATTCTCATCATTGCTTCCCAGCGTTGGTACATTCTCTTTCGACCTGTCTCGCAGTATGGGATGTGGCCGTTTCGAATCCTTGATTTGATCTTGTGTAATAGCAGCAGAAGGGAAAGTAGGCTCATGTGCAGCAGGTGGCGACTGCGCTGCAGCGCGAGAATTGAATCGAACTCGCACTCTTCTCTCACCACCCTCCCCCATCGCATACTCGTATTGAATATCCGGGTCGTCGTCCAGTTCGCCCGGACTTGAAGGCTGTTGCGGCGTAGGGCGATCCATATTATCGGAGATGATGAAAGAATGAACGAGAGTAGCGTATCAAACTTACAATGAAAGACCCAAGTGGCAGGTAAGACTGAATCGCTGTCAATAGGCAATCGGAGACCAGCGATGTATACAGGCTTCAATCATCTCTATATAGTGAAACGGTTGTGGAACATTCGCGTTCCGTCCAGGGATTATGCTCAGGACTCATTGTCTACATGGGGTACATGAGCGTACGCATCAGCGGCATCACTCAAGAGTCAAGTTCTTGGTTCCTGGATTCCATTTCCAGACATGTTTAGTGTAAAGAAGGCGTGCCGAGCGCAAGCTTTTTCTGGTAGTTCGTGTTACATAACACCTGCGCAAGCCGAGAATCGTTATAGGTGCCACTTGTCGCCGTCTGCCGGAGCATGTCCGGAAGTAAGGATGAATCCCTGACGCAGTTTGTGTCAGCGACAGCTACAGGAGTCTGGCCGCGTCGATTTTGCGATGTGAAGCAGAAACGGATTTGGGCGAGAAGCTGGGCCCACGGATTGCCGTCGGACTTGTCTTGGGAAAATTCTGAAAAGCGAGAACGCGTGTTGTTTTCCGACCATCGGCTCGGCTCCCGGCATGCCGCGTTTTTCTCCACATCATGACATCTGGGGCAGGCAAGATGACAGAAGCAGCACCCACCGCCCGTATTCGTCACACTCTCTCCACTCCACCTCCTCGTCACAGCAGCGTGTCCATCAGCGATCGCGTCACTTGAGACGTCGTGGTCTTCTTCTGGCCTTGCGGAGCGCTGCATTCATGACTAAGTTGTACTGCGCAGACGAGAAACGCCTAGAAGATCGCCAGACGGCATGTGAAAATAGACCACATTGCACTCGCTCCAACGCATTACGCAGGCGCCCAAGCACAAATGTTGATCTCAATTGTCTCAGAACAAGCGGTCAATAAGAAGCGGTGACACCCAATCGGGCCAACACAAACAGCACACGTTGACAAAAGTAACTCATTCCGACAGAGTTCTGCACACAACGGCTCCTTCAGAATCGCGCTATACAAGACTGCACTTGAGCAATTCCGTGTGGATTACTCACAATCTTCCGGAATGAAAATTGGCATAGAGTTCCAGAAGAAGCATCGTCGTCCCTGACGATTGCGCAACAGCTGCGGCTTCACTCTCTCAAAGTCTATCCCACTGTGTATCTGGCATGTTGCTAGAACCTCGCCGGTTGACTCAACCTACTTACGGATTTGAGGGAAGATGAAGCGGGCAAGTGTGCGACGATCCATTGCCAGATCATAATGATGCATCTGAATGCCACCACGACTCAGTCCACGACATCAACGGAGCGTTTGGAGTGGCAAGTGTTACCGATAGTACTGCGCACGCTGCGCGACAAGTCACGGCATACTGGATGCCGGTGTCAGAGAGTCGTTGCTTGCTGATGAGCTTGCAACACGGACAGCACTTTCTGAAGAGGCAACCTCATTCCTCTTGTGTCATTCCAGACCGCAGTAAAGAGCAGCAACAGCCATATACGCTAGGTAGAAGCCCAACTCGATCAATTGCTTCCTTTCCATTTTCCATTCTGGTTCAAAGGCCTATCAATATCTACACCTCCACCCAAACTTTTCGTTCCATTTTGTTTCCCGTCCCACTACCATTTCCAGATCACATCCACAAGTAATGCTCACCCACAACGCAGTCACCCGTGAAGAACTTCCGCCTTAACCCCCAAACCCACCCATCTCCTCATCCAACTCCCCAACCGTCTTTTCCCAACTCCTCTCCGCCCCCGATGGGCCCGTCTCACCCTCCGTAGCATCAACATCCAACGGCGCTACCTGTCCCGTCGCCGGCAAACCCTCCATCCCCGGATCGACAAACCTCCTATGCTCATCAAACAAGGGCTCATCCAGAACCGGAACACCTCCGACGTCTGCCATATCCATATTGACGTTCAAATTTGCACTCAAAGAGTCCAGAATTTCTTGCTCTGACATCAGAGGCGGCAGAGGCTGCAGAGACGAAGGAGGAGGAGCAGCAGACAACCCAGGAACCTCCTGCCAAAGTCCCGCCCCAGGAGCAGGTTCTTTTCCTCTGGGCATGACATCCGCCGGATTGACTGTCGTAGGAGCGCCAGCAGAAGCCGGCTGAAAGAACGAAGGATGAAGCGTGAGATTCTCAAGTCGTTTCATAGTCAAAGAAGCTGAAGACTGGGAAGTAGCAAGAAGCTCGTCCAAAATATCGTGTGCAGCTGCGAGATTGGCAGCATGAGTATCGGCAGTAGCAGCATCATCAGCAGTTTTTGCAGTATTAGAAGTTGTAGTTTCCACCAAACTGTCCTGTCTATTATGTGAAGTGGAAGAAACAGGTGTAGCAGTAGTAGGAATAGCTCCAACTGATGGCGCTTGTGCTGCAGCAGGAGCGGGAGCCGAGAACCCCAAACCAGGAGGATACAGGATCGTCTTCGGAACCTGCATCATCGGCGGAGCAACACCTCCTAGCAATGTCGTCGAAGAATCTGTCGCCGCCGTCCCAGGAGATATAAGAGAATCTTCACCCGCCTAAGAGTGCAACGTCTCCAAAGGATTTCTCTTCTCCACCACCGGCGTCCTGCCATGTCTCCCTCTCACATCTCCATCCATATCCTCGTCATCCACCGGACTCCTCTCAGGCGAATCATTCGGCGACTGCGCTCTGCTGTCCGAAAGATTTCTCCTCTTCGATCCCTCCATCCATGATTTGACACCACCGATCAAACCAAAAGCCACACCAGCCGCGAAGTCCAGATTCTTGCCGCGCGAAGGTGTCAAACTCCTGCCGCTGCTGCCCGCGGCAGTTTCAACTCTCAATCTATCAGAAGCAGAGACAGCAGGGAGTGGAGAATCGATGCCATTTACCGTACCACCGCGACCATTCTTAAGGCTCGGGGTGGCCGAAGGAGCAGGACTGCTGGGCCTGCTAGGCTGCCACAATTTTCCCAGCTCAGAGCTCAGTTCTCTGCCCGTCGTGCTCCAGTTCTGTCGAATGGTATCCCTCAACTCCGAAACATGTCGTTTGACATCCATCTCATTCTTCTTCAACCAAGAAATGTTCAACTCTTGTCTCGTCGTCCCTCTCTTCAGTTGTCGACTGATGTATTTCTCATAATCTCGTACAATTTTGGTGATGATGCCCGTGGTGCTGACACCTTCCGTTCGCTGTGTGACAAGGAACATGCCCTTCTCTTTGATCGGTGCGTAAATGTCATCTCCCTCGGATGCACCATATGGCAGGTCGTCGTGCGCGACATAATCGATGTTGTGCTTCTCTAAGAATGGGACGTCGATGATCCAAGGACAATCCTCAATCACCTCGTCCACCCATCTGCAATGTCTCACGCTCTCGGCTCTTTCTTTGGCGCTCATGACAGTAAGACCCTTCCTCTTGAATGTCTCCTCGTCACCTGTGACGCCGACGATCAATCGGGTGTTTGGGAATGCGGTCTTCGCCTGTTGCAGAACACGCATGTGCCCGAGATGGAATAGATCGAAGACACCATCGGCGTAGACGCGTACTGGGCGGTCGGTGGGCGGTTTGTTCGTCTTGTAGCCTCCAGCGGGATCGACAAGGCCAGCTTGCGGAGGAGCTTCCATGCGCATCGTGCCAGCTTCTCCCGACTCGCCGGAGCCATCAGCAGTAGCATTGATGGGCATCGAGACGGTGCCTCCAGTCTGAACAGCCATGGTAGCAGGCTGCTTCTCATTGCCATTGATGCTCCGTTTCGAGTTGGCGCGAGTGCGCTTCGCCGGCGGATTCATACTGCTCTTGCTCTTAGCAGGACTCGCGCTCACCGCTGCCGTAGCAGGTGCGTTGTCTTGCAGCTCGACGTCGGGAGATTGCTGCTGCTGCGAGCTCTCGACCTCTGCGCCGTTCTTCTCCGCAGCCAACGAAGCCGCTCTTTTGCGCTTGGGTGCCATTGTATGTTTCGTGTCGAAGGGAATATCGCGTCGAAAGTGCAACGGAGGAAGTCCGATAACAAGTTTCCCCAAGCAGGAAATGGGCCGAGTTATAGAAAGTAGGCGCTCCTCGGAAGCAGGTCCCTGATTGGCGTTTGTCTGGTCTTACCTGCCGCGGCTGTCAAGACACACAGCAGCAGAAAGAGCAAGACATGAGAAGCGCAGGCTGAGTGAAGTATTAAGAAGAGACAGAATTGATAGACAACAGAATCCAGGAGAAGACAGTGGACAACACGTTGTGTCAGTCTGCCTCGCTAGCGGATTGCAATCGAATGACGATCACGCTTTGCCAGCGCGCGTTCGCAAAAGCTCTCCCTAGTCGCTGTCTTTAGTGTCGACGTTCCCGGCCGCGGATGTGTGTGTGCACGGCCAAGACCCGCAGGACTTCGCTCCGATAGATTATTGAACAGTGAATTGATGAAGATGACCAGATCATCAACAACTTTCACATTTCCCTTCAGCAAGAAAGACACCTGATAAACAATGAGAGCATCGCCAAGTTGCATCCCACCCACTACTTCCAAGCAGGATTTTTCACATGTCAAGCTGCAGTAGTCAACCTTCTGACTAGCTTCTGACGTTATCGAGCTTCTCGACTGGCAGGACGGCCAGCCAGCGTGGCAGCCCGACAGCCAACCTTGGCAGCAGATGCGTGGAGCCGACGGGGACGGCATCTGGCAGAAAATCAGATCCCGCAAAACGTCACTTGTTACACGTGGCTGTATACAAAGGAAGAAGGTGTACACATTAGGTACGACTTTCACATGCTGGTGACGGAGGAACAGTCCTGAGGCCGAGTACACGGTACGTACATACAAGACACTGCAGCGCGTGTACGGCCTCTGTCCAAGCAAAGAAGGAAGTCGGACGACAGCACATTGAGTTCAATCAACGTAGAAAATATGCGGTGTTCGCTACCTTCCAATATCACCTTTGTACACAGCCGAAGTCAATCAACCACTTCACGTGCACAATTCATCGCACCAAAAGAAACAAGCCTGCCTTCAATGCGCCCACACGGAACGCATTCATCTCGTAAATTAGGAAACACCGCTCTCTGATTCCATGATGCCACGTCGTCTCGCGTTCTGTACTTGGGATTTATTGATTTTGTGGTTGATCGAATGCAGCAGATGTGTTGGAGGCGGATGAGGTATGGTGGACTGAGTGTACGGGAGGAGGGCAATGGCGCATATGGGTGTTGTCGCTCCGGCTGGAGCGAAGTGAGGAGAAGAGGGAGAAGAAAGGTCGGAGTTCTTGAATTTGATGAGTTTTGTTGGTCATAGTCGTGCTGGGTCTCGGGTCTCGTCTCGCAAAAGGGTATCAATTCCATGAAGAATCTTGCCTTGGAATGCAAACTTGATTAATGTCATTGAAATCCATCACTTCGTCTTCTCGTTGCCATCTTGCCCGCCGGATGTGCTCGCGCTCGGCTTGTCGTCCAGGACGGGTAGGATCTTGTCTGGCATAGCACCAGATTGGCCAGACGGCTGTTGCGTGTTGCTGTCTTGGCCAGCGGCGGGCGGCGCAGGTGTACCCTCCCTCTGACTTCGGTCTTCGTTGTTCTTCTGCTGGTTCCTCTGCACCGCCTCTTCGTCTGTCTCTTCCAGGGACGCGTCGTCCACTTCGGTCACTCGATCTTCCATGTCGACATCGTCGTCGCCACCGTGACCTGCCACAATCTCAGTACCATCACCGAGAAGGATAATTCGCCCACCCCGACCTAGCATTCGTGTTCGTTGGTCCATATCCATGTCATAGTCGTCAGGTGAGTCGTCGAAGCGGTGATGCATCCCAGGTCCTCTGAACTCGGCTGGGAGATTGTTAGCTGGTGCTGCGAGGGTTACAGACCTCGCCCAGCACGGTGAATGAATCACGGCGTCTGTCGTTGGTGAGGGTACAAGATGGGTCATGACTTGCCGTATTCGGGAGGCGCGCAAGGCCCGTCTCCATTTGCGACTCGCTCGCCAATCTTCTTGTACCACTCCTCCTTAGTCTGTCCACGGAGCAGAGCAATAACAATCATAGTCATGTTGTCACAGCCCACACCACCGGTTTCCGAGTTGGACGCCAGGCAGTTGTCCATCATGTTTTCACAAATCGCGTGCAACTCTTGCTTTGCAGCAATGCCTCTTCGGACGAACTCCACGACCGCTTGCGAAGATTGGCAATCCCAGATTCCTGCAAAATTGTCAGCTCACACTTTCGCCAGACTGTCTCCGATTCCAGCTCACCATCACAGGCAATGACGAGGAACTCATCCTCGTCGCCAATCTCGTGCACAGTCACATCTGGATATGCCGTGACAATCTGCTGCTCCGGTGGGAGATCTGCACTCTTCTTGAACTCAAAATCACCAATGGCTCTGCTGAGTGCAAGGTTGCCGTTCACTCTGCCAAAGTCGACGAAGCCGCCTGCTGCGCATATACGGGCCTTTTCGCCTTCATTCTGCGGCTTGTGGTCGAACGACAAAGGTTTTGCGCGCCCTTTGATCCCCAAAACAGATCTCGAATCGCCGGCATTGCCCTGCAGAGGTCAGTTTCTGTGCAAGATGCTCTCCCTCTTCTCCAATCATACCACAAAGATTTTGTCGTGCGTGATGATGCCCACCGAAGCTGTGCAGCCCGAGACTTCCTCTTCGTATTTGGGGTCTGCGCATTTGTCAGCTTGATCCTTCCTGCTGTGGATTCTGCTCCGAGAAGTGCAGTCATACCGCTGAGAATTGCCCGGTCAATGGCCAAAAAGCCATCCTTGAGCGCTTGCTCAAAGTCCTTGCTCTTGAATGAGTCCTGCTTTGCCACGATCTCGTGCAGGTGCTCTCCGGTATACAGTGCTACCTTGTCTCCTCCATGTCCGTCGTACACGCCAAAGAATGATATCCGCACGTCTGAGGCTGCCGGTTTCAGCTCTTTGTCGCCTTCGAGGGGTTGTAGGTCGAGGATGGCGGCGTGGGCGTCCTCCATGCTGATGCGCCAGCCCTGCATGGCACTGACGCCAAAGGCGACGCGGTCATCTTGGCCTTCGTCTGATTTCTGCGCACGTCAATGTGTCAGTCGCGGTTGGAGAGAGTGATGTGTGGTAAGAGTCATGCCCCAGCGAGTCAACGGATGGGCCGCACTGCAATTCTTCCCACGTAGGCGTCGTCGGCGGGGCGGGGCGGTGGTGGCGGCGGCGGTGAGGGCACGTACCTTATCCACAACGGGCTCCGAGAGCGTCTGTCCCATTTTGCAGGTGGTCTGCTCTGCGAGGTGCAGGTCGAGGGAGCAGGAATTTCGATCAGGACGGTATAAAGTGGGGGTGCTGCTTGACGCTCGGGTGTTAGGTCGATGAGGTGGTTTGTGTTTGGATTTTCAGGCCGGTGTGGCTGATCTAGACGCGCAGTGGCAGTGTGCGACGCAGGGCAGCGCGGGCCTTTGTCGTGGGCAGAGTGCAGACGGGCGGCGGCGTGCAATTGTCGTCGATCTGACGTCGGGGTGTTTGGTGGTGGGAGAGCGTCTGTGTGGTGCCGGGCAAGGCAGGCAGGCAGTAGCAGTCGCTCGCGTGCTGCTTAGTGGCTCGTTCGGCGCAACAGAAAGAGGGACGAAAGGGGCCTGTCCAAATGACGATCACGACGACGCCTGCGCTGCTCCGCTGCTCCACCCCAGCCCGCTCCCTCTCAAAGGCTTTGCACGAATACCATCCCCCCGCTGCCCGACCACCTTGCCACGGACGTCGTTTCCCACTCGGCCTCACCCTCCTCCCGACCGTGCAGAGAAAATCTTCAGCGCTTGCAGACCTGCAGACGACGAGGCGGTGTCCAATGTGACTATCGTACGTGAGGCTGAAGCCGGGTCCAGACACTTGCTTGCATCTACCGAGGGGGTTGGCGCCATTCTGCACCTCACCTCCATCCTCGATGCACAGACATGTCTTGCACATGCACAGTGGCTGGTCGATACAGTGGCACCTGCTGCTCAAGGCTCCTCGCATCTAACATGCAGTCACAGCGGTCTGTTGAAGATACCCAGTGCCATTCCCACTGTTATGGCTTCATTGTTTAGTGATCAGACCATTGAGACACTATGGAGGACACGCTTCTGTCTTTAAATGACCAAAGCTGGAACAGGCCACAGACATAAGCGCATCAGGGCGGGCGGAAGACGATCGATGAACGCCTACTAAAGGTATTGTGCACTGAACGCCGCGAATCACTTTGTAACATGTTCCTTGCTTAGTGCACCTGCGATGTATTTTATTCTGCACTCAGAAGAATGGACGCCAGGACAGTGAAATAAGGGGAATCCGTTCGAGCTAATCCCAACAATGATTCAACAGAGCATCATTGCAGGTGAAAAGAAGTCGAGACCGATGGCATACACAAAATATGTTCGCAAATGAGTGTTGACTGTTATTCGACAGCGAGAAAGAAGCAAGTTGACATTCGCACCGCCATCTACTTGCGAAGTTGAGAACTTCCGACTGCCTAGTCCTTTGGCTGAACGTACCTTCTCGATGAAAAGCACATCTCTGTACGAAAGGCAATAGCAGTAGCTGAGTCACCGTAAATGCTGTGGCAGTAGCAGGAGAAGTGCTGCAGCACAACCAGAAGCGGCCACGTCCACAGTGTCCTATGACTTCTCAACAGCACAATCACCTTTTAACGTGTCACTTGTCACTGATGAACCCCCAAGCGTAAGTCCAGAAGCCCAGTGTGAAAAACTCGTCTCGACAGATCTCAGCGTTTCCTTCCATGTCAACCAATTCCCGAAACGACACATGCAAGCCGTTCATTGTTGATCAACCGAGCCTCGAGCCAACACCATCATGCTTTCTTCTTGTACATCCTCCTCTTGCATGACCCGTCTCATCCTTTCGAAGAATATTCGTGTCGAGAGTCTGCTCGAGTGTCTTCGTGACTCTTGTGACGCGATCATCGCGTCCCTTTTTTGAACCACGAGCACTCAGGAGGATGCCAAAGTCAGTTCTTGTGCGGATATCCGCAAAGATGTTTGCTCTCTTCGTCGCCCCAGAAGTCTTTCTGCCATCGTGCCCGGAGCTGCAGTCTGTGGACATCAGCAGTGATGGGTTCCTTCGCAGAGACTATGTTCGACTCGAGACGAGACTGGCGATGCCGCTGAAACTTGAAGAGAAAGATTGATCACAACTTACCTCCGTCTCATTGATAACATCGCACAGATGTATATGTGAAGTGCTCGCAAGCCATCCTACCGCGTAACATGACGCAAAGATGGAAGAGTCAATACGAGCAAACATGCTCAGATCGACTTCTCATCTGATACGAATGCTGTGACTGTGCTGGTTGTCAATACTGTGCGAACATGCCTGATCATATCCGATCCGAATTGTCTTTCACAAAAGATGATGCTCGAGTCAGAAACATTGCGCGGCGCTAGTGAACGTTGCCCACATCAGTGTGGGCGATGGAAGCTTGTTCCTGGTCGGGTAAAGTTGCAGTGTAGAGTGGTCAAGGATGAGGCAATGGACTATGGGCGCCGTTGGAGGAGCCTGAGGTTTTGGGTGCGGGCATAGGTCTTTTCAAGAGACGTCCAGTGACTCGAGCGTCTTGCAAAAGACGATTCCTGCCTATATGGCCTGTCCAGTGTGCGTCTGATGACACAAACGCAACGGGTCACCCACAATCAGTATGCTTTTGGAATGTCCGTTCACAACCGCATCCTCTTGGTAGCTGGATTGCCATTTTGAATGTTCTGCAGCCCAATTCGTTTCTGGCGTCGGGCAAAAATCTTTGTTCACTTCGCCGGCGGTGCCTGCTGCTTGTTGATGGCAAAGCTTCGTCCGATCGAGAGGAGTCTCCAGATGTAAATAATTCGGGACCCATGCAATGTTCGCTGGTTGCCCTGGGGCCGTGTGGTCACCCTGTTCAAAGATCTGCATCGGGCAGTCGTCGATTCATGAGCATTTGCCCAAACATATTGGCCGCAGAAATCATATGTGGTTGTTTGTCAAAAATACCGCGAAGGTGAAAGCAAAATGGTCACTGGCCGCACGAAGGATAAACCGCATCCGATCAAGCTGAATAAAGTTTGCCTACCGATGTGCTGCGGCTTGCATTGGGCTTGAACTTCAAATGCGGTTGTGTAGAAACCATTTATCCGCATCCGGTGCTCGAGTTGTGGTCTAATACAAAGTATCGCGAATCAATTCGAATCCTGAGCAGACGGCGGCCTGAACTTCTTGACTTGTGCTTGGAGAGAGCCAGATGACGTGATGATGAGTGTGTGACAGAAGGAACGTTTGCTGAACAGATCAGGTAGCTCTCAGACAAGCCGTATAGCGAGCCAGATATTGGGCTCTTCAGTGGCAATACGTTGCTTGTTGGGTACGATGAAGTAAATACCCCCATCACATCGCGGACGCGGAAAGACTCCGATGGCCGTATATTGTATCCCCCATGGTATTACGACAAGCCGGAAGTCAAACGGGGCGGGGTTGAACTTACAGTCTGGTTGTTGCCATGGCTAGGGTTCTGTTGTAGCACCGTTGAGCTCTATTGATACTTTTATGCTTGACTCGTCAGAGTATCGACTCTGGTTGTTGTGTCTGTCACACTCGATGGAAACATGAAAGCCGTTTCATGGTAAGATCTCAAACAATATGCTGTAGCCTGGCGGAAATGTCATCAGCGGAAGTGACGGTGGTGCTGGTTCCCGTGCTTCAAGTTCTGTAGCCCATCGGATATCAGGATGGCGAGCTGCGTACATGGCGTCGCAGGCCATGCCGCAGTCAGACAGGAAATGTGGAGGCAAGCTATTCGTTCTCAGTGGAGATCAGTCACGGCGCCACCACAGATGCGGTGCTCCGATGGTTGTTTGTCAGTGCACGGCTTGACGTCTTTGTATAGCTTCGCGCAGCCACACAGTTGCTCGCGGAGCACAGCGGTGCTGAGATTGGCGAGGCGAGGCGAAGACAGCCCTAGCATTGATTAGGGACAGGTGCCGAGAGCATGGAATCCTTGCATCCGGTGGCAGAGTCGACGGTCCGGACAAGGTCATTGTCGCACTCTTCGGCAGGCGGCGCGATGACGGGCGACAGCAATTTTGGTGAAGGCAACAATGCAGCGCACCATCTGCTCGAATCATGATAATGTGCAGCGGTGTCGGCTGCACGTGGAAGCGTGGTCAAGAGTGAGGCTGTTGCTCGGGTGAGGGCGTTGCGTTGCAGATCTGCGTTCCCGAACCACCCCGTCGCGCCGTGTGCCGATGTCAGAGCGAAAAGTATCGTGAGTGCCGTGCAGCGCAATCGCATCGAAGATGTCGAACCGAGTCGCGGGCGGGTGCAATGTGCGGGAGCAGTGGCACTGGCACCATCTCCAGATGCGCGCTGAAACTCGACCTCTGACAGGGCGGACTAGCAGGCTTGGCGGCGACGCGCAGCGAGTGGCCTCATCATTCATGCGATGCAGCTGCACGACGACGGAGCGATGGCCACACGCAGCGAGCAGCTGCTATTACGTGCGGGTGGTCGTAATGCATGTCGCGTGACGTTGGCCGTGTCGAGGGCGGCGTGGCCGGGAAGGACTTGGTGGTGGTGTGTGGCGGAGTTCTGGAAGCTGCAGGTCGTCAGGTACACTTTGCGCAAGTTTGGCCCGTCCCAAGACATGTCCCAGGAGGCTCCCCGCGATGCAGAGCATGGAGGGAGCGTGTCGCCATTGACTCTGGTCATGGTTCAGCGGCACGTAATACGCCGCACGGCACAGCGACGGATGGGATGGGCTGCGCTGCGATGCAATGCAAGTGACGACGACAACGCGCTGCTTTGGCGAGTGAAGTCGATAATGAGGCTCTTCAGGGCAGGATCCGAAATAAACCAGCCACTAGCGCCTCGCAACTGCCGCGCCGAGGGGGCATCGGGGTTGGGTGATTTGCTTGTCCAGCATCGCCGGCGTCATCTGATGCATTCGGGCGTGTCTCGTTCGCCTCACACGCATATGCACCATCGCGCACCAGCAGCGGCGCGCTGCACGACTGGCTCGCCACGGACAGTGCAGCAGCAAGTGCTGCTCGTCGACTGCAGCATCTTCTCTGCTGGAAGAGACGCACAGTCTGCACCGCACCCACTCTCCGCGCGCTGCACGACTCAGGGATGGGCGACGCTGGCTAACCTGATCGATGTGCAACAGCCTGGGTTGGGGCTGGTCGACGAAAAGCCCGAGAGCAGATTATGAGAAACAGCATCACAATGGGCTCCGATGGCAGCAGTTGGTAGGCACCCCCTTTCAGGCGCGAGGGCCAAAACGAGTTTCTTGGAGCTTGGTGGGAAGTATGCGCAGCGTCAGCAAGGATGGGCCTGGGCAGCGCGTTCGCTCGCCGTGCCTTGCTTCTGCGTGTCGCCGTCTGCGATCCCTTCTGCTCTGCGCATTCTTGCATGTCCCACCGCCAAACCTAAACTCGGCGCAGCCGTCGAGCCAGTGCAGCGCAGCGCGCGAAAGCCCTAGTTAGAGCCTGGCGACGCTACTGTTCCCGGCCGGAGCGTTTCTTGTCTTCCATCACACCTGCTGGCTCGCTGCCTCCGCTACTGCGACTGCGACTGTTGCTGCTCTCATCCTATCCTACCAACTGACACCCATCCCATCCCGACCCATTCGTTCCTTTCGTCTTTCGCCTTGAGCCTTTCGCCCTTTTCTTCTGCACCACTCACACCTCCGTGCCACCACCCTCCTGCCTCCATCGCCCAAACTGCTGCTGCCGCTTTCCTTTGTCGACCGTCTGTCCGCTCCCGTCCGCTGGTCACACCCATCCACCACCACCACTGCATTCGCGCTGCTCTGCTCGCACGCCAATCCTCTGCACCACGGCACCACCGTCACCTCGCCCATCCCGAGGACAACGAGCTACCACAGGTGAGCCACGCCCGTCCCTCTCGAATAGCACCCTCGCCCTCCCAGCCCTCGCGTCGGACAGCAGCTGTCGTGATGCAGCCTGCCGTGCCGTCATGGCTTTGTCTGGAGCACACTCGTGCCATGTACTGTGCTGACGAACCTGCTGCTAGCCTGCTGCTACTGCTACCACCTCGACCCGTCTCAGACACTCACACCCGCGGGCATACTTAATCCGATGCTCCATCCACTCGTACTACCGGCCTAATCGACTCTTTGCGGGCTTGTGAGGAAGAAAGTGAACGAAAAGTTGCGGCACTGCAGGCGGTACACGCAGCAGACATGAAGGAGAGTCAGAATCACGAGTTCAGAGAGCCTGAGGGCGTCTCGTTCTCGAGTCCCACTCACGCACGCAGGCAATCGACATATGCTGCCGAGAAGGGCCTCGCTGCCGTGCAGGGCAAATCACAGAAACAGCAGGTGACAGAGGCGCAAGATGGGTTGCAGGCGCCCGAGACAAATGGAATGGCATATTCGCCCGCCCAAGCACCCACTCCCCTACCGACCGACATCGACTCCATACCGCCGTCTCCAATGAGCCTGTCATCAGCCGAACCGACCGACGAGGATATCAACTCGGACATTCGTGCCTACCTCAACGAGGAAATGGACGATGGCCCTCAGCATGCAACCTGGTGTTGGGAGCACGCCGATTCACGACCGCCCATCACGCCCGAGAGCCTTGCTGAGCTCGATATGCCGCGAATAATCAACAACCCAAAGCTACGACACGATGTGAACTTCGATCGGGAGCTGCATTTCCGCCCCAACCTGGACGGGTCCAAGGGAAGGCAAAAGATGCTACAGGCAGATCAGTATTGGAGAGCATTGGAAGCAGAGCTAGTCATGTGCAAGCTGGTTCAGATCAGGAGAGCACAGTCACCGGAGAATGAGGTCTACTGGAGTCGAGTAATGAAGGGTTCTCTGCAACGACTACCGAACATCTTTGCCGCCATTCGAGACATACTGAAGACGCTGGTGCCCGACTACGATCAGAAGGCCGTGTCGGAGAGACTCGACGTGGATCACATTATGCAGCAAATCGAGAACGGAGTTTGTGACCTGATCGATCTCGGCAACTGGTTGGCCAAAGTACTCAAGAACCACTGTGCCCCCATGCGGGACACCCTGGTGGACAACATGCAACGAGACATCAAACGCGGAGCAATGGAAGGCAAGCATGAGAAACTGGTCAGCGGCCTCAGACAGCTCATGACTATCCTCGAGGCTATGAAGCTTGACGTTGCAAATCATCAAATTCGACACATGCGACCTCTACTCATCGAGGACACGATCAATTTTCAGCGAAGATACAACAGCCACCGAATCAACGTTGGCAAAATCAGCCTCCCGGACGCTCGATCGTGGCTGCAAAACAACTTATGCGATCAAAGTTCGGGCCTGGATGCACTGGTTTCAGGCTTGATCCGCGACATGCTCCGCAACGAGTCAAGCAACATGTGCCCTCAAACTTTCTACCTGGATGCTGACCGGATACGGGCATTGCGAGTCGAGCTGCACAGTCGTGTGTACCACCAGATCTGCTACGATGTCTTGCGTGATCTGGCATGCAGGCGAGGCACCTGTGAAGCGGACCTTCTGCGTGCGAGGGAGTCTCTCCAGAGCTCTGTGTCTGCTATCGTTGGTGCTTCGGGTCGCTTCATCGACAGACTGGACAACATCGCTGTCGAAATCGTTCGCGTGCTACTGGTCACCGAAGGACAGTACCCACCTTTCGACATCAACCTCCTGAACTACGCCGAGCACAGGCTTTCCGAGTCTCTTCACGCCAGCTCAGACTCCTTTGCTCAACACTCGGAGGAGCTGCTGCGAAATCTTGTACCCAAGCTACAGACACGTGTGCGAAGCCATGTGACTATGCCGGCGCTCGATTTACAGGACATGCTCGTGCCAGCGCCCATCACTTCCAACCGGAACTCAATGGGATTTGGCGCCGTATGCGAGCCGGTGCCTCATACTACCGTTGGACCCATCGACGCTGATGAGGACATTATCCGACGATTCACGCACATCCTCGCCCTTCATTGGCAGGTTTGGGGCGAGCTCGTCTATCAATGCGAAGAGCCCTCGTCGCCTATCTCTGACCGTGAGGATGATAGCAACTCCGAGCACGGCAGCGAAAGCACAATGGTTCAGTCTGCAGCACCTTCGCCGACCATGCCTGTGGCACAAGCTGTGTATGCGCCGGGTAAGAAGTGGCTTCCTGTTAGTGTCACAGTCACAGACGTCCCGAGTGGCTTGCCCACACCCGCGGCCAGTCCCGATGCTTCGGGGGAGCAGGGTTCGACATCTGGTGATGCGGACACTCAGCCGAGTGACGATGCACCGGACGCATCACAACAGCAACGGCAACATGCCTGAGCAAACAACCGCCAGCAACAAACACACGACACAATATACACTGGACATCCAGCACAACACGGCTCCAAGCTTTACGAAGCAAAGAGTGCCGTGCATGCCTATCGGCTTAATACACTCGGGCTCGGCCTATCTCTGAATTTCTTTCCCATCATCCTGTACACAAGCATGCAGCTGTGTTTCTATCGATTTATCTCGGAGCGGAAGACTGCCGATCCTCTCCAACGAGCAGTGGATACTGGCGATCATTGCATTTAGACTGGCAAAACGTCCAACACAACATGGACTCTCGTTTCTTTACTCATTTGGAATCGGTTTTAGCGTAGGCGTTTCGGGGATGCACCGTTTTTCCAACGGGCGGGCGGCTGTTTCTTCACCCGTTCATAATCACCAATCTCTCTCACACGACCACCACAGCGCTTTCCGGACGGAAGACCGCTGAAAACGGTCGGAAGGATCACTTGGGCATACCGAGGGTGGTCCACTCTTTTTTATCTCATCTGGGGAATTTTGTTCTGCATATGGGTACGCGCTGGGCCTTATCAGAGGCTTTTCTGTTTTCATGGGCTCTGGCTCTGCTGTCGTTTTTTAACCTATTTTTTGAGATTTGTTCTGGGATACCCGAATATGGCTTGCTGGGTGGAAGGGAGAGAGAAGGCAAGGGAAGAAGGGATTTGCATCATCAGTTTTCTGCTATTAATTTCGGGGTGGCATGTGTGATTTCAAGCAGCAGCAAGCAAGCAAGCAAGAATGGAGAATTTAGGCAAGGTAGCGAGTGGTATCACAACACTCAACAAATCACAACACTACTGTATGTGGTAGGGTTTTGTGATTAGAGAGGATTGGGGAAGAAGAACTTTTTTATCGGCGACGTTGATTTCTGATCTCTTTGATTTTTCCGATGGCGATTTTGCTTCGCCTTCTCTGTCTACTGCGACCGAGAGTCCCTGGAGTTCGAGCACTTCCCGCACTTTGGTCGACGTCCGGTAAGGTTAGCACCAACCGAGGTCTGTGTTATTGAGTAATCATTTGACGATGCAGTTCTAGATCCTCTTTCTCTGCCCGGGAAAGTGGCTTTGCACCGGGCAGTCGGAATTGTCCTTCCCCCTGCGGTCATTGCAGAATCCTGGAAATGGCGACAAGTTGCTCGAAAATCTGGTTCGGTACGATGCGATGGTCATCGCATGTGCCGTTCGGAGATGATGCGCCTTTTCCCATCCGCGCCGAAAATAAACATTCGTGGTTCTGTTATGGGGATAGAGGGTCGGAAGGGCATGGAGGTTTGTAGGATGATCGGCAGAGGGATATATGGGGATAAGTTGATGGGAGATGCAGAATGTTGGGTAGTGCTATTTTTAAGGTGAAACTTATGGCATAATTTGAATAGTGATCAGTGGCGGTGTGGCTTGGTTGTCTGCAGGGTAGGTTAGGGGAGCTGGTTCTATGGCATGGGACGGCGTGGTGGTGGTTACAGGGCTAAAGTGGTCGGTTTTGGGTGATTAGTGATTGTGGTTGACTTCATGTCATGGTGGTGGGATTTGAGAAATGATCTTTTGATTGGTATGGGCAAGTAGTGGTTCGACTTATTGTTTTCGATCTTCTGTGTTGCTGATGTTGAAATATGCTGAGTAAATTATCGAAGTAAAGAATTTTAGTTGTGCTGCCTTGCTTTTACGAGCCGAAAGAAGATGTTAATTGTTCGATGAGATGGCCTTCGCTGTAATCCTGCACACGTTTAAGTCGGTACCAGAACATCATACCCCGCCAGCGAAGGAGCTTTATGCCAGTCCCAAAGCGCTCCATTGAGAATCCACGAACACACCAGGAAGGGCACTAACACTGGAGCTAAAATGCCCAACACCAATATCATCTCGCCTATAATTATGCTCCACTCGAGAGCAATCCCAATCCCTCGTAGCCAACCTCTTTCTCCCTTCCCAAACTCATCCTTCTCATCTCGAGGCTCAAACTCGCCTTCTCCTCTTGCTCGGAACTTGGTCTTGCGGTCTCCCAGAAGTTCATATATCGCCAACTCCGCACTTCTCTGGAGTGCATTTCGACGCTTTGCGTCCCAGCCCGAACGATAGTATTGCGAGAATGTCGGTGGTATATTGAGAACCGCGAAGCTGGTATACAAATAGACTTTCCTGGGCAGAGAGGTTCGAGGTACGGAAAGCCAGTCTGCGAGCGTTTCACCCATGAGCCGTCTCGCTGCTGCTGCTTGGTCCTGGAAGGTAAAAGGTGAGGGCCAACGGTTTACAACACTGTAGAGAACGGGAAGGGTTGCGGGGGTTGTGTAGACGTCTGGTTTCGTGCCGTTGGTAGAGGTTGTGGCGGAGTTCTGATGTTGGATCTGGAGGTATTTGGGGACGTCGGCTTTGTTCATGGGGAAATGGACTGCGGGTGGTGCGAAGCTTTCGCCTGCGAAGATGTTGACGATTGAGCAGGCGGTGAGGCGGCTACATTGGTGCCAGGAGGACATGTGGGCGCTGAGGATTTCGGTGTCGATGCCTAGGTGTTGTTTGTAAGTACGGCAGACTTCTTTGGGCTTCTGATTTGCTTCTGAACTTACCCATGTAATACCCTATCACCCTCCAGAGAGCAGTGTAGTCTTCGCATTCTTGTAGACTAGGCATGATACCAACCTTCATCACATTCAACAGAGGTGCGCCACTAAAGCTAGCTAAAGTTCCAGCCATGTCCTCTTGACTGAGCGGCACTCCGTCTCGGTCTTCACGATATGGAGGATCAGGCAGCTTCGACATTTGTCCGCGAACTCTGGCGAGGAGTCGGCTACGCATCGTGGCATGAAGCAATCTCACTCGAACAGCCGATCTCCAGCCAGCATTGTCGACTTCCATCGCATCCTTTGACATGCAATCCAGAACGAACTGTGTCGTCTCCATGAGTCGCATATACGTCCGATCATTGCTTGCTTTTGAGATCCGCGGCGCTTCACCTTCTGGTGTCGAACTCATGGGTGGCACCAGATAGCTTGTCAGATTCAGCAGCCTGGAAATACTGGGCGATGAAAAGCCTGCTGATAGACTGAATTGCAACAACGAAGCCAAGATTTGAGGTGCATAGCGGTAGAACACTGCTTGTCCACGCAAGATCTGTTCGCGGTCGTAGCTGAAGGGAGTCTGGCCAATGGAGTTGAGCTGTTCCCAGAGAGCTGTCACCTCTTTTGCTGGCTTTGGTTTGTTCGCTGCAGCTTCGAGTCTTGCAAGTAAGTCTGATCCACCTGCATCTCCGGCAGGGCCTTTGATTTCGGGCAGAGCTGCGTCTGCGAGAGCGTCGCCTCGAGAGCGCCAGATTTGCATTGTGCCGTCTGAGATGCAGTCTTTATCCCAGCGGAAGACATGATCCCACGCTTCAATAATGTCTCCTGCGGCATAGTCGTTGCTCTCTTCTGGTCGCTGAGTTCGTTTGTATTGAGATTCAGGCACGTGTGCTTTGATATTGGCGTCGAGATAGAAGTACTGAGGCATGGCGGAGATCTAGTGCTTGAGTTCAAACAATACCTTTTACACTGCGGTCAGTAATATGAAGAGAAAGAGATTGTGACGAGAGCTGCTGTGATTTAATGCTGCTTGAATTGGTGGCGGGAGGTGAGGTGAGGGGGTCCTCTCATGCAAATGCCACGCCACATGAGCTATCGCTGCAAGCCTCCAACTTTGATGATCTAGGTGTGGTGCGAGCCAGCTGCAAGTCTTGCATCGCATGTTTGCACAACAGAGAAGCGAGCCGCATTCTCTTTGCACTCTGTCGGGACCAAATTCATACCTGATATGCGGAGCCATTCTTTGCGAAGGTCGTGCACCCGCAGGGTGTCTGGTAGTGTTTGGCATGTGAGAATGGACTTGGCACTTTCGAAAATTATTAGTGAGATGGACTTGTTTTCAGAAGCTCGCCAGTCGGCAGTGAGGAAAGTCCTGTACCACTACCGGGAGTACCTGCTTCATATTAAGCTCTATCACAATTCAGAGGAAAGCACACAGCAGCACCTTCCATAGTAGGAAGCCTGAAGAGCCTAATCGCCAAGCACTTGATGCAGTGCATTCGTTCGATAGCTCTCGCTGTCTCTCAATAACACCTGATGTGTACCTTTTGCGGTACACTTGCCATCTTCGATGACGAAAATGCAGTCCGCCTTCTCAATCGTATGCAGCCGATGAGCTATGGCAACGACAGTCACCTCACCGCTCTTTCGCACGTTCTCCAATGCGTCCTGAACCATCTTTTCAGACTCGCTATCGAGAGCAGAAGTTGACTCGTCGAGAAGTAGAAGTCGTGGCTGACGTAACAACGCCCGAGCAATGGAGAGTCTTTGGCGCTGGCCACCGGAGAATTGATTGCCGTTGGGGCCGCAGCGGGTATCGTAACCTTCAGGAAGTGCCTTGATGGTATCGTGGATGTTGGCCAGCCTGCAAGCTTCTTCAATCTCGGCGTCGGAGACATGTTCCTGGTCTGGGCGAGCACCAAGGGACAAATTAAAGCGCAGTGTTCCTTCGAACATGACGCTTTCTTGTGGCACGAGAGCGATCTCGTTGCGGAAAGATGGCGAGATAGAGGCGCCAATGTTGCGGTCATCCAGAGTGATGAGACCCGACGATGGACGGTAGAAGCGTTCGATGAGAGAGATTATGGTGCTCTTGCCCGCTCCAGAGGGACCGACCAAGGCGGCGAACTGGCCTGGCTTGATGTTGAGGTCTAAGCCCTTCAGAACTTCGGTGTCAGGGCGAGCTGGGTAGGAGAAACGGACACTGTCAAATTTGACAGCAGTGCCTCCCGTGCGTGGCAGATCAGGCTTTTCAGTGCCCAGCTCAACGTCCTTCTCCGCTTGGGCTGCATAGCCAGTGCTTGCTGCGAGCTTCTTGGGAGACGTATGGATATCGTTCTGGGTCAGAGTGTGGTTCTGCCTGCCGATGTCAAGGAGATCAAGCAGTCGACTGGCTGAAACGCGAGACTTGGAGAAGTCTGGCGCTAGAGCGAAGAGTTGACCACATGTCTGCGCGCTGAAGAGCAGAGCAGGGAGAACGATGAAGAATTCCTTCTGGCTGGCATACCCTTCGATGATGTTCCGCGAACCCCAATAGTAGGCCAGAGCATAGACAAGGTTGGCCACACTGTAAGCAGTGGCAAGCCACGCATTGCTGTGTAGAATAGACTTGAGTGTAGCTTCGTATGGCTTCTTGAGAGCGCGGTGGTAGATGTTCACTGCCTCTTCCTCTAGAGAGAAGATCGAAATAGTGCGAATTGAGTTGACAGATTCGACAGCAAGGCCAGTTGCGCTGGCAAATGCAGCACCGTGCTTCTCGTGGAACTTGGCAAAGACGCGCAACCTCATGATACCAGATCCCAGAAGCACAGGCACGCAGGCAAGAAGCACGACGGCGATGCGCCACGCGATAGCTAGCGAGAGCGCTACGCCGGCAATGCTATTGATAAGGATGGAGAAGAGCGTACCTAGAATGGTACCAGTAAGACCTGCCAAAGCATTGGCGTCGCTTGTGATGAAGGACAAGAGGCCAGCTGGATCTCGACCTTCTGATTGATGCCAGTCAGCGTCCTGGCCGAGCAGGGTCCGGAGCGAAAGGATGCGTATCTTGAACAGTGTGTTCTCACCAACCAAACCAAACAATGAGCCCATTGTGAGGTTGGCAAAGAACTCGATGATAGCGAGAATGAAGAACAGCAGACCCCAGAAATGGCCGGCGGAGCGGATGTCAGACGGTTCCTCGCAGGCACTGAAGCTGCTGATTGTGTGACCAAAGATGACGGCTTCTCCAGAATACGAGCCTCCAACGATTGTAGCGGCAATGAAGGCGACGAGGAGATAAATTGACTGCGACCGAGTCAAGTGGCCGAAACCACGGATCGTAGACCATACGCCTCGCTTCTTCTCTTTGGCTGACTTGTCCTTCTCCGAATCCTTCTGCTGGTCTCCAGTGGCACCGTCCTTCTGAGCCTGGTCTATCCTTTCCTTTGACGTAGCACTTGCGATTGACTGTTCACGGAGTACCGCCTTCTCGTCGACGACATCACTAGAAGACGACCTTGATGAGATCTCATCCTCAGGAGCTCCAAGGAGAGCACTCGAAGCGTCTGCTTCTTGGTTCTGGCTAACAGTCTGCAAGCGGACCATACTGGCATAGACATCATCTTTCGCAATCAACTCAGCATGTGAGCCCTGCTCAACAACTTTGCCACTCCTCATGACAATAATGTTGTCTGCGTGTTTGACAGTAGACAGTCGATGCGCAATGTTGATGGTTGTTCGGCCTTTGGCGGCTTCGCGAAGCGCTCCTTGGATCAAAAGTTCACTTCTTGAGTCCAGGGCAGACGTCGCTTCATCCAGAAGCAGGATTTGAGGATCGCGTACGAGTGCTCTGGACAAGGCAATACGTTGCTTTTGTCCACCAGAGAATTGGTTTCCAGAAGAGCCCACCTTGGTAGCAAAACCATCGTCTAGTCGTTGGATAAATGTTATCGCATCGGCAGTGGATGCTGCTTTGACCACACGATCAACAACATCTCGGACAGCCTGTTTTTCTCCTTGAAGCACGCTCTCGAAATTGCCATTCTTCTTCTCACGAACCTTGTCAGCGAACAGAGCAAGGTCGCCATTCAAGACTGCATCGATCTCTTCGTGACTCGCGGACGAGTTGACCAAGCCGTGCGCGATATTCTCCAAAATAGAACGATCAAGAAGGCCTGGGTCTTGCTGAACAGTTCCGATGAGGCCTCGAAGCTGGCCCACATTCATCTCCTTGACGTTGATACCATCCAGAGTGACGCTACCGTCCAGCGGGTCGTACAGTCGAGCAAGTAGAGCGGCAACTGTAGATTTGCCGCTTCCAGATTGTCCCACGATGGCTGTGTGTTTGTATTCCGGAATAGTGATGTTCAGATCCTTGAGAACTTCGACATCAGGGCGGCTCGGATAAGAGAATTTAACATTCTGGAAGGTCAGACCGCCCTCGATATGATCAAGTCGTCTTCCATAGCTGCTGTCGGTGGGATCGATCGCCGACTTTCGCTGGATTGCATTATTGAGCTTATCTGAAGCGCCAGCTGCAGTGCCGAAGATCTGCAAGAATGGAGCGACCTGGCTGAGAATGAAGGAAGCTACGAGACAGTCAGTCAATTATGCGAATGAACGCAGAGAGTTGAAGTCGTGACAAACCATCAATCAGCAGAAAGATCACAGTGTAGACTGCGCCGACGCGCGAGGCCCCATTGCCATCTTCGACAGACTCTGCTATGCCTTCACTTCCACGCCAGTAGGCCAAGGCGTTGGTGGAGTAGGCAATGAAGTATAGCAATCCGAGTTGCACTGCGGCTGCAATGGCTTTCTTGGAACCTTCCTTTCGAACACCACCCAGATACTCGGTGAATTTGGCCTCGAGGCGTGCGTTGGCCCCAAAGGCGTGGACGATAGTCAGCTTACTCAAGCTCTCTGAAGCGATTGAGGTGGCGAGCGCAAGCTGATCCGATACTCGCCCTGTGAACCGCTTAATGAAGTAAGACCCAACAAACGCCATGAGGAAGTAAGCCGGCACAAGAGAGACGAGTATGCCCGCGAGCTCGGCATATTTCATGAATGCCACAATGTATGAAGCAACGAAGTACGAGACACTTGCAATGACGATTCCAACCTTCTCCGATGTACCAGTTTGTATTGAGTTGAGGTCGTTGGAGAGTCTTGAGGATACATCTCCGGCAGGCAGCTGATCGAAGAAGGCCAATTCCTGTCGTAGAAGCGCTCGAAGATATCTTTCACGAAGCCTTCGGACTAGTCGCTCGCCAAAGATTGTCCAACAGTTGGTATAGATGTAGATGAAGCACCAGTTTGCGATCGTGACGTAGCAGATGTAGGCGACTTTCTGGATAACAGAGTCGCTGAGACCACCCGTAGAAGCCGTAGCATCTTGTTGGACACAGTCGGCACTATTGAGGTCGTTGATAAGTTGACCAAAGAGGATACCCAGGAGTGGAAATGGAACACCCGCTGCGATGGCTCCTACGATACCACCGATAAGGAGGAGAACATCCCAAGCCGTGAAGCCGGGACTGAACAGGAGCCGGAACCACGTTGTCGCCTCTCTATACCAGGGTTCCTTAGGTTCTTCAGGCTCTGTCTTTGCGACAGCCTAGGCGCGAGCGTCAGTGAGAAATGTGACAGCCATAGGTTTACCACTTACCTTCTGCCTCTTGAAAATGCCCATTTTCGTGTTTCAATGCTCTACAGAATCAGGCTCGGCTAGGAGCCTCCCTCCATGTCGAATTGAACCACGTCGACATGTGACTTAGGAGATTGATGGCGCCTGGGCGCTACAATGTCGTGGGACAGCCATTGCTGCGGTATCGGCCTCAGGGCCAGCTCAGAGTGCGTCTGTCCCTACTGCGCAAGGACTTTCTCCTTAGCGTGGCTTTCACATGTCTATTGGTCGTACGAGAAAAAATTGCGCCGATCGTGCCTATGTGGGAGTGCACAAGCGAACAGACCACTGCAGATTGCTGCTCAACGGCCGCGCTCAGGCAGCCGAGTCTGTAACATCGCGTCCACTTTCCTGCTAGCTGATCCGATGTTTGGGCGACGTAGTTGGCGAGGTATCGGGCCCGTGTGCACGCCTCGTATGGGATCGGGTTTCGATGAAAGAAAGACAATGTGGTCCGGATATTAGGGGACTTGGTATGACCACTGTGGCGGTAAAGGTGGCCGCTCCTGTGACGGCATTCGACGGCTTGTCATTATTGGCATAGCTTTTCGCCCTGCGTAGCGCTTCTCAAAAGTCGTTCTCGACTGCGACATGGTCTCCGCTCATGGGGTGGGGTGGTTGGAAAAGAACTACTGCAGCTAACAGAAGTGGAGCTTAATATGCCCCATGTTATTCGGTTAGCTATCTGATCCGTCGGCTAAAGCGGCGCACTATCTTGATCCGCCAGGCGCCACCCGAAGTGGTCAAGAGCTCCGTCTGCAATGCAACACCATCACCACCGATCATCGTCATTGCGCGCTGATGGGTAATTTTGGGTTTGAGCAGACGCGAATGCGAAAATGGCGTGAGAAACCAGCTCGGCTCTGGGCGTCCTGATCGGGAACTGAAGCGAAAGCTCCACGGCTGACAGCAGCAGCCCGAGTGAAGGTGTGTTCCCACGCATTCGTGGTTACTGTTTCATCAAGTATCTGCTTCAATTGTAAGAATCATGGATATTCCTCTGCCCGCAACCCTGCGACTCCCACATCCTTACCTCACTACATACCAAATAGACGAGGTCGATCGCAAACAGGTTCCTACGAGATATGGCGGCAAGCTTCTACGAACTCGCCACGAACCTCGGAATAATGGGTCAACACCGACGCGGAAAGATGCTATACTTCCTCCAGTAGTGCTTCATAGCAACGTCTACTTTTCCGAACCTGCTCAGGATCAGCCCGCCGATGGGCTACCTCCGGAGAGCAACAATTTTTTCTGGGGCCGAGTGAGAAGGACGCCAAAATCAGATATTGTATGGAATGACAACTCTCAGCCTACAGTGGCTCAACTTTGGCTCATCGTATACTCGCTATTTACTTTCCGCCCAGAGTTGGAATACTTCCGCATAGAGCTTAAAGGCTTTGGTCACCGCGAGCTATCTGAAGAGCTCAAGCATGTTGGACTGGCTGTCGAACACCCTCTTCCAGAGAATCGCGAAGTGCCAGCCAGACCTGCAGCGAGCGTTCCAGGAGCTTTTCCCAATGAAATCGTACTTCTTCGAGGCAATTTTTGGCAAGGCGCAGGATCACCCTTTGGCCCACGGCCAGTATGGGCTCCAGCTACTGCGACAGTTTCCGGCAAGCCATTGGACCAATATCCAGTCCTGCCAGTGGACTATGTCGCAGATACCAAATTCCCAGATCAGCGCGTCCATGCTTTCCACCCTCGGCGACCTGCGAAACCTGCACCTGGTTCGATTATGTACAGCAGATATATACCCCATCTGGATCAACATTTCAGCATGATTGCTCTAGATTACAATAATGCCGAGCATCTTGGACTTTTCAACAAATGGCAGAACGATCCGTTCGTGGCTGCGGGTTGGAACGAGACAGGGACTTTAGAGGAGCACAGGAAGTACCTGAAGAATCTACATGAAGATGGACACACTATTACCGTGCTTGCGAAGTTCGATGACACATACTTCGCGTACTATGAGATATACTGGGGCAAGGTGAGCTTACTCGGGCTTCAGCACTCAGGCCGTACTGACAAAGTTCTAGGAGGACCACTTCGGGGTCTACTGCGACGCAGGCGATTTCGATCGTGGGCGGCATGCACTTGTCGGCGACACATCATTCCGCGGTCCGCATCGTGTCTCTGCCTGGTGGTCGAGTACGATTCACTACCTGTTCCTCGACGAACCTCGAACACACTGGGTGATTGGAGAACCGAAAGCCACGAACTCCACGGTCTTGAGCTATGATTTGATGTGTGGTTTCAATGTTACTTCATTTGTAGATCTCACACATAAGAGAAGCGGAGCGATGAAGGTCAGCAGGGAAAGATTCTTCCAGATTTGTCCAGTGTACTGGAATGGAGAGACAAAAGTTGGTGGTACTGGCATACAATTGACTGCGATCCAGTCAAAGTTGTAATGGGCACGAAGTCATGTAGCATTTTATGTCCAGAATGCATTGGTTAGTCTCTGGCAAAGAACAGCATAATTTACAACTTGTGAGACTCAATTTTATTGTGGGCCCGAAATCATGGATATAAAGGTTCAGCAACTCCCATCTCCACCTTGACAATCGATCTCTACCTTCTTCAAGTCACGTGTAACGACTAAGAAACAAGCCAACATGCCTACGAACAATCTGTACCAGTACCTCGACAAGCCAGCCTCATGGAACGAACGCGATCTCCTCATATTCGCTGCGTCGATCGGCTGTGAGCCCGATGAGTTGCAATTCGGCTACGAACTGCATCCAAAGTTCTCAGCATTCCCAACATACCCGATTGTCCTCACATTCAAGCACGATTACACGACTACAACGTCCTTTGCAGGACACTTCTCAAGACACCTGACACCACCGAGGGATTTCATACCCGGTTTCCCAGCCCTAGACATCAAGCGAGTCGTCGATGGAGAACGAACACTGCAGATCGTCAAGCAACTACCCAAGACATCAGAAGGAAGACGATTCATCATCCGATCCGACGTCATCGGGGTATGGGACAAAGGCGTGGGGAAGTCGACAATCGTGAAGACGAGTCATGACCTCGTAGAGAGGGTCGAGTCTGGGCAGCACGAAATGCTGTATGCTCGCATGACCGAAACCGCAATTTTCATGTCGCAAGGCGGTTGGGGAGGGCCCAATGTTGGCAAACCTGCAAGTTCTCCTGCTCCGCCTACGGATCGTGCACCGGATGCCAGAGTGAAACATCACGTTTCTCCAGCCGCACATTTGCTCTACAGACTCAATGGCGATTACAATCCTCTGCATGCCACACATGTGGAGGAGGCCGTTGTGCAACCTACGCCGATAATGCACGGGTTGTATTCATGGAACGTCACTGCGAGACTCGTACTGAAGACTTTTGCCAATGGAGAAGCCAAAGCTCTACAGAGCTTTCAAGCGAGTTTTGCCAGCCCTGTGAGGCCCGGAGATGTTCTGGAGACGGAAATGTGGGAGCTGAAGGACGCCGCGGAAGGCGCGCGGACGATCAGATTCGAGAGCAAGGTTGGAGGAAAGGTCGTACTGGCCCGTGGATCGGCAGTATTGCATGATACCGACGATCGCACGAGGAGCAAGTTGTGAACGCGCGCGGCAAGGCGTGGCTGACGCGAGGTGTCAAACTAGGGCAGAGCAGAGTTCGTACTCTCAGGATCATCGCAGTCGGTCGGATTGGGTTCATCTCTGCGTGCCACCACTCGTACAACAATCAAAACGGCCTTGGTGGCAGCCTGTCCGGATTGACATGCTCTATGCCTTGTGAACAACGTCGTTGCATGCCGGTGTCGGAAGTCCCAGTCGTACGTACCTCAAGATTACGGCTTTGAGCTGCATGTTGCACAAGCGACGTAGTCGGAAGTTTGAATTGCCCTACATCCGGCACGTTGCAGGTCTTCCACGGTGTCGTCCAACGCTATCTGGCGATGTCTCGAATGCAAAAGCAAAGTTCAGCTCTCGGCAAATGCTCAATCTCATTGCTCGAGTTTCTCGCGACTATAGCGGAATTTTTCCAGCGCACTAATCGACTTCGGCCGGGTGGAGTGAGGTCGGTGGAGATCAGGATCTAATCAGATTAGATCATAAAAATTGTGGCGTCGTCGCGTGGGTACTGTTGCATGGCAGGCGTGGGTCTTGCGGTAGCCTGCAGTTTAGCTCAAGCGAGAACCTCATTAGCTTAATACGCCAAAGGCAGACGTTAGACCTTACGCGAACGCGGACGCTCTGAGTGATCGACATGCAGGTTCTTGTGATGCTTAGCCGTTTCTCCCATCGCGTTACCTCTCGATCGGCCTGGAGAATTGCTTCTGTGTCTTGTAGCGGGATGTTTCTCGGCACAGTAGCCAGTGACAAGCCCACCGGCTGAAGTGGGCATACGAACATACGACAATGAGACGATTGTTTTCCACAACGAGTTGCATGGTACGTCAATCGGAGGACGTTTGGCGGTGTCGTCGGGATGATTCGTTCAACCAAAAAAAAAAATGAACCCGCCAAGTCGGACGAAGGACCCAAGGAGCTCGCAGCTATCGGTGAGCTGGCCATAGCGGGTAGAGGGTCCAAGAAACGTGCATCACGCTGCAGGCCTGTATCCGAGTCTCGGCAGGATCGAGCTTCTGTCGTACCACTGAGTGCTTGCCGGCCATGAGCTGCATTGGAAGTCGTCCAGACGTTGCAGCATCTCCCCTTGACAGCAAACACCTCTGAGGACACAGACGACCAGAAGCACAGCAATCATGTCGCTCTCATACGATCATACAGAGTTGCGCAATGAGCGGCCTGCTCATCGACCATCGAGAGCGTCCCCATCATTCCAGACTTACGATCTGCTATGTGTGGGATTTGGCCCAACTTCTCTTGCTGTTGCTGCTTCGCTGGCGGATGCCAGAACACAGGCACAAATCTTGTTCGTAGAACGGGAGAGCCACTTCAATTGGACACCGGAGCATGTATTGCCAGACAAATCCATCGGATCCAGCTTCCTGCACGATCTGACCACGTTGGAAAACCCGCGCTCTGAATTCACCTTCGTCAACTTTCTCCAGGCTACGGATCAGCTCATGCATTTCACGAACAACTCGAAAATGGTTCCCAGTAGGCGACTAGTTGCCGCATACTTCAAATGGGCAGCGGAGCGAGTGAATCAACGCGGCTGGATCCAATACAGCAAAGAAGCATCAAACATCAAGCCTGTGAAGGTTGATGCACTAAACCGGGTGACGCGATGGGAGGCGGAAGTCATCGACGTCGAGTCTGGCGCAAAGTCGACAGTCCAAGCGAAGCGAGTCGTGCTTGCTACAGTTGCTGAACCGCATCTGGTTTCCCCGCTACGAAGTCCACAACTCCAGCACCTGATCTTGCATTCGAGCTCTTGTGCCGAATTCCTGCAGAAGTTGCCCAGTCTTCAGAAGACCATCAATATAGCAGTAGTCGGAGCTGATCAGGAAGCGGCCGAGATCTTCAGCCACCTACACACCTCACGAGGCAAGCATACTGCGACTCTGATCCATGCAGATTCTGCTCTGCGTCCAAAGGACAACAGTCCACGGATTTCCGATATCACCACCGACCCGAGCCAATTGATGCAGACTCCGCCGGAGGTCCGACTGAGGTTACAGAACGCGGAGGCACATAGCTCTCCACGCGTAGACCTGCAAACACTTGAAAGCTTGTACGAGGCGCAATACACCCAAAGGCTCCAAGAACCAGATGCGAGGAAATGGCGCTTCCGCATGCAACCACTGAGTGAGGTGGTCGGGGCGAAGCGCGATGAAGACCGGGTGCGTTTGGTGACCAGGAATAACAGGACTAGTGAAGTGACCACTGGTCCTGCGTTCGACCTGGTCATCTCTGCGAGTGGCTATGAGCGCTCTCGGGATGCTAAGCTGCTGTCCGCTGTCTCGCCGCTGTACGACACTGGCGCCTTGACGGTAGACAAGGAGTATAGGGTCAACTTCCGGCGCGATACTGTAGACCGGGCATGCGGCATATGGGTACTTGGAACGCTGGAAGATCCGAAAGAACGCGTTGACGATTTCGCTTTCACGGCGGAGCGAGGGGCCAGGGCGGCGCGGAGTATACGCGCCTCTCTACGCCAGAAGTCGGACGAGCACTTTGCGGAGTCTGCATTGTTGTAGGAGATAGCCGATAGCCGATAGATGAGAAAATGTAGTTGGTGATGGAATAGAAAGTCGACGAGATGCACCCTTGCACGCGTCTTGGTAAAGTCTTGGCGCGTCAGGCGCTACGCGGAAAGAGCACCTCGCGGACTTCGTGACACCAGCAATAATGACCAATACGTCGAACATTCATTAACATTTCATCACTCCAACTCCAGGACTATATACCGCAGCGCCCATAACTCCTCCGCAGATCATTAAGATACCTCATAGTCGAGCCCTAGGCACTTCCTCGCTGCCACCGGTGCGCAGCAGCAGCTCCTGCCCAATCTTACGCATCTCGAACTTTTTGATCTTCCCACTGCCGGTCACCGGTATATCAGAAGTCACGCCATCTTCACCTAGCCAGAAAATATGAGCGGGAGCTTTGTGGCGGCCCAGATTTGTCCTGGTCCACTTCCGAACCTCCTCGTCCGAAGGCCTTTGAGCTTCGGCGGCTCGTTGGAGGAATGCGGCAGGAACTTCTTGATATCGCGGATGCGGTAGTCCTACGACAATGGCTCTGTCAATTGCCGGGTGCTGTACTAGTCGCTCCTCGATCTCCAATGGATAGATGTTTTCGCCACCTCGGATGATGATGTCCTTGAATCTCCCGGTGATGGAGCAATACCCATACTGGTCAAAGACTGCTTCATCGCCCGTATGCAGCCATAGAACACCGTCTTCGTCGCGGGTCATGACCTCTGCGGTCTTTTCTGGGTTCTTCCAATAACTTTGTTGCAGCTGATAGCCGGCCATGCACAGCTCGCCACGCACACCCACAGGGACGATGTTGCCATCTCTGTCGACGATCTTTGCATGCGCATGTGGCATCAAAGTGCCAACGGTCGTCAAGCGCCGATCGATACTGTCGTCCACGAACGCATTGAAGCAAGTTGGCGACGCCTCAGTCAGGCCATAGCTGCTCGTGAACTCAGTCATGCCAAAGTCATTGACGAGCAGCTCCATAAGATGGCGGGGCACTGGAGCACCAGCAATAATCCCGGTTCTCAGACGACTGCAGTCGAAGTTCGCGGGTCTCGGAAGACTGAATAGTGTGTCGAACATGGCAGGAACCCCATGCAGCGCAGTCGCCTTCTCCGTGGTAATGGCCTCCAATACAGAGGGACCATCAAAGATCTCGGACGGATACACAATCTTGGCGCCATGTGTTATGCAGGCGAGCAAACCCAAGACTAGACCGAAGCAGTGGAACATCGGCGGAGGGCAGCAGAGGACATCTTCGTGCGTCAGACTCATGCGATCTCCGATGAATCGCGAGTTGTTGAGCAGACCAAAGTGCGTCAGCATTGCTGCTTTCGGATGACCGGTCGACCCGCTTGTGAACTGCAAGTTGCAAGTCTCATAGGGACTGATGCTACCTTGGATCACCTTCACGGGATCTTCTGGAAGCCTAGCACCGACTCGTATGGCATGCTGGTAGTCCAAGAAGTCTTCAAAGGCGCCGTCCAAAGTGATGACTTGCTGCAGGGCAGGTAGAGATACTGTGTTGTCTCTGAATTGCTTAAGCATTGACCGGTTGTCTTGACGTCCAATGAAGGGCGTTGCAAACAATATCTTGGATTCTGCCAGACCTGTCAGCCTTCAATCAAAATCGTATCGACGTCAGCATTACCTGTATACTGCATGGCATACTCGGCTTCCGCAGTCGTGTAGGTGTTGTTCAGAATGACGAGAATTGCCCCTATACGCATGCACGCAAAAAAGACAGATGCATACTCAGCACGATTTCCGGCCAAAATTGCGACTCGGTCTCCTGGTTGAATTCCTCTGGCATGCAGATATCTCGCGAGTTGGGAACTATGGTCCTTCAGGTCGTAGTATGTCCATCTCTCGGAACTCCATGGTGTCACCACTGCCTCTCGATCTCCATACTTCGAACATTGTAAGTCGAGGAACTCTCCTAGCGATAGTGCTATCAGAGGCGGATCTGAAGGACCGTGGAATATGGAGTCCTGTCTCTGGTGTTTAGAGATCTCCTGTACTGCTTGGTTCAACATGTCGTTGATTTGATGGCCACTGGAGTCGCTCGAATTCCGTATCTAGATGATCAGATAACGCTGGATGTTCGCGAAGCCCTGATGGATCGACCCTAGACGAGCCAGCTTCAGTAAACGCATTACCGACACCGGCATTGAGGACAATGCGCACCGCCCTGAATCAAGCGAACTGCACGGGTGCTCGCATCGCTGTACTTCCGCGTGGGCTCGGAACCGCCTTGTGTAGGCTGTCGTGCCCATGGCGATCTTGTCTCGGCGCACTGTACGTGGGATACCTCGGCATGCAATGATGGACCTAGAAACGTCACAAACAGTTTCACCCAACACGCGGTAGCGTTGCATGTGAAGCATACCCGAGGGGATCGCGTCGATCGGGCATTCAATTGGCGTGACGGTTCCACAGCTGTCTTTACAACTGTCCTTGCTTCAACGGCTTGTATCCACGTACGCCCCATTCCTGGGCTTCTCTGGCAGTTTGCTCGTATTCCGTGTTGAGGAACAACTGGCCTTGGAGTACCGACGGCCCGCCAGTCAAGCACCACCACACGGCTTATCTCGTTCGGTTCACTACTACCGGTCTGGTACGGCTGACGAATGATCCTTCAGGAATCGACTCTGGGACGCCCATGACGTCGGAAGAGCGTCGATGGCAACATTGCTCGCGAATTTCCTTCGGACAAGAGCTCGTCTCTCATGATCCAATGAAGTCAGTGGGGTTCAGAACCTGCCTGAAAATGCAACTGGTACAACGATGGCATCTTTCGCAACGATGGATAAATGCACGCGCTAAACTTGGGCCCGCAGTAAAATATTGATCGAGACCCTCCTTGCAGTCGAGACTGAATCATGCACTGCACTTGAGGTGGACCACAGCAAAAGTGCACTATTGCTAGGCTCGGATATCTCTCTGAGAGATGGTCCCTCTTTTGCTCCCTCGAGCATCTCAACAAACAAAAATTCTGCCGGCGGGGTGGGCAAGCGACAGCTTGCGCTCAGCTGTATGGTTGCATTTGTTCCGCGCTAACAATCTCGCTACGGAAAATCAAGCACAGACTCAAACTCGAAAAGCCGAATTCGCTTAACAGGGATCTGTGCATAGCGCGCGCCACAGCCAAGCCCTATCCGACTGGCATTCTGCGGATAGATTATCAGATTGATAACTTTATGGAGACGTCCCACGTCAGTCTGCTTTTTGCAGATGAGTGGGTCTTAGCGTGCTGCCCACATGCCGATGCTTCGCCGATGGACGTGCGCTGTTGGCAAGACGTGCCGACACCAGGAGAATACCTGCTAGGGCAATCGTTCCGCACGCGCACTGTCTCATGACAGTACCGATCGCGGCCACATCGAATCGTGCGAGAAGCAGAACCGCGCATTCGCGATATGGCACGATGGACCAGGTCCGCGCGCTGCTGGACGCGTAGAAGAGAGAGAACCGGTAGGTACAGGTGCCGCCTTTTACCGGAAGAGAGGAGCTGGCTCCCGTTATCAGATCTTACCGTCTATCACACTGAATAGCACATTTGCTATCATAGGAAGCAATGGCGACTTCTACCACATACAGATGCAGACCCACAAACTTTCCGCGGTTGGACACTATCGAGCAGAACAACCATACATCAATAGCATCGAGGCAGACTTTACGAAGACAATGGACCTATCATACCAACCCAGCCGCTGCACCAAAAGGGAAGACTGCACTTTTACGTTGTTACTCGCGCTTCATTGCGGATTTCACGGGCGAGTCAGAGGTCAGCTTCCAGTTCTTGCTTCGTGAGCACGTTGACCGGACCTCAAATTCAAGTGTTGTGGAAGCGGAATTCGACGACCGAAGCCAACAGCAGCACGAGAACGACAAGGACTCAGAATGCTGCCTCGACGTGAAGGAAACCGATCAGAGCCAAGGTCCTTTTGGCTTTGGTTTGGAATTATTAGCAGACCTAGAGCACATGGACACGCTCAACCATGCGCCCCAATTGGATTGCGTAAGTCCTCACGTAGTCTTAACAGCACAATGCATAGACTGATCCTCACGTCAGCCACTTGTGATTCAATACCATGCCACTCTCCTCACAGTTGTGGTGTACTACGACAAAGATCTGATCGATCAGGATTACATTGACGCAATCTTCAAAGAACTCTTCAATCGATTATCGTTAACGGCACCTGAAGGCACAGAAGAACTTCGGCTGTCTGTGCTGAACCATCCACCTCAGTCGCATCCATCATCCACCAGCCAGGGCGAGAAGCAGGAGAAGCCTGCCGACTTACTTCATGCCGGATTCCAGCTATCCGCTTCGTCACATCCGACGCGGCTTGCCCTACAATTCTGTGACGGACGTTCTGAAGATGCTGGCGACGAAGCATTCACTTACGCAGAACTCGACAGTCTTACAACTGCACTCGCGATCAAGCTCAGAAGACTCGTGCGAGCCTCCAGAATCCCACCAGAACAGCAAATCATCATCCCAGCGTACATGGCAGGGTGTATTGCGTTCTACGTATCATGGTTAGCTGTACTGAAGGCCGGCTACGCATTCTGTCCTCTTCCAGTAGATGCGCCATCTGAGCAGCTGCGTGGCATAGTAGAAGAGGTTGGTGCGTCAGTGGTTCTTTGCAACGGCCCTCAGCTTGGCGGCCGTCCATGGGATGCCTGGTACTGCGACGATGACGAGCTTGCGACTTGTTACGATGTCAATGAGTTTATCACGCGATATCGCAAAGGCTCACTCTCGCCTATGCTACCTAATGACACTCTACCACAGGTATCTCCCTCGGACCTGGCCTATGTAATGTACACAAGTGGATCAACTGGAAAGCCCAAAGGTGTCAAAATTCACCATTTGGCTGCTTCATGTTCGATCATTTCGCACACCAAATTTCTTCCGACATCTTTCATGCGAGACGGCTTCCGCTGGTTCCAATTTGCGGCGCCCACATTTGATCCGTCAATCATGGAAATCTTCGTAACGTGGTGGACTGGAGGAACTCTATGCAGCGCGCCGAGGGACCAACTACTGACGGATCCGGAACAAGCTGTGAACAAGCTGGCAGCCACAATTATGATGGCAACCCCTAGCATGGCGAGTGTCCTAAGGCCGGACAGAGTACCAACACTTCGCCATCTCTGGACCATGGGAGAGAAGTTGACCCCAAAGGTCATCGAGAACTTCTCTTCCGACTCACCTTTATGGTCATCAGAAACCAGTCATACTCCTCGCCTTCAGCGACACCGGCGACTACTCAATGCATATGGACCGACGGAGGGATCCATCAATTGTACTATCGTTTCCAATTTCTCGGCCTTTGAGCGAGGTTCTATCATTGGCAAGCCCATCGACACCTGCTCTATTCTCATAATCGATCCAACGTCCAGGCAACCAAAGCCTGTGCCCATGGGCTTTGCAGGCGAACTGGCAATTGGTGGCCCCCAAGTCAGTCAAGGATACCTCAACAGGCCTGAACAGACTGCTGCTGTTTTTGTGAGCAGTTCAGAGTACGGTCGATTGTACCGGACGGGAGATCGAGCCCGAGTCGTCAAGAATAGCAAAGGCGAGCTGAGCGTTGAGTTCCTGGGCAGAATCACCGCTGACCAGGTGAAGCTCAGCGGGAGGAGAGTGGAGCTTGGTCAGATTGAGAATGCTATTGCTGGTGTTCCAGGAATCGCAGAAGTGGCAGCGATCGTGCACGGCCCTGGCTCTTCAGATCAAGGCAGCCAGCAAGTACTCGCTTGTGTTGTGCCAGATCATTCTGTGACGCATGAAGATTTGGTGGCGGATTGCCAGCGAGCTGCCGAAGTTGCTCTTGCACCATTCATGCGCCCTGCAATGTACGTGGTGCTCGAAAACATGCCACGATCCAGGTCTGGTAAAACAGATCGGAAAGCTCTGGGCGTAATTGCAGGCAAGAGGTGGGCTGCCAGAGCCCAGGCCGACAGGAAAGACGATGAGCTTGACCATTCGAGGAACAGTGCATCAGCAGATCCTCTAATGAAGACCATTCTAACGATCTTGAGCGATATCAGTAACATCGATGTTCGAGACATACTTCCTACCACGGAGCTATTATCCCTTGGGCTGGACAGTCTTCGAGCAGTCCGCTTTCTGCAAAAGCTGAGAGACAGCGGTCTAACTGGGTTGAACGTCGCAGACGTTTTGAGCAGTCGAACTCCAGAGGGTATCGCTAGTCGTGTTTCGACTGAAACTGGTGCCGACGCGGTATCCGAGTCACAGACCAATGAGTGGGATCAGAGACTTGCACAATACAGCTCCCGAAATCTGGAACCATGTGCTCACGAGCTCAGCATTCCTCTCGATGAGCTAGAAACGGTCCTGCCAACCACTGCCACCCAGTCTGGTATGATCACCAGCTTCTATCGAAGTGTGTCAAGGCAGGGAGGTTCGCCATCCAAAAAGAGCTATATCAATCACTCGATCTACCACGCAAGACCAGGAGCCGATATTTCCAAACTTGAGCAGGCTTGGCGCAGTGCTCTCTCTGGGCCACAGATCTTCCGAACCGTTTTTCTGCCCGTGGATGACGACTTGGCTCCTTTCGCACAATGTGTTATCTCACCGAAGTCCGACGTCGCTTCTTTGAGCATCCACAGATTTGTGTTTTCAGATACGGATGCCTGGAACACAACAATATCAGAGGCACAGAAGGAGGCAGAATCTGCCATCACGCTGAACCGGCCACCTTTCCGGCTCTCGATCATACAAGGACCCGAGCACTCAGCGTTTCTCTTGTCTTTGTTCCATGGCGTCTTCGACGGCGGCTCACTCGAACTTATATTGCAAGATGTCGAGACAGCATATTACAACAAACCACAACTCAGTCGCACTGAGATCGGCATCGCTGTCCACAAGCACTTCTCATCGGCCACTCAAGCGAGTGTGGATTACTGGCAAACTGAGTTCGGCAATCATGATCCAGTGCCGTTTCCCTGCGTTTCTGCTTCAAAGCCTGAGACACAGAATCAGGATGTGCAGGTTGAAGAGGTCATCGGCAAAGCCACAATGGAAAATATCTCTGCCGCAGCAAAAGCTGCATCTGTCTCTCCCCTCTCCATCCTGCACGCTGCATGGGCAGGAATCTTATTCTCATACACGGGAACGACTTCAGAAATCTCATTCGGCAGTGTACTTTCCGATCGCCTCGAGGATCAGCTGAGTATCTGCCATGCTCCAACCTTTACTGTGACACCTGTCAAACTCGACCACACAGCTGTCAAACAGAAGACTCTCGCAGATCTGCTCAAAACATTGACAGAGAAGAACGCTGCATCCCTACCTTACATACATGCCCCGCTCAGCTCTCTAACTACTGCAGATGGCTCCCTACCTTACGACACGCTGCTCGCCTTTCAAGCATTCGACACGGAGAGTGAAGATGGCTCGATCTGGCACAAAGTTGAACATCCTGCAATGGAACATGACTTTGCGATCATGATTGAGGTGTGGCCGACCTCCAGTGGAGCTTTACGCTTCCGCGGTACTTATACTCATCAGCATCTCGATCGACAGGCTGCACTTGCCATGCTCAGTCAGCTTGACGAGCTCGTTGCAGGGATCTGTGATGATGCTTCCGGAACTCTGCTGGACCTTCGTTGTAATCTGAGCCAACGACTGATGTCTGGAATCCTGGTCATCGACCAGCCCAACTTGCCGGAGTCGCAGCTTATCTTGCAGAGTCGATTCGAACAGCATGCAGCCACAACACCAGAAAAGTCAGCTCTGGTCTTCCGGAAATCTATCGATCATCCGGAGAACGATATCGACTGGTCATATGGCAAGCTCTCAAGGATGGCAACGGCTCTGGCTCAGACTCTCATAACGAGATTTGGCGCCGTCATCAACGAACCTATAATGATCTGTATGGAGAAGTGTCCTGAGCTTTACATTGCGGTACTCGCTGTACTAAAAGCTGGCGCTGGGTGGTGCCCAATCGACCCATACTCACCTCCGGCACGGCAGCACGCCATCATGGAGCGAACTGAAAGTCGAATTCTTCTGCTTTCGGCCACATCGTCCAAAGTCGAAAAATCCGCGATTCCCAATGGCGTGTCGACGCTCGAGATTGACCTTGATGCGATCGAAGCAGAACTCATCTCAGGTTCAAACATTGAACTCGGTGTCACACACGATCCTTCCAGTCTTGCGTACTTGATTTTCACATCTGGTACTACTGGCCTGCCGAAAGGTGTCCCAATCTCTCACAAAGCTGCCGCGACTGCGATGAATGCACTAGCAGAAGCCGTGCCAACAGAAACATCAAGTGGCGACCTTCGATGCATGCAATTCTCACAATACACATTCGACGTCTTCGTGCAGGATCTGTTCTATACCTGGAGTGTTGGCGGCGTTGTCATTTCCAGCACCAGGCAACTCATGCTGCAGAACTTTGCAGACATAGCCAACGATCTCAGGGCCACGCATGCGCATTTGACTCCCGCCTTCTCTGCTACACTTTCCCGCAGCAATATCAAGACGCTGGAAGTGGTCACTATGATTGGCGAGAAACTCACAGAAGCCGTTGCAGCTGACTGGGGCCGCGATATGCGAGCGTTCAATACTTATGGGCCAGCGGAAGTCACTGTGGTCTCAACACTGCGCAAATTTACTGGTCAAGCAGATACATACCACAGCTCCAATGTTGGTGTACCACTGCCGTCAGTCGGTGCCTATGTCATCGACAATGGACAAATCGCTATGCGCAGCGCCATCGGAGAACTTGCATTGACCGGACCTCAACTGTCGACCGGGTACTGGAACATGCCGGATGTTAATGCGAAGAAGTTCGTATGGAACGAACAACTTCAGCAGCGGGTCTACCTCACTGGCGATCTCGTGCGCCACTTGGCCGATGGCACGATCAATTACGTTGGGCGAGACGATGATCTCGTCAAGCTTGGTGGGCAAAGAGTCGAGCTCGGTGAGATTGCATTTGCACTCAAAGATGCTGACTCGCGAATCGAGAGATTTGAGGTCCTACTGTGCAAGCGCAAAGAGGCTGAAACCAGATCGGTCGTTGCTTTCTTGGCTTGTCCTTCGATTGCTGGTGCCGGTGATGAGTACGAGGCCATTCTTCACCCGCTTGCAAAGGATGTTGCAGCTAGCGCGAAGCAGTATGCAACTTCAGTGCTGCCGCCGTACATGATCCCCAGCAGCTTCGTCGTGGTCCCCAGGATTCCGACAACGGCATCAGCTAAAGTTGATCGTGCCAAATTGACGTCGATCTACCATTCCATCGATCTCAACTCATGGGAAGACAATACAGGTGCTTCCGCCACCACGACGGCGAAGGCGACAGACATACAGTGGCGCTCTGAGAACGAGCATGTGCTCCAAGTTATTGCACAAGTTCTGCGCATTCCCGCCGAAAGTCTATGCCCCAACAGTAGCCTCGCAGCTATTGGCATAGACTCGATCGGCGCCATCAAGCTGATTCCTAAGATCAACGCCCTCGGATATGGCCTATCTATCGTAGATGCATTCAAGTGTCGATCTTTGGATGACCTTTGCACCATTGCGAACGCCTCCAGACGCGCCGACTCGCCGTTAGCAAGTGAGCAGCCAGAACAGTACGTTGAGGCAGGCGTTCTCCAAAGCTTTGATTCACGGCACTACCGAGCAGTTGCGAGACGCATCCAACAAGACGAGTTCACTGTCGTCCCTACCACCGTATTGCAAGAAAATCTGCTGACAGAGTCGTTGAGAGATCCGCAAGCTTATTGGAGCAGTCACGTCTTCCGTCTCAATGAGGATGTTGATCTTGCTCGCCTACAGCGCGCATGGATCAAAGTCGCAAGGCAGACTGAGGCGCTACGCGCAGGATTCGTCCCCAAAGCTGAGCTTGGCGAAGAATCGGACGAAACGCGAAAGGACAATCTTTCGTACTTGCAGCTCATTTATGATGAGCCGCACTTCGACTGGAATGTCCATGAGATCTCCAGCGACGTCTCAGAAGCTGCGCGGAAGCGTGTCAAAGAGGTTGCTCAACAGAAACATGAACAGCTATTCCAGCAGCCGCCTTGGGCAGTCGACATTTTTGTCAGAGGCGAGGAAAGAACGCTGCTGCTCACCATTTCTCACATCATTTACGATGGACCATCTTTGGCGTATCTGGAGAACGATGTCAGAGCTGCGTACGAACGTACCCTCAAGACTGCTTCGAGAGCGTCCTTGTCTGAGGCAATTTCGTCGAGTTCCGCTCTGGATGCAGACAGCGAAACAGCTATCGATTTCTGGAAGAACAGTCTTCGGGACTTCGAATTACCTACCGCGCAAAGCTTTGCAACTGATAACAAGTTGAATCATCGAATCAAGTTCCAAGGATGCAGTACACCTATGGAAATTCTTCGCAAGGTCGCGTGCGGACTAGGCCTCAATTCTGTTGTCACGATTTTCCGCACTGCGTGGGCACTGCTCCTCTCCGATCTTCTTGAGAGCCCGCACGTCGTGTTTGCGGAGATCCTCTCGGATAGAGTCATGGACAGTAAGCTGGCTGAAGTTGTCGGACCGCTGATGTCGACTGTGCCCGTGCTCTTCAGGCGACAGAAAACAGCTGCAGAAACCATGGTACAACAGGACAACTTCTCTAGATCAGCTTGGCCTCATCGAAACATTCGCCCGAGCACTATCAAATCGCTCATGGGATGTGGTCCAAGCACGATGCTATACCCTGCAGTTTTCGCTTTCCATCCATCTGCAACTAAGCAAGATCAAGAGCACAAGGGACTGTGGAAGCGTCTCGAAGACATCACCAACATCGAGGTGGAGCACCCGCTAGCACTGAATGTTTGGCAAGAAGCCGATTCCACTCTGCAATTTGAGCTTGCTGTGGCGGACCATGTCCTCAGCGAAAATGAACATGACCTGCTACTGAGGCAGCTTGAATCAATGGTCACTGTTCTGGCTGAGAACTCGCACTTGCCAGTAGCTTCTCTGACAGATGGCTTCCCCGATGCCCTTATTGCGCGGACAACACCTCGCAGGGATACGGCATGCCCTTCCACCAAGTCTGCAACATTCTACGTAGAGCATTGGGCTGCTCAGCATCCAGACTGGAAGGCAGCCGAAATTGTGACCACGTTGGATCCTGACTGCACCGAGACGGAGTCGTGGAATTACGCTGAATTGAATGCAGAAGCGAACCGCATCGCACGTTTCCTTCTTGGTCATGGTATCAAGAAGCAGATGATCGGAATGTGCATCGGTCGAACGCTGATGTCGCTGGCTGTTCCGCTTGGTATCCTGAAATCTGGAAATGCTTATCTGCCAATTGATGAAGCCTTGCCAGCGGAGCGCAAAGAGTTCTTACTTCAGGACAGCAACGCAGCATTCATCTTCACGACACTAGAACTCATCGACGGAGTCCAGATCCCACAGGCTTGCAAGCTTGCTAATGTAGAGGACAAAGCATTCCTAGATGACCTTGCAAAGCAGCCTGGCGACGATGTGCTTCATCGTTGTGAACCTCGGGACAATGCATACTTGCTCTACACATCTGGTAGTACCGGCAAACCAAAGGGCGTGCTCGTCAGTCAACAGAATCTGGCATCTTTTGTCGAGGCTCAGTCTGAATTCATTTGCGATGTCACCACAACCAGAGAATTAGCCGGCCGCGGCAAATATCTTGGGCTCGCGAGTCGCGCTTTCGATGTGCACATAGGCGAGATGTTCCTGGCGTGGCGACACGGATTTGCGATTACGACGGGATTGAAGTCGATGCTACTGGATGACCTGGCCTTGTGCCTGTCTTCACTGCATATCACGCATGCCAGTTTCGTGCCGTCTCTCTTGGATCAGACTGGCCTCGATCCCGAGGATGCGCCCGATCTTGTCTTCCTTGGCGTAGGCGGCGAGAAGATGTCTCCCAAGACGAAGAAGAAATGGGGATCATTGGCAAATGTGGGATTGATCAACGCCTACGGCCCAACCGAAGCCACCGTTGGGTGCTGCTCTGGCCGCCTGTATCCCAACTCCGATGCACGAGACATCGGTATGCCATTAGGAGACTCGGTTGGCCACGTTCTGATTCCCGGCACTGACAACTACGCTCTTCGTGGCATGCCTGGTGAGCTTTGCTTCACTGGCAGTTTGATTGCGAATGGTTATCTCAATCGTCCAGACGCGAAGGGGTTCGTTGAAGATTTCCGTGGTCAGCGCATGTATCGGACCGGCGATATTGTCAAACTAAGAGATGATGACCACATTCTCTTCTTGGGGAGAAAGGACGATCAAGTGAAGATCCGGGGTCAACGTGTGGAGCTTGGTGAAGTTGCAGAAGGAGTTCGCGAAGCCTCTGACGAGCCAATCGATACTGCAGCTCTTGTCGTCAGACATCCGGAGCTCTCTCGTGACCAGCTTGTTGCTTTCATGGCGGCGTCTGGTGCCGTGAAGCGCAAGGGCGACGAGACCCCACCTCAAATTGACGTGTCACAAGTACAAGGAGCCAACACGAAGCTGCGAGCCAACTGTCAAAAGTCTTTGCCAGTTTACATGGTCCCTGACGTGATTGTGCCACTCGATTACATACCTCTTGCTCCGACGTCTGGAAAGGTCGACACCAAGACTCTCGTCAAAACGATCTCGGAGACACCAATGAGCACTTTTGCTTCTGGTCACTGGAAGACAGGTCAGAAGTCTGCAGTCGCGCGAGAGTTGACTGAGTCCGAAGAGCGAGTGTGGGACATCATTGCCCCGGTGCTCAAAGACAAGCCATCCTCGGTCACTCCAGCGACCACAATATTCGAGCTCGGAATCGACAGCTTGTCAGCAATCAGTGTATTCTCGCGGCTCCGCAAAGCTGGATATGAGTGCAGCGTGGCGATGGTGATGAGAAATCCGACCATCGAGGCACTGGCACAAAGTTCGACCCGCGCTGCTGGCCAAGATGTGGAGAAACACAGCTTAGTTCAGTCTCAGCTTGCAAATCTCGAGCAGAGTCTACTGCACAGCAACGAGCTTGAAGTGGTGCGTGGTCACGTTGCAGCTATTCGCCCCTGCCTACCGTTGCAGGAGGTGCTTCTTGGACAGAGCATGCATCAGAATGCCGATCAGGGCAAAGGCGGAGCATACATCAACCACATGGCTTTGAAGATTGATAGCAGCATGGACGTGAAGCGCCTGCAAAGTGCTTGGGAAACACTGATTCGCGACAACGAGATCCTCCGCACCTGTTTTCTGCACAAGGACGACTCGTTTTACCAAATTATACTCAAGTCTGAAGCAACCCGCACCAATTGGAGAGAGAACGACTTCCCATCGACCAGTTCTCTCCAAGCCATTCAGCATCAAGTCGAGGAAGAAATAATCCACAATGCCTGGACGCAGCCGCCTTTGCAAGTCAACTACTTGCGCGACCACGACAATACATTGTTGATATCGATCCATCACGCTATTTATGACGGGCACAGCTTGTACCTGATGTTTCATGACTTGGAAGCCATCTATCACGACCAAGTCCGTGAGACTAGACTGTCATCTCAACCGCTGGTCGAACACATTGCGCAACAAAATCAAGCACGAGCTCAGACCCACTGGTCGACACTCCTTCGCGATTGGCGACATGCCAAATTACTCGGCGATAAGGGCAGAAGCAACTCAACTCTACAGGAAGTACAGCGTGACTTCAATGCAAAACTGTCCACCTTGGAGAATCAGATCGCAGGCTCCTTGAGCGTAACGCTGTCCAGCGTTCTCCAGCTTGCATTTACAATTGCTCTCTCACAGACGATGCAGAGCACAGATATTATTTTTGGCAATGTTTTGTCTGGTCGCACAATTTCACTGGAGAATGCGGACAACATCATGGCGCCGTGCATAGCGACTGTCCCCGCCCGTGTGACGTTCGCTAACGCACAGGGGCAACAGCTTAAAGACGTTCTGAGCACTCTCCAGAAAGACAATTCTGCATCCCTGGAATTCCAACACGTGTCTCCAAGAGACATCCAGCGCTGGTTGAAAGCAGACAGGCCACTTTACGATTGCCTGTTTTCGTTCGCGCGCAAGCAGCAGGAGGCGAGCTCAACAGAGCAGAATAGAAGCCTGTTTCCAGACGTGACGCAGAATACCATCACAGTCGACTACCCGCTTGCGATCGAGTTCACTGCCAACAGTGAGAAGGACTCGCTTACTGTCGGTCTTGGTTACATTGCAAATGTATTCCCCTCCGAGGAAGCTTCCCGCGACTTCCTTGAGAAAGTCGAGTTCTTGGTGGAAGCGATTCTTTCGCGAAGCCACGAGCCGCTCTCAGCTTTTGGAGTGGCAACCACATCCGATTCCACCGGTGGCTCAGCACAAGATGTACACTCCATGGACAGCACCGAGGAAAGTGCCTACACCCCTCTCGAGCTCGAGCTGAAAACCCTTCTCGGTGAATTCGCCAAAGTCGCAAAAGATCAAATTCGCAAGGACACGCCGTTCATTCATGTGGGCGTTGACTCCATTTCTGCGATCCGGTTTGCAAAGTTTCTGAGAACGAAAGGCTTCAAGAAGGTGTCCTCCGCCGACTTGATCAGAAACAACCGCGTGCGCACATTGGCGCAGTTCTTGGCAGCTCAAGCTGTAGATGGAGAGCACCAGAGCCAGGATGACAGGACCAGAGTCGACGATGCAGCACAGGGACAGGAGCGACTGGTCAAGTCCACTCTCATTGAGCATGGCATTCTCTCGTCTCTTGGCGACAACGACCTATCATCGGCCGAGAGCAGGGAGGACGCGATCGAAAGCGTCTACGCATGCACACCTCTCGTATCTGGAATGTTGACACAAAGTCTTGCTTCCGATGGAGCATATTACATGCATCATCACGCCTTCCGCTGCCACGCGGGTGTGGAAATTGAACGTCTGAAGAAGGCTTGGGATCTTTGTGTCGAGGACTGCGACGTGCTCCGTACAACATTCCATTGGCTTCCAGAGCTTCGCGATGCGGGCAGCCCGTGGGTAGGCGTCGTCCACAAAAATGACAAAGGGAACGTGAAGAAACCAGATTGGAGGCAAGTCGAAGTCGAGAACGCTCATCAGTATTGGTTGTCGCTGTCGTCTGAGAAATCAGACTTCTCTCGTCGAATCGAGAGTGGCGAGCCTTTGGCGGGCGTGACAGTTGTGCAAGAGAGCCTTTCTGACGACAACAACGCGAATGCGAAGCGTTCACCGGTCATCATTCTCACTCTGCACCACGCGATATATGACGGTATCAGCATTGGCATGCTCTTTCGACAGCTGGCCGCACGGTATATTGGGAACCAGATGCCGCCATCCATTACGCCCTACTACAAAGCCGCTCAAGCCATTGCCCGAGTCGCAAAGCCAGCAGTCAAATTCTGGGTCGAGCAAGTGAGAGGATATGAGGGCGCGCCAATCATCGATGATTCGGCATCAAGCGAGTTCCATCTTGCAGAGCGAACAATCACTGCCGAGCCACGATCGTTGGAGTTGGCATCTTTGGGAGACGACATTTCTCTCAAGGACGTGCTAGTGGCAGCATTTGCCAAAGCACTAGCATGCCTGCATGGACGACGTGACGTCGCATTTGGACATGTCATGGCGGCGAGGACCGGCGTCGAAGTCCATGAGGAAGATGGATCAGGCGACACCGAAATTGTTGGTCCAATGTTCAATACCGTTCCCTTCCGCGTGTCGATGAAAGACTCCCTACAGAGCAACCAGGAGCTCGTCCAAGCTGTACGCGATGTGAACACCGGCTCTCTAGAGTATCAACACGCATCTCTAGCGGAAATACAGAAGAGCTGGAGGAGCGATGACAACAGCAACATAGATCCAAGTGCTGCACTGATCGACAGTCTGTTCGTGTACACCAAAGTGGACGGGAGCGCTGATGGACCTAGTTTGCTCACCTTGGGCAAGCCGCTCGAATCGGACACAGCTCCAGTGCCTTCAGAATACCGCTTGAACTTTGAAGTCGAGCACCTTCCTGAGGGCGTAACAGCACGAGCACATGCCTCCATCCCCAAAGCAGAGCTCGAAACATTGCTCGATCATTTCCAATCCGCGGTGCAAGATATTCTTCAGAAGCCTGAGCGATACGCAACGGCATATCCAGAACAGTTGCGAAGCCTGCCGCTCAAGCTTCAATCAACTGCTTCAAAGAGCGTTGGCTTGGTGTCCTTTGATAAGCTTGCCATTGAGCAATACGCAGACACGATCCGCAAAGCTATGGCGGAAGTCGCTCAAGTCTCGCCTGAAAGCATCACGCTCGAAGCAAGCATCTACTCTTTTGGCATCGATTCGATCGCAGGCATACAGATCGCATCCCGATGTCGCAAGGCCGGTCTTCGAGTCAGCGTTGCGGACATTCTCAGCGGTGGTACACTGGGGCGAGTCTGCGAGATAGTGGCTAGCGAGCTTGACAAAGCCACCGACAGCTCGAAAGCAATGAGTTCTGCTGAGCTCGTCTCCAGCGAGCAGACCCAGGCCGTTTTGACCCATCTGGCAATCGACTCAACCGACATCGAAGAAGTACTGCCGCTGCTACCTGGTCAAGAGTATCATCTTCAAAGCTGGCTGCAATCAGGAAGAACGCTATACGAGCCAGGCTGGACTTTCTACTCGCGGACTCGTCTTGACGCAGACAAACTGCGCGACTCGTGGAACAGGTTGAGGCAAAGCAACTCTGTCCTGAGAACCACTTTTGCAGCGATTGCAGATAAGACCGTTTTGCAAGTTGTGCTGCGAGATGGTGCCATCAAAGTTGACGGATTCGTAGAGGTCAAGAGCGACAAGAGCATGGTCGAAATCGTCAAGGAAACGGCACATGCAGAAGCCCGCGCTCCATCAGATCTCTTCTCGCCTCCCATTCGACTTCGTCTTGTCAAAGCAGCAGATGGAGATGCGGTCATGCTTTATGTGCATCATGCTCTCTACGATGCATGGAGCATGCCGCGGCTGATCACAGAGCTTGCGAATATCTACCAGGGCGGTGAGCCAGACTCTGCACCTTCCTTCTCCGCACTGGTTCGCCACACGATACAATCCCGTGATCCAGATGCAGAGAAGACATTCTGGCGACAGACTCTCACTGGATCAGAGAAGGCAATCATTCCATCGGCCTCCAAGACGAGAGACGACCAGGACCGCAGCCAGAGCTTCTGCATGATCGAAAGCACGACGGCTCTTCTTGCCGACATCGAGCAGGTCTGCGCCAGCCATAGCATCTCACCACAGCATGTCATGCTCGTTGCGTTTGCTCGCGCCCTTGCCAACGTCACTGCGACCTCCAGCCCCATGTTTGGTTTCTTCCAGCTCGGTCGCAGCACTGCATTCGATGGCATCGAGCACGTACTAGGACCAATGGTGAACACGCTTCCATGGTGTGTGCCAGAAGTGCTCAAACGGGATGTGCTCGACAGTATCCGAAAGATTCAGCAAATGCTCAGCGCACGTGTCGCCTACGAGCAGAGTAGCTTGCGCACTGCTGTACAAGCCGCAGATCCAGGTGCAACTCAACTTCCGTTCAATGCGTACTTGAACGTCTTATGGAACAAGAATATCCTCATCGGATCTGGGTCTGCGAACGAAGAAGACAACCTCTTCCAGCCTCTTGCGTTGGGTGTCCCGACCGACTACTCTTCGCCGCAGGCTCTACCAGGACGCACAGCAGTAGACGCACTCGATACGAACTTTTTGCAGTCGCATCAGGTTTTCGTCGATGTCGGACCGGGAGAGAAGGGAATTGTGTTCGGAGTGAGAGCAGATGCAGCGTTGATGAGTGTCGAAGGAATTCGTGGCTTTGTTGGAAGTATTGAGCAAGAAATCGTTGCTTGTGTGGCCGCATTGCGAAAGTAGAATTTGCGCCGCACTGTAGCAATGGGTGGACTGAAGCATTTCTGAAGGCGCCGGTGGTGTTTTAGATCCTTATCATCGATACCTACTATATCCATGTTTTAGCACATTTATCTGATTGAGATTCCACGCGATATAGAATCATGGCTTGGCATGAGTGAAGTTGCGCCCTCCAGCAAAACCATTGGCGCTTAATCGCCCTCGTCAAACCGCATGCACTTCGGCAATGCGCCACGATTTAGAACCATCTATAATTACTGTGAGCACAGCCGCCCAAACCAGGGCGGCATAAATGCAGAGGGCGATGCTCAATCATAGAAGCGAAGTAGCCTCCAAAAAACATTGCTGTCCACCTCTCCTTCACCTAACATTCACTGATCCAGCCAAGCACAATATGACAACGGTATCAGACCCAACTGCAGACATGCCTTCTCCGAGCATGGTCTACACTCGACAAGACGAATTCGACAGTACTCTCAACGATGCAAATCTTTCCACCGGTTGCCCTCTACAAGCCACGAGAAGTGATATTATGCCCAAAGAAGCACTCTTTCCTCTCGGACGACTCGAAAATCTCCCCCACGAGCTCCTCATCGAAATCATCCTCCACTGCGATCCCGTTTCACTAGCGACATTTCGTCGTATCAACCGCCGAGCAATACAACTAGTCAACTCCATCGCCCAATACGGTTCCATCCTCAAGCATTGCCCAGACATAATCCGCGCTGTCCTCAGCATTCAAGCGACTTCATACGACTGCCAGACATTATATCAAACCCTCTGCACGACGCAATGCTCCAGCTGTGACCGCTTTGGCGACTATCTCTACCTCATCACCTGCGAAAGAGTCTGCTACGCTTGCTTCACCACGCGGACAGAATTCCTACCTTTGGAAACCGGTCTCGCATCATGTCACTTCGCGGCGCACAATCCTCACCAGCAAGACTCCGGCAAGACATTTCGTGACCACCTGCTCGAAGCAAACATTCCAAATATCCTTAGCTTACCCGGGCGCTACGCTTCAACATGGCCGAAAGATCGGAGTAAAATAGTGCGAAAGCGTGTCCGACTCTTTGATCGCAGAGCGGTGATGAACGGAGACGCTACGAACGAGCTTCCAATGTTGGACAGGACGACTTGCGAGCCGAGGAGATTTATGGCGATTATTTCGGCGCCGTATTTATATGACCGGGGACGGAAAGCAGATTGGGGATATTTCTGTCTTGGGTGTAGAGATGGGCGAGACGCAAGGGACGGAGTATCTAAGATGAGGATCAAGTATACGAGGAAAGGGATTTCGGAGCATTTGGAACGATATGGTCATGTAAGGCCTGTGAACGAGGCGGTTGGTAAATACATGCATGTCAGGAGGGAGAGGTACGACGTCTAAAAATTGCTGCTAACGCCTAACAGCATCAATGCTTGATGTTCTGTACAATTCATGTCGTCTACCACCAAACGCCTCCAACTCACGCTTAACGATGCATCTCGTCCGTCCTCGGCTTCACTGTGTGCGCTCTGCACATGTGATTAGATGGTACGAGATATTGTTTGGTAACCGTATTGCACGAGACATTGGTCCCGGTGCGGCTACGGCATTGGATGAAACGCTCTGGTTTTTCACAGCCACATGTGTAGCGGCGCATCTTCTGGACGCACATTGTGTGAGGTGTTGGGGTGGTAGCTGGCCTTGATAGAGAAGGGTCTGAGGCAAATGTCAGCATCGATTCGTGCCGAAGAATGGTGCTTCTGGAGAGTTGGACTTACAGAGAGTGTGTGAGAAGCTCGGAGAGGCGCTGCTGGGTATTGACTGTGGTTTGGCAGTGTGGGGTTGGTTTGAGGTCTGGTAGAGTGTGCTCGTTTGAGCTTCTTGGCTACTCTGATGATGATTCCTTCGATGCTGAAGGGACATGCTGGTTTTATGTCTCCGAAAGCATCACGTAAACTGCATTCATGGCAGAATCCCAATGGTGTGTGCCCTCGGTGAAGCATGCGTGAAAGATTTCGCAGTGTATCGTAGCGGCTGTGGGCTGCTTCCACTCATGCAATGAGTTCAACCAGGGTTCATCGTGCTATACATGCTGACTTGCCATATTATCGACGAAACGAAAGACTATGTGTCGTGTAGGCGCGCCACAGTGGCCGTTCTTTTGTTTGCTGGGCCGCAATCCGGGGCTTGGCTAGTGACCACCAAACAGTTCCAGGCGGAGGACTTTCGCTTGCCTACTCAGACGTCAACTTCTTTTCATTGCCGCGCAGCAATCTAGACAGCAGAGAGCATCTGGCAGGTCCGTCGACAGCCTCGCCTGAAATAAAGCAGCCCGCGACAGGCGCCATCGCAATACCTCTTGCGGCGAAGCAGCTGCCTCCGAAATTTTGCATTGGCCGACGAATTCTGCTTATCATGGGCACCGCTCAACTCAAGAACACCAACGTGCGTCTCCTCGCCTGTTCCTTCGATGAGGACGGTAGCACCGATAGTGACTATCGCTTCCTACTCGACGAGAAAAACGTGAAGTATGTTTCGACCGCGCCAGGCGTTTTTCCCGACCGCCCTCTCACAGATCGGACCTTTGCGCCCACTCTTATTGGCGAGCTCTTGCCACCCTTTCCACCCGGGGACTGGAACAGCGGACACGTAGCCAAGGACCCCGCGACGGCCGAAGTGTATTTCGCCAGACTCGAGGCGATCGAACTCCCAAAGGTGGAAACCGTCTGGCATCCCACCCAGCTCAACGAAGTGGACTTCACTGAACAAGATGATCTCAACCAGAGAGTCCGAATCTGCACTAGCCCTGCAATCAACAATGGCAAACCTGTCATCGTCAAGATGGCCGTCTGGCCATGGGAAATCGACCACATGAGGACGGAAACCGCAATTTATCGATCTCTACACGAGAGTGGCAGCCGCGCTGGGCCAAAATTCCTGGGCCACCTTTTAGAGGGCGATGGAGGCCGGGTCATCGGCATCGTGATCGAATATGCCGGGAACATGAGACGCGCTGCGGGTTTGGAAGATTTGACAGCTTGTAAGAGGGCTCTTGCGCGGTTGCACGCGCTGAGTATCAAGCTCGGCGATCCCGATCATGGGAATTTCCTCGTGCCTAAGGGAGACGGGGCGGAGGGCAAAGAGGTGATCCTGATCGATTTCGAGTTCGCGAAGCAGAACTGCTCGAAAGCCGAATTGGAAGAAGAGATGGAGTTGCTGCAGCGGAAGCTGGAAGAAGGTGATCAGACTGCCACCTACTTTGAGGCGGAGGAGGGCACTTCGGTCGGTTGAGAAGTTCCTTCTTGGTCGTAAGTGTTCTATGCTCTAGCAGTATGTACACGTACCAGTACAGTGTTTCTTATCTTAGCATTTTCATGTCGCTCTCGATACTCTCCGTTGCTGAGCTCATCTTATCGCGAAGCATAATTTCTCCTGCTCAATGTCCGCCTAGCGAAGTCTCTCATTGCACGTGGGATTTCATTTCCGCCTCCCCTCCCGAATCGTGATTCTTTCCAGCACGTCCATAGGTCCTCGCATTCCTTCTCTCAGGCTGCTGTGCATATTCCTTCTTCAGCCAAACATGCTCGCTCCTCCACTCTCGATCGCATCAATTTCAGCCTGGCTCCACGCTGTCCGGTGGAACCTCTTTGGCAAATCGTTCCTATCCGCGAATTCTCCCTGTGCTACTTTGATCGGCCCCAATTCCTTTGCGCTCCTGCCTCCAATCGCTCCGTAAGGATTCAATGGTGCGGCTGCGGAGCCAGAAGACGGTGCGTTAGGCTTCTGCTGGCCGCCCTTCAGAGGTCCGTGTTGAATGGCTTGTTGTCGGTAGTTGGCGAACGATGAAGGAAGATCGTGGGATGGGGACTCGGGGTGTGGCTTTGGGGTATGGTCGACTTCTGTGAAATAGACTTGTGGTTAGTGATATGTCGATCGCAATGGCGAGTGTTTGCGAGAGTATGACGTACGCTTGGGGTTTGATCGCTTTCCCAAGAAACGGATCATGGGCTGGCGGTGCTGGAAGAGCCGCCGTGTGGCCTGCATTGTGCGTGGATGTGTGCGTGGATGTGGTTTGCGACGAGGTTGTTGCAGGTATGGTAGGTGGTCGGGGATCCGATATCCTCCGTCGGGCAGTTTACGGCGTGTCGGATAAGGTTTGCGATATGGGAGAGGAATCTGCAGCGGTCCACATGGGAGTCGAGGGAGGCGTGCAGGTCGACGAAGCTGCGCGTCGGTCGGTGTGCGCGTGAGAGAGTGAGAGGACGTGGGTGGAAGGTGAGAGTGGAGGTGGGATGTGCTTTGTAGAACTAGTTCATGTCGGTGATTGTCGGGAGTCGACAGGCGTCCATGCGCGCATGTGGAGTCCCCGGCGAAGCTTGCTCCAATCTGGCAACACGACGCGCGCGGCACATCATCGTCCTCTTCACATGCAACGAATCAAACCTTCGCGCCAGCAATTCGGCTCGTCGGATTTTGTGGGCATTCTTTCAAGTGAATGTTGAAGGGCTTGCACAATTGCCAGACACCTGCTTCTAAGACCTGATCCTGCGGTGGCAGCGGCATTTTGACGAGCACGTCGGAATCGATCAAAACAGCAGTCTATTCCGCCCGCTCTCACGCCATTGTGCCATCGCATCATCACTAAACATCCCCACTGTGTCGTGCGAATCCCTTCGCCCATATCGACCCCATATCTCCGAAATCGGGCTTTGCAGCAACCGCCGGGTCATCCTCGACACATCACCACCACTATGCGGGAGTACTTGCTCTATTCGCAAATTCCGGCCGCGCGAGAGGAGCAGGTTCTAAGCATCCTGGCCGGAATCTCAAGTAATCAACCCACGCCCATCAACGAGCAGATTTTGCTGTATGCTCAGCTGAAGGCTCAAGAGGCTGCAGTTTCTAAGAGGGTATGTTGTCCAGTCCTAGTAGTCGTTTCAACGGTCGTTGGAGCAGCCACCGTTCTTCTCCTACCGATAGCTGAGGGGATCAATGCTTGAGGGAGCTAACACGGTCCTTGCAGCAACCGCAGCCCAAGACCACTGTCACACAGCCTTTGAGCTACCACAGACTTGTACGTGGTTTCAACGTCGATGGCGATACTGCAACAAATGTACAGCCATGGACTTTTCGAGCAGAGTCAGGTGAGTTGCGATTCCTACCCTTCAATCTACTCTCTACTATCGATTGGCACTCGATTCCCGTCCACTCGTCTCTCCACAAGGTGACAGTTCCACTAACGATCACCCACACAGTCCCTGACACCGGCATAACAACCTACATCTCCCGCAACACCACTTCGCAACCTGCAACCCCAGAGCAACTTTCCCTCTTCAAGCAACCCCAATCCTATCATCTCAAGCGTCAATATGTCCAGTCCGGGTCCCGCTTCGTTCACCACAACCTCATCATTAAAGTCATCCGCTTCTACTCCAATCCACCAGAGACTGCAACACCACCCCAAGACCCTCTTGCTGAAACTTCGCCGCCAAGGACCTCTAGCCAGCTGAAACTCATCGACGCAAGTGGGAGCTTCATCATCGAGGTGTCAATCTGCGTAGATGATCCAACCAACAGCACGCTGACAGAGGCAGCCGTGGCGGAATTGACGAGGTTCAAGTCGACGCTCGATGGTGCCATTGATTTGATTGCGCCGGATCGATTGCTGTTGGATACGAGAGTTAAGGGCAACCCAATGGGTATCGCATCGGGTGCTTGAAGGACATATGACATCTCCGCTGGTGACCCTCCGGCACCTCTACTGAACAAGTCTCTATCAAAAGAGCGGAGGGCTTCAAAACAACTTACCGACTCCACGTGGCCTGTGATGGCAAGAAAACAACATCCATTATGGTACGGCGATTCGCCTATCAATCTCTCGAGGGCGCAGAAGCAAGAGTCTCGAGAGTTACCATTACAGGCGAGTATTGGCACTGCGTTGCCAGATTTGAAAGCAATAGCTCAAAAGGCCGCCTCGGAATCCACGATTCATGGTCCGATCAAGCGGAATGACCTGTTTTGCCAAGATTCGCAGCCATGACGGCAGGAGGCGAAAGAGAGCAGGACCGGTTATCATAGAAGTCACTTGCATATGTAAAGAAAAGACTTATGCGCCACAAACCAAATAGAAGCGACTGATTGATTGATCCATTGATTCCAATTTTCAGACTCCACGACTGTGCCATGCTGCCCGGGTATCGTGCTGTTGATCCCCAATAATTCGCCATGTTCCCCACGCCTTGAAGAGCGCACACCTTCTTGGATAATAACACAGACTGATCGAATCGTAAGCAAAACTCCAGACCGAATACACGGACATCCACCCCACCAGCTTCCCGTGCGCCGCCCTCAAGAATTCTGGTATTCCGTTCTCAATACCTCCAGCCTCCTCGCTCGTAACCGAGACTGCTCTGTCAAATATCTCGTCCTCGCGTGATCGAGCATCAAATCCACGCTGAGCGCCCTTCCCCTCGTTCGCCATAGGATACCATTCTCTTCGCCGCAATAGAATACGGCATCGCAAGGGACCTAATCTTGTGCTGGTTGCTTTTTGGCGCTGTTGCTAGTGTTTTCGACCACCGCATCAGCGCTCTCTTTATTCTGCTCCGGCTCATCCCAGTTGCTGCTTCGACGACTCAGGTCCAGCGTTCCGGCTGCGCTGCTTTGGCGCAAAAGACTCGGGGTATAAGCTTGACCGCCGATGCTGCCCGGGATACTACCGTTTCGGACATGATGACGATCAGACTCATTGTTCAAAGCGCCTTTCGTGTCGACACTTCTCACACTCGCGACATCGTGTATGCTCTTGGCATCATACTGCGAACGCGCATCCATGCCGCTGATCGATCGTGCGTCGTCTTTGATGTTCGTGATGGAACGCAAAGATTTGGCGTCACCAGGTCGGTTGTAGTAGGAGTTGCGCTCAGACTGTAGAGCAGATGTGTGCGTGCCTGGCAGTTCCCGAATGAGACCTGACGAAGAGTACACGCTAGCGCGTTCCGCACTGGCTGATCCAGGCATGCCACCGATCGATTGACGAGATGGATCTTGTCCACTGCTCAACACACTCAGTGGCAGTGACTCGCGGCTGCCTCCGAACGTCGATCCAGGGGCTAGAGCGCGCACTGATGCGTCTGTATCCATGCTTCTCCGCCTTCGCTTGCTCGAGGAAGCCAAGGTGAGGATGCTGGCATTGTCCGAGAGCATGTTGTTGGCAGTGGCCGAACTGTAAGTCGCAGGGGTGTTTGCGACCGAGGCGGCGGTAGCATCGGCGTGCAAGTGTCGCGGAATTGCAGACGCAGTCATGGCCGCAGATGGTGCTGGCGACACCGGGTATTGATGCGAAAAGTGAGTGCCATTAGGCTGACTCTGACTGTTGTAGTGTGTATGTTGCGAGGAATTGTGGTGTCCAGCGGCATTTGACATCGACTGGATTGTAGTCAAGGTAGTTGCCAGAGAGTGATCGCTGTGGTTTGGCGAGCTGAAGGTACTATTCGCACCCGCCGTACTCAGTGCGCCTGCACCCGTGGACGTCGTTACCGCTCTGCTGTGCCCGGCATCGCTGTGTACCGTTTCTGGGTTTGTTGCCAGCGTTGGAGCTCCACTCTTGTTGCCGTGGCCGTTGTGCCCCTCATCCTCCTGCACTGAGCTTCCCGGAAGCGACGAGAATGACGCGCTCTCATATTGCTCTCGTCCCGATGGGCTCAGCGAAGGCTGACTTTCTTGATGCGGTTGGTGGAAATGCCCAGATTGCGGGTACGGGTTGTTCTTGCTCGACGACGTGTTGTTCTTCTTGTGCTTGAGAACATTGCCTCCACTGCCCTTCTTGCCATTGTCTTCCTTCTTTTGGTCTCCGTGTTTGAAATTGGTCAGGCGTTTGACGAAATTGGCGAATGGACGGCGCTTGTTGGGACGCTCTACGAGGAATGTGTCAGCGGTGGGTTTCCGGATGTGGAATGCCATGCTGCAGAGCATAATGCATGCGCATTCGTGTCAGAGGGGAGAACAGCGCTTACCAGGCGGCCTGCTGTCGACTTCGGCGGTGGCCATGCTACTCTGAGCGCACGGCGTCTGCCGGTGGTGTTGGCTACGCTGTCCCGTGCGGGAAGGAGGAAGCCTGCTGCGCAACGGGGATGATCGGAGTCGTGCGGAAGGAGACAGGTGGTCGCTTGGCAGAATGAAGTTGGCGGTGCTGTGGACGAGGCGGGGAGATGCTGGCGAGCAGGTGCGGCGATGCTCTGGATCAGAAAGCTCGAGCTGTTTGAACCCTTCGAGAGCTCCCAGCTGCTTGTCTCCTGAGGATGAACTGGACAAAACACGTCGATCCGTTCGCTGCGGGCGAGATGATGAGCGGCGAGGGGGGCGGAGTGGTGGCGGTACGTGTTATCGGAGGCAGCAGTGGGCGGAGAGCGGACAATGGGGTGGTGGGAGGGCAGAGGCCTGGACGCGCTGGTTAAAGAGCACAGATGGAGCACCCGCCATCTGCAAGCAAACTCCCTGCAGAAATCTGATGTCACGCTCCACGTGCTTGTGTTTCAGGCTAGAAAGCGCGAGACCCTCCTTAATTTGACTGCACCTCATCGTCGTCGCTACACACTGCCACCGCCGTCTACTGCCCGGTTTTCATCATCTGCCACCTGAATCGCCGCCCATCGCAATCATCAGTCGTGGCTTCTGGTGCTTTCGAAGCAGGACAGCATCTTAGCGAACATCATGCTACACTCCACGTGCCACTTTCCGACCAGGACGCGCCACCCGACGCCATGATCGGGCTGCCCGTGCCACCGAGGCGTGATCATCAGCATGGAGAGCGCACAACCCCTGGGCCGCCTCGTATCTTGCCATTGAGCGCGGAAGCCATCTCTCAAATCCACTCCTCGAAGCACATCACCACGTTGCAAGGCGTGGTCTGCTCGTTGCTTGAGAACAGTCTCGATGCTGGCGCAGACAAGATCAGCATTTCCGTGGACTGGATGCGCGGTAGCTGCTCGGTCGAGGACAATGGTGCCGGCATTCCGTCAGCAGAATTTCTCGAGAATGGCAGTCTAGGCAGGATGCACTGCACTTCGAAGCGGTCTGCTTCTCGTCAGCAGAATGACCATCTGCATGGATCTACTGGCACCTTTCTGGCAGAGCTCGCAATTATGTCGCTGCTGGAGATCAGCTCGCTTCCCGAGAGGGCCACGATGTCGGGCACATTGACCATGCACCACGGCAAAGTCATCACCCGCCACGTGAAAGCTGCCGATACGAGCCTGTTCGCCACTATTCTCCAAAGGCATGGCACGAGTGTTTCAGTTCGTGACTTATTTGGAAACATGCCTGTGCGAGTGAAGCAACGTGCGCTCTCCGCGGATTCTGGCAATGATCATGAGAAGGCTTGGCACGAGCTCAAGCGCGATATAGCTGCTCTGTTGCTTGCATGGCCTAGACCGTGTTCTATCAAGGTACGAGAACCCGACGCAGAAGCGCACAGGGTCACGTTCAACAGCGGTAGTGCTGCTAGCCTCACCAAACGAGGCCTCGGCCAACTGGAAGGTAAGTCCGTTCAACACGATTTGAGAGATACTCTGCCAGTCATTTTCCAAGCTTCACTTGGGCCCACGGAATCGCGAAGCAGATGGGTACCACTTTCTGCTTCTACAAGCGTGGTGTCCCTACGGGGAATGATCTGTCTCGATCCGTCGCCACATAAGCAATGTCAATTCATCGCTATCGGTGTCTTCCCGTGCGCTCGTAACGATGCCCACCACGATTTATACCACGCAGTCAACAGCCTTTTTGCAAACAGCAGCTTCAGCGCATCGGAAGACGGCCCCCGGAATGCCAAAACTTCACCCAGACCAAACACAGTCCCGCGGCAAAGTCATGGAGAGAGAGCACAGAAGAGTCTCGATCGACATGCCATGTATGTCCTCCAGCTTAACTTCCGCGAAGCCAACCGCGTTGTCGATGCAGACGCTGCGGCCATGAGCGAAGCGACTATGAAGTGCCTCGTGGACATTCTCGAAGCCGCAGTCCACGCGTGGCTCGAAAGCAATCTTTTTCGTCCTCGGAAGCGCAGAGAACGTCGAGATGACCGCTTTCGACCATCGACAGCAGCAGCACGGACAGCTCCACGAACAGAGTCCGGTCCCCCGATTCGGGCCCCTTCGACTGCGCAGTACTCCGCCAGAGGTGCAGGACCAGCAGACCTGGGTCAAGACACTGTCAAAAAGTATGGTCGTATTATTGATCTGTCCACTGAGCTGCATGCCACTGGGCATAGCCCTGATCGCCTTTCGATTGAAGAAGATGCTCGGCATTATCTGACTCGCCTTCGAGCAGGCCCATCGCGAAACAAACGCCATGCCGATGCTGTAACTGCAAAGCCTCGCTCCGAAGCCAGAGACAGCGCTTTACGCACTCAGCCTGACGCTTCTGAAATTCATGGACCGAGTCCTACGACGTCCTTGGTCAGCAGAATCCGTGCGCCACCACTTCGAGTAGGAGATCTGAATTCGAAAAAGCCAGTCTTCCGCGCATACGATTCCGAGGCCCCTTCAAGCGACAACTTTGGTAACATTGACGAAGAAGAGCTTTTGAGAGCGGAGCCGGCGTGTCAGAGTCAGAGTCGCCACCCTTCGCCACCAGGAGAGAGCATCACGACCTGGACTGACCCCGTCAGCGGGCATATTTTCCGGGTAAATTCGCGTACTGGCGTAGTGCTGCCCACCGACGACAACGCGACTGGCTCAATTAATCGCGACACAGTCAACCTACGACATCACGTGGCCATCAACACCTCCGTGTCTTCAGTTGGCAAGCCAATCAGTCTTTCTCATCGCAGCGCTCTCGCCAAGGACAGGCCAACAACTGCGTCGGTCACTAAAGAGTCCTGGCTTCCTGGCTTCTTGAGGGAATGGAACAACCCAGTATTTGCCAAGAAAGACGAGGAATCTATACCCACTGCGTCACTGTTTGGTCCTGGCCTCATTGAACAACTTGAGGAAGAGCTAAGACCTTGCGCTGGTGACAAATACCGTGAAACATTCGCACGACATTCTGGACAGCGCAGTGGAGGCACTACCCTATCTCGATCCGCTTTGCACGACGTCGAAGTGATTAGCCAGGTCGACCAAAAGTTTATCTTGATAAAGATGCCGTCCCGAGATTCTGAGCGTTGTGCAGAGCATGAGGCGGATTCAGGCTCCACTTTAGTCCTTGTTGACCAACATGCTGCTTCCGAGCGTATCATTCTCGAGGAGCTCCTGTCAGAGATGATGGGTTCGTCGACAAGTGGTAACGACAATCAGCCGGGCGTCTCGGTCAGATCTGCTTCTCTACAACAAAACACTACCCGCGGCAAATCTCTAGTATTCGAGATCTCGGCCCGCGAACAGGAGCTTTTCACTCAATACCGGGCTCACTTCCAAAGCTGGGGTATAACATACAACCTACCAGCGCCCTCCCTCACAAGCAGTCTCGAGTCTCGGAATCACAAATACTCCGGAGACTCGTTGCATCGCCTCATCCTAACCCACTTACCCACCGCCATAGCCGAGCGTTGCTCTGTTTCTCCAGCCCTCGCTATCGAACTCCTCCGAAGCGAGATCTGGTCCTTCGTCGATGGGGCACGGAAACCTGTTCCACCAACAATGCCACGTCCTGTTTCAAATAACGAAGGAGCAAATGATCAACCAGCTTGGATCTCCCTCCTCCCACACATTCCAGCCAAAATGCTCAACATGCTGCATTCCCGTGCATGTCGCAGCGCCATCATGTTCAATGATGTCCTGACCAAGGAAGAATGTACAGTTCTGATGAAAAAGTTGGCGACTTGTACATTTCCGTTTGTGTGCGCACATGGGAGAGTAGGCATGGTTCCTGTCATGGATTTGGGGAGGAGTGGTGAGATGGAGGGGTTAAGTGGCATCGCCGCGCAGGCGACAGGCAGAGCTTTGGACGGCGGAGATGATGGGACGCAGACTAGCAGAGGAGATTTTGTTGAGATGAACAGATTGAAAGACTTTATGCGCGAGGCCAGGAGGGGGCAGCGGAGTGGCACTGGTAAAGACGACGCGGAGGACGAGGATGTGGAGATGTCGGAAGCGAGTCCACATAAGTTTAGTTGAACGTGAGAACTGTTAGTATGGGATGAAACAGCAGTCGCACCAAGATGATTTTCTCATTTCTTCTATGCCTTATTCGATCCTGCCTGGGGTATCAGAGTCTATATATGCTCCGACGCCTGAGCACTTCAGCTCTTGCAGCGCAGTGCCCGCTCGAATCGCCCATGCAAATTTCCTGCTTGCTGTCTGCTGTCTTTTTTGTGGCTGTTCGCTACTTTGCGAGGCTTCTGGTGCTGCGGCTCTATGGCCGTGTGTCAGGTACAGAATATGCCTCGCCCATCGGAAATTTGCTCCAAACCCGAAGACTGCGACGCGCACTACACCAAGTCGTGATACGGCTCATATACCGGGTCCGGATTCAGACCGGTGATGAGAGCCAATCGATCGTGATGCATGAAAGGTTGTTGAGAGGAGTGATGAAGATGTGTATCAAAGCGACGCTCTTCGCGAACAGGCTCGCGGCGCTGAACTGTGTCATAACGGCTCTCCCGTCGATAGTCAGAGTCGTATGAAGGTGATTCGCTGCTGCTCTCGATGAGTGCCAAGCGATCCTTGTGGATTGGCATCGTGAACCACTCCGGTTGTGAGTGGCGGGGCTTGGAATAGTCATAGTTTTCGTGTCGTGTTGATGGCATTGCGGTGTAAGAATGATTGTCGTGGTCAGATGAGTCAGAAGGTCTGAGGCGACTTGTCAGTGTCCGATCCCTTCACTAACCCGGAAAGGCAATGCCATTTTCTATGGATCGGCGCCGAGTCCATAGCTTTAGTACTCACATCTCGCGGTCATGTCTCAGCTGCTCTGGCAGTGCCGCTGTACGACCTCCTTTCTGTTGACCACGACAATGGTCAGCTGCCGGTTGTCGTCGAGGTTCTTGCGACTGCGCCTCCTAGATGAAATCAGAAGCTCCCCTCCGGCGGCGGACCTTTTCTGGGAACAGATCGCCTCCGCCTGCGGCCGTTGTAAGCTTGTTGGCGAAGAGATCCTGGCGCTCTTTGCTCGCGCCTAGGAATGACACTTCATTCTTCGCCCCTGCGCCCTTGATGCTGAACCCCGTGGTTGGCTCTGCATTGAGTCTTCCTGCTTGAGAACTTCCGATTCGTGCGAACAGGTCTCGTGGCTTGTCTTCGCGATCTGATCGACCTGGTTGGCTGTCGTAAGCACGGGCGTCTTTGCCGGCACTGATGTGAAGACCGCGAACAGCAGCCACTGCAACATTCGGATTGATCGCCTTGTTGCAGGAGCTACTGCTAGCAGAGATATACTCACCTGATGCTGCTTTCTTTGGGAAGAGGTCGACTGGAGACTTGCTCCTGTTGTTGCCATTGAGCGCCGAGGCTTTCTTGCCAGGAAAAAGCTCTGCCTTCATATTCTGCTTTGCAAGGCGATTCTCGTCTTCTGAGCGTCGGCGCGGTGCAAGCGGCGACCGCCTACGTGCAGTCTGACGATACGGCTGATCTTCGCTGAACCCGAACCTACCATCTCCGTCGCGCGTCGGTGATCTGCTTCTTGATCGATCTTTCAGTCTGCCGCTCGATCTATTGGCAAATAGGTCCGCTTCCTTTCGTGGGCGTCTGCCGGACTCTCGGTTCGCGAAAAGGTCTTCTTCAGAACGAATGCTTGGTCGTCGTGCTGGCCCATCCGAAGGTCTCCTTGCAGCCAGCGATGCTGGATCGTCATCGTAGAGATTCACGTCGAACGGCTTCTCCGCAGTCGGGCTACGTGTGCTTCGCGATCGCTCACGTCTCCCATACCCACCTCTACCACGTCCACGACCTCGACCTCTGCCACGACCTCTGCTGAACCTGGTTTCTGGATCATGTTCAGGATGGTGGAGATAGTATGCGCTCTGAGCCGCGGCATTCTTCACTTTCTGATCCGAGACAAGGGCTTGGCGTATGCTCAATTCCACCTCAGGATGTGTGATTGGGGCTTTGGCTGGCCGCAGCTCGAGTGGGTCCTCCACGATCGATTCTGAAGCAGCGAGTGTGCGAAGCGCTTCTTGGGCAGCTTCTGCTGTGCTGTAAATGAGGTTCGCGCTATTGTCATTTACCCACTCCACTCTCCGGAATGCTTCGCTTTTGAAGTGATCGCGTGCAAAATTTTCGACGTCCTGTGTATTCATGTTCGACAAGCCCTCAATGTGAACCTTGGTCGCGGCGATCTCTGTCTGGGAGAATTCGCCGTCCTCTATGCTGTCGATACCATTCATCTGCTCGTTCTCGCCTTCTAAGGCCATTGATGGGCGCTGGATCATATCGTTAGTCTCACGTGCTCATTGCTTGCTCTTTTGCGGCGACGCACCGCATCCAGTTCTGCGGCCGCCCTCTGCATTGCTGCCAATTCCGGATCGACCTCGGCGTCCATGTCAACATCCATCTCGAAATCCATGGTGTCGTCGGTCGCCATGGCGCGGTGGGCCGCCTCCACGTCGGCGGAGTAAGGCGACAGTGCGCGCGTCGTCAATGCGATCGGTGGTGTGGATTTTTGTGAAGGTCGAAGAGGGGATCGCGCGCCGTCAGCAGGAACACGCGGCTGGACTCGGTCGCTGTCGTCGCAATGTTCGAAATGCGGAATTGCTTGTCGCAACAGTCGTGAAGAAGTGAGAGATTGGTAACGGGGTGAATGTGCCGATCTCCAGATGGTCGATGCGTTTGATGTCACAAGCAGTGTGCTCTGCTTGCTGCCGTGAGCGTGAAGGTGAAGGCGCTTCAGCTGCCGATGAAGTAATGTGAGGCTGAACCCTATCGGCTACCGGCCCGAGCCCCCAAGCTCCATGCATGTGCAGCTCGTGCGTGCCAGTTTCGTGTCACAATATCAGTCATCATTGAGAAGATCGCGGAAATACGCATGAGCAGAGTCGCATGTGGTTACTAATGTGCGTGGCAACTGATGGCCGCCGTCATTTTTTCACTATTGCTCCATTCAGCGCGTGTCAGGAAACACTACCGCAGCCAGTCACGGCGACATAGCTCGCGAGAAGGAGTGCCCTCTTATCGATTATGAGCTCTCAAACAGAACTGGGGACAGGGCGTCAAAATCATTGAGAAGCGACTAAAAACACGAAGTGCAAGCTGCCACCGCCCGAATCGGCATTGATAAACTACTGGACAAGCACACAGGTGAGATGATCGGGCATGTGACAGCGGAGCGTCGTAGCATGCCAGAAACGGCAAAAGTTGCGGCATACCCAGGAAGAAGTGGTGTCTTGCCATCTCGTCCGAAGGCTGGAAAATTGCCGCAAGTCAACGCTCGACTGTCACGCTCCAGTTCTCCGGCCAGCTGAAGGAGACGGTCCAATGCTCGACCAACAAATGCTGGCCGAGATGTGCGAATTGCTTGCGATCCTCTCGTGCAGAACATATAAGTACTCGGCCGAGACATTTCCGTAGCCCTCGAAGATGATCAGAGCAAGGAGAATGCAGACCAGGATGTAGACATGTGTAGTGGCGAGTGAGAATATCACTGCAATTGCAAGGAAGTCTGGAAGTGCGTACTTGACCGTTCAGCAACACAGGGCAGTGACTAGTCAAGTTCTTGGCTCAGCTGTTCGCGAACAGAGCACCGACGAACACAACATCATCAATTGCTCTCAATAGCAGAATCACCCTTAATTGTAGTGATCACCATACTGAGCACTCGACAAATCTTCGGCGCATGGTCGGCTGTGACGCGAGACCATTCATGTAGGTACCTAGAAGGACCACCTTAATGGCATCAGCTCCAACTTCAATCGATTGACGAAGCAGTCATGGAAGCACTCACAGCGTACAACACAACTTCTCATCAAACCTCCAATCATATCAACATCAAAAATGCCGTCCTCACGAGCAGACAGCATGTCTCCCGAAAGGGAGACCTCCACCCTCCCGTTTATCTACGATACAATCATCGTCGGAGCCGGCCCCTGCGGTCTGGCAACAGCAGCACGATTACGAGAACACACGCCCTCTGCGATCTTCACAGACGAGGAACATCATCGATACCATTGGATTCGGAAGCATGCTGGACAAGCTACGATTAAGAATTCTAAGACGGGAAAAGTTAGACCTTTGGGAAATGATCGATTAAGAAATGAACCTTCCTTGCGAGGTTCCAATTCCCATCCATCGATGCTCGTTCTGGATAACTCTGGTGATACCTGGATGGCGAAGTGGGAGAGGTTATTCAAGTTGCTTGAGATTAGTCATTTGAGGAGTCCGATGTTTTTTCATCCGGATCCGAGGGATCGAGATGTACTGAGCACTTCGTCTTGTTATGATCCAAGGCTTCGCATGCTGATAGTGCGTAATAGGGACTGCTAGCTTATGCTCATGCCGCCGGACGAGAGGACGAATGCATTGAAATTGCAGGCTGTGTCGGCAAAGAGCTGAGTAAACATCAGATGAAGAAGCGGAGGAATAATCGGAAACCGGGAGAACAGTGCGCAATGAATCGCCTTCTCAAATATAGTGTTGATAGATGTGAGAATAGCTGACGAGGATCACGCAGAGCCAGAGCCAGCATAACAATCGATGAGCGCGACCGGAAAGATTACTTCACCCCACCCGCCGACCTGTTTACGTCCTACTGCACGTCCATCGCCACGCGCTACGACCTCTTATCACCCGAACTCATTCAGAAAGCCACAGCAACAAACATCCAATACGACTATGTCAAACATATATCTCCCGATGAGAAAATCTTCACAATCGCAACATCAGAGGGACAAACATACTACACCCGCACCGCCGTCCTCGCCATCGGAGCCGGGAACACACCAACAGTCCCAGCACCTTTCCCACAGCGACCGAATGGCGCTTTCCCACCCAAGACTTGCCACGCTTTCCATCCCAATGGCGACGCCATTCTCCAGTCCCGTCTGCATCGATTGAGGAAGACATCAGAAGAGACCAACGTCCTCGTCGTTGGTGGTGGTCTCACAAGCGTACAAATCATCGATCGCGTTCTGCGTCACCATCACCGCACTTCACCGAATCTGAAAGTCTTCCATCTCACCCGATCGTGTCTGAAAATCAAACCTTTCGATGTTGATCTCAGTTGGATGGGAAAATTCCGGAATCATGAGAAAGCTTCGTTCTGGTCTGCGGATACTGATCGTGAAAGAAGTGAAATGGTGAAAGTGGCGAGAGGAGGTGGGAGTGTTACGCCGAGGTTTGCGAAAGTGTTGAAGAATTGGGTTGAGAAAGGGAAAGTGGAGGTTCATGAGGGGTGTAAAGTTGTGAGGAGTGAGTTTCATGAAGAGGGAGAAGGAGAAGGGTGGTGGGAGATTGGGACTGAGCCGAAGGTCGAGAATTTGGAGAAGAGGAGGATTCATTTCGTGTATTTTGCTACGGGCGTGCAGTCCGATTTCGAGAAGTTGGGTATGTTGAGGAATATGTGCGAGGAGTTTCCTGTGGAGGGGTATGATGGATTACCGGCTTTGACAGATGATTTGATGTGGAAAGAGGGAGTGCCGTTGTTTGTGACTGGGAGGTTTGCGGCGTTGAGATTGGGCCCTGGAGCGGGGAATTTGGAGGGAGCGAGATTGGGGGCGGAGAGGATTGCTTGGGGGATGCAGGACTTTTTGAGTGGGAGTGAGGAGGGATGTGGCAATGGGGTTGGATTCGGTGCTGAAGGTCAGAGTTGTGCTTCGGAGTATAGATTTGCGGCTGGAATTGGGAGTCGTTTTGAGAGCTTGGAAGTAGAGGGCTGATGATATATCTCGCAATCGGGCGATTCGCAAGATTATATTTCCGATGCCCGAGGCCCTTTCTGTCTCTCAGAATGAAGCTGACTGGCGAGAGAGAATCGTATCATGTTGGCAATGCTTCGGTCAATTTCTTGGAGCCCGCTTGCTTGCCGAGCCGCCAAACGAGCTGCGACAGAACAAAGTTGGCGAAGAATGTGCGATGATGCACGCGGAAGTGAGTTGGAAGACTTAGCCTGTGGTTGGCCATGTAATTGTAATGCACGTCACCATCGAACTTTTGTCTGCACTTCATGCCAAATGCTGTCGTGGTGTCAGACCCTGCATGTTCCGTGAGCATCAGTGGCAGTGGGGTCTCGAAGAAAGCTCTTGGCGTTGAGTGGAGGGGCCATTGGACATGCTCCCCGCCATTGACGAATTGTACAAACAGCAACAGAATGGTATTGCTGTGGCAACAATGCCTCTCCTCTGCTGATGATGAGCACGAGGGTCTGTATGCACACAACACCGCTTCAACGCGCGTTTTGGCGGTATGGTGCCAAAATCGCTTGCTGGAAAAACTTGCAGAAGTCCGTGTCACTGAAGATTTGGCGACAAGGATCATTGGATAGCTCCCCGTGGAGCTTACAGTCATCGCATTTGTGTTGTGCATCTCCTACACACCGGCGGCCGAGCCATGTTATCGCCCATGTGGCGTCGTCCAGATGTCCTTTCGCATAGGGAATATCGAGCCAGGTATGGTCATGGCTACGCTCACCGACACGCAAATAAAACTCGTGGCGCAGGGTAGGGTGGCCGATCGTGGATTGGGATTAAGTCGCCGAGCGAACCCGTGTCGGAAAGTTGTTGTTGCTTCACCCTGTTGCTGGCGGCACGATTCCCGGTCTGTAGCGGCAGCGGCGATCATGCAAGAGGCACGATAACACGCTGAAGGTGAGCGAGCAGCATATGGCGCTGCAATGGTGAGCGAGCACTGGTCAACAATGTGGCCGCAGAGGGCAGCGCTACGCAGACGTGGACTGTTCCTGCGCGCAGCGACCCTGATATTGTTCGCGGGTGGGCCGCCGAGTGGTCATGGCTTTGACGTGCTTGTCCGATGGCGGGGTGCTCTCAACTGAATGTGAAAAAACGCCAGCTGCCTGCTCACTTTCTTCTCTCTCCTCTCTCATCCCTCTTCCTCTCTCTCCATCTACACCACAAAATCTTCTTCACTGCCTGCACTGAGCCGGCAGATTTTCACATCCCTTCGTTGTTATCACAGAACCGCCAGCAACATGGTGCAATCATCGGTACGTGCCCCTCGCCTCGCCATGACTCTCTCACCGACGTGTTTCTGACATTGCCCAACAGGTGCTCGGTTTCCCACGCATGGGACGTCTGCGTGACCTCAAGAAGGCCAACGAGGCCTATTGGGCGGACAAGCTGTCCCGTGATGAGCTCCTCGCCGAGGGAAAGAGACTGAGACTCGAGCACTGGAAGATCCAGAAGGACGCTGGCGTGGACGTCATCCCATCCAACGACTTTGCATACTACGACCATGTCCTCGACCACATTCAGATGTTCGGCGCTGTGCCCGAGCGATACAGCAGCGCCAAGCTGCACAAGCTCGACGAGTACTTCGCCATGGGTCGTGGCCACCAGAAGGACAACGTCGACGTGCCATCTCTCGAGATGGTTAAGTGGTTCGACTCCAACTACCACTACGTCAAGCCAACTCTGCAAGACAACCAGACTTTCACTCTCGCAGAGAACCCAAAGCCTGTTGCTGAGTTCCTCGAGGCCAAGGAGGCTGGCATCCAAACTCGCCCAGTTCTTCTCGGTCCTGTCTCTTTCCTCGCCCTCGGCAAAGCTGACCGTGGCTCATCTGTTGACCCAATCACTCTCCTCGACAAGCTCCTCCCAGTCTACGAGCAACTCCTCACACAGCTCAAGGAGGCCGGTGCCGAGACTGTCCAGATCGACGAGCCTGTCCTCGTCTTCGATCTCCCAGCCAAGACCAAGCAGGCTTTTAAGCCAGCCTACGAGAAGCTCACCGCTCTCCAGGGCAGCAAGGGCCCACAACTCGTCCTCGCCACCTACTTCGGTGACGTTGTGCACAACTTCGATGTCATCGACTCTGCTCTGACCGGCACCCACGCTTTCCACGTCGACCTCGTTCGCCACCCAGAACAGCTCTCTCAGGTGATTGAGCACCTCGGCCCAAAGCAGGTCCTCTCTGCTGGTGTCGTTGACGGCCGTAACATCTGGAAGACCAACTTCAAGAAGGCCATTGAGGTCGTTGAGACCGCCATCCAGAAGCTCGGCAAGGAGCGTGTCATTGTTGCCACATCCAGCTCGCTTCTCCACACCCCACACACTCTCGCCAGCGAGAAGAACCTTGACGAGGAAGTTCGCGCTTGGTTCTCTTTCGCCAGCGAGAAGGCCGTCGAAGTTGCCATCATCGCCAAGGCTGTCACAAACGGCCCAGACTCTGTTCGTGCTGAGCTCGAGGCCAACGCCAAGGACCAGCAGTCCCGTGCCACCTCCAAGCGCACCAACAACCCAGAGGTCAAGAAGCGCATCGAAGCTGTCAAGAAGGAGGACTACGAGCGCAAGTCGGGCTTCGACACCCGATACGCTGCCCAGAAGAAGCACCTCGACCTCCCCATCTTCCCAACCACCACCATCGGCTCCTTCCCTCAGACCAAGGATATCCGTATCCAGCGTAACAAGTTCACCAAGGGTGAGATCACTGCTGAAGAGTACGAGAAGTTCATCGAGAAGGAGATTCAAGAGTGCGTTCAGATCCAAGATGAGCTCGGCCTGGATGTCTTCGTCCACGGCGAGCCAGAGCGCAACGACATGGTGCAATACTTCGGTGAGAGACTCGACGGATATGTCTTCACCACCCACGCTTGGGTCCAGTCATACGGCTCCCGCTGCGTCCGACCACCGATCCTTGTCGGTGATGTCTCTCGCCCAGCCCCAATGACTGTCAAGGAGAGCAAGTATGCTGCCAGCATCAGCAAGAAGCCCATGAAGGGTATGCTTACTGGACCTATCACTTGCCTCCGATGGTCCTTCCCTCGTGACGATGTTCACCAGTCTGTCCAGGCTCAGCAACTCGCTCTCGCTCTCCGCGATGAGGTTGTTGACCTCGAGGCTGCCGGTGTCTACGTCATCCAGGTCGACGAGCCAGCTCTCCGTGAGGGTCTGCCACTCCGCTCCGGTGTGGAGCGTGAGAAGTACCTCGACTGGGCCGTGAACAGCTTCAAGCTCTCCACTGCTGGTGTTGAGGACTCCACCCAGATCCACTCTCACTTCTGCTACTCCGAGTTCCAGGACTTCTTCCACGCCATCGCCGCTCTCGATGCCGATGTCCTCTCCATCGAGAACAGCAAGTCCGACGCCAAGCTCCTCAAGGTCTTCATTGACGAGGCCTACCCACGCCACATCGGCCCAGGTGTCTACGACATCCACAGCCCACGTGTGCCAAGCGAGCAAGAGATCAAGGACCGCATCGCTGAGATGCTTCAGTACCTCAAGCCAGAGCAGCTCTGGATCAACCCAGACTGCGGTCTCAAGACCCGTCAATGGAAGGAAACCAAGGCTGCTCTTGTCAACATGGTCAATGCTGCCAAGCACTTCCGTGCTCAGCACAGCAAGTAAACGCGTACTTGCATAATCTACTGTCCCGAATGGTGTTCCTGGCGTCAAAAAAATCAACATGGGAACGGAAGGGATGGTTTTGTTTGCCGGACTTTGAGCCGGTGTAGCGCTCAACAGCTACGATTCAACAAGTGATACCCAATTTTACTCAACGTCTTTATCAGCGAGGAGTTCAACAGAGAAAGGGAATGGTTTCTCATGATGGAATGAAATAGAGTTACAGCTCGATGACCTCAACGCTCATCGAGTATAGTCGCACGATCGGGAGGGCGTCGTGCGACTTGTGACTGAAAAAGTACGATTTGCATTGTCATGGTGTTTGTCATAGACTAGGTAGTAGCTACCGAAATTGTACTATTGATGGATGATGATACTTTCCTGTGCTTGTGATCGATCCTGCCTCGCGACAATTTTGTAGCGCCGACTCTCTTCAATGGCTTTCAAGGTTGTTTGCCGACATGCTCCACCAGGACAGCACATCAAGCCTCGATGGCATCACAGAAGTCGTCAGCACGATCGCGTAGTAGCCTTTACTTGTAAGAACACCAGCATGCGGTATGACTTCTGCTTTCCAACGCTGACAGACTTACAAGCGCACCATTGCAGAACGATGGCGCCGAAGATACCCTTCAAGTGCCTGGCGCAAGTCGTCCCTCGATCTCCACCTCACGTCGGCCATCGACCAGCGGCCGGTCCCATCGATCTCATAGCACCACACTGACAGTCGAAGATGCGAACAAACTCATGGCCGAAGCGCTTGCCATTCAGGAGCAGCATGATCTGCCCGCTTGTGGCACAAGCAGAAAGTCGAGCATCAGACCAGACACGTCCGATGAAGACGGAACAAGACGCCTCAGCGTTCGTCCTGAAGCCCATTATGCTACCGCGTCAAACTACAGCCGCTCGAGGAGATCATTGAGTGTGGTCGCGGAGGACCCAAGCCTTCTTTTCGCAAGAGCTTTGAAGGATCATCAGCAGAGTAAAGACTTGTTTCGATCCCAAAGCAAGCGGAAAGAGAACGAAGAGCAGAGACTGGTAGAGCTCAGCTCGGAAGAAATACCACCACACCAGCAAGACCACGATGATCACGCCTTCACTATCACGTCTCCCTAGTCTGCAGACGTGATCACTCCTGACCCAAGCGCTGCTCTTCCGCAGCCACTCGAACAGAACACCTACCAATCGCCCTACCACCACAGACGCCGCACAACAATCCACACGACCCTCCCCTCCTGGACCCGCTTCCCCTCCCACACCCGCGCTCTCCGCTCCGCCTCCGCCACCGACCCCGGAATCATCATTCGAGACTTCGCAGACCCTTCTTTTCGCCGCAATGCTACAGCCAATATCTCGCAATTCCCTCAACAAACCTATCGCGAGACTCTGAAACATTTTGCGAAGAATTGTGCTTCTGTTGCGAAGTATTATGCTACAAGGTTGACAAGTCCTGAGGGGTATCGAGGTGTTAATCGGAGAACGAGCGTTAGTGTGGCGAAAGGTGGGGTGAGAGAGCCGGAGTTGGAGATGATTTCGCTGAGTCCGGGGCCGGTGAGTAGTGGGGTTGGGGAGGGGGACGAGGAGGGTGGTGGTGGGATGGAAGTGGGGAGGGAGGAACATCGGTTGTTGTTGGAGAGGGTGGAGAGGGAGTTGAGTGAGGAGGATGAGGAGAAAGTTGATGGGAACAGGTGGCAAGGTAAAGGGAAGGAGAAAGTGAAAGGGAAAAGTAGGGCGATGGGGATGAAGTTGGATCTTTCGAGGGCGAGGGGTGGGACGGGCTTAATGAGGGCTGATAGTGGGTTTGAGGGTCTGGAGGGGGCGAGGCCGGGGACGCCATTTGTTGTGGAGAAGGCAGGGTTCGATTGGGGAAATGAGTTCGGCGGTGGAGGGGAGAAGAAGGAGAAGAGGAGTGGAACATTTGAGTTCTCCTTTCAGCAGAGTAGTCGGAGGCAACAGGATGGCGTAGGACCGAAAACGGCGGGCGGGCAGGTCAGTAGTGATGATGACGAGGAACAGGCGCCTTGAGGAACGTGTACAATTGAGACGCAGAACAGCGGGGTTGAAACAGCAGGAGAGTGTTGACGTAAGTTCTGTAGACTCTGAAATTTGGTGTCTTGACGATCAGGGAATATTTCAGATCGACTTGCGACATGATATGAGCGAGACAGGCTGTACCGTGCCAGGTCTTTGGCTCCCTCCGCCTTCAATCTCACCTTCTCTCCCACTGGCAGGATTGATGTCCCAACCTCTTTCGGCGAACATCAAATGTTACTCCGACCCCAGCAATGGTCTGTAACAGTGCGAAGCGAACAACCTGAGTCGACCAGGTATCAGTGAAGGCCATGAGAAGTACTTGTTTTCCGATCATCGACTTTAGTGCTCGCATGTGGCTGATCGACTGGCACATATGGCTGATCTGAACCTCAAGTCTGCTTGCATCAATGCGGTGGCCTTCCTTCTATTATTGTCATGGAGTGTGGCTGTTTCGCGTATTGACTGACTTGATGGTCGGTGGACAGAGATGTATGGATCGCGAGATATTGTCGTTGTAGTTCGCGACAGACTTGATGCTGCAGCTAGTCTGTGAAAGGCGGTCTCCCACAAGAGGTTTCTTCGGTGCGTTAATCCCAGTCAGGCCGGTGTTCAGCTCTTCATCTGGCTGGACGATTCGTCGGCAGTGATCACGCTATCCTTCTCGTCTCCGCCTTGAGTTCCTAAAGTGAGAAAAGGCACCAAACACATGCTGAGTGCGGAGTGTGCCATCGAGACCCAGAATACAGCTGTATAGGGTTGTGTCTCTTCGTCCCAGAATCCAGATAGTCGTGGGTTAGCCTCGACGGCGTTGAAAACAGCAGTTGCGACGCCGAAACCGACGACAGCTGTCAATCGTACAGCAGTCTGGAAGATGCCTCCTGCGACGCTTTGATGAGATTTTGGTAAGCTTGTCATGACAAGCATGTTGCAGACATTGAACTGTACGTCTGCGGCGATGACGATGAGGACTTGTGCTGGGAATGCGAATGCCCAGTAGCTGCTGGATCTTCGGTTCAAGGCCAGGAGCAGGAAGGCGATTGTATAGCAGGCCGCGCCAATCAGCATGAGAAGCTTGTTCGAGACGCGATGTAGGATGAGGCCGGCGACGGTATTGGCAACGAGGCCAACAATGAACATGGGTAGTAGATGGACGGCGACCATAATAGGCGAGAATTCCCAGATATTTTGCAGGTAGAGGGCGTAGAAGAACGTTCCCGGTGTGAAGGCCAGGAAGCCAAGGGAGAGGATTGAGAGTGCTAACGTGAAATCTCGGTCCTTCCAGATGCTCATGGGTACGAGTGCATATTCGTCTCCAATCCAGATGTCCCAGAGAACAAAGGCAACGAGAAGGAGTGCTCCGAGGATGAGCAGAGCAAGGACATAGTTGGTCGTCCAGCCCTGCGGCGCAGTATCGCCGAGACTCAGAGATGCGCTGAACATGCCAATGCCGAAGACCACGCAAAAGACGCCCACGAGATCAAAGTGCTTCAAAGTGTCCCTGTTCAGTTCCTTCTTGGCCTCTGGATCTCGCGGAATCGTAATCGCGCCAATGATTGTAAAGACAAAGAAGACGATAGCGATGAGCCAGAAGGACGCTCGCCAGTTGAAAATTGTCGCCGCCACGCCGCCAAAGATCGCTCCGAAGGCGAAGCCTAGAGGGTTTCCTGCTGCGAAGCAAGCAAAGGCATAGTTGCGCCTTTTGCTCGAGGTGGGATACGACAAGCTCAGCAGACCTTGTGCTGCAGGAACTGCGCTGGCGTTGAAGAGTCCTAGGACACCATTTAAAATATCGAGTGTGATGCCCTCATTCGCGAAACCAGCGCCAAGAGCGAAGATGGAGAATAGTAACAGAGACACGACAAAGAGAAGTCGTCGGCCGAAAAGGTCTGCTAGTTTGGCGAAGAGTAGTAGAAAGGCGCCTGCGCTGAGCGAATTTGCTGCTGTGATCCATGTGATTTCTGCTGTGCTCATGTCCAGATCGCTTCCTATCGAAGATGAGGTGACTGTCACGGAGCCTTGGAGTAGCGACGACATTGCAATTGCCATGGTCGCGGACAGCACGAAGAAGATCTCTTGTGTCGTGGACTTGAAGCATGCCGGTCGACTGTTGCCGTCTTGTTGGCCATTTTGAACAGTCTCAGATCCATCCTGCTGGCCATGTTGAATAGTCTCTGATATTGAACCTCGACTGTCTGCTGTATACGTGTAACTGTCGTTGGAAAAAGATTGAACGGACTTCTCTTCATCGTGAAGGGCCCCCATAGTGAATATTTCACGTCACACGACGCATTTGAAAGACCTGCCGGTTGCTGAAGTTCCCATATCGCGACGAAGAGCAGGCGGTATCTCGTCGCATCCACGATGGTACCTCGCCAAGCCCAAGGCTCGCCCGTTGCCCGCAATCTTGTAACGTGATTCAGAGGAGATGGAGGCCACAACAATCGCCCAGGAAATGACGAATATGTGATGCGGGTGATCACCGCTCTAGTTGTGTTTCTGGCGCCACGCCGTCAACATAGCCCCGGCAAGGTGTGAGTCCGAGGCGGAGGTTTGTTGTGTACGTTCGGTAGTCGCGGTAGTATAGCGGAGTGCCACTGCAAAAGGTGTCTTGCCAATATCGCCAACTATGATGTGCGGGCGCACGCCATGCAGATCATCAGACTACGCCGTTTTTGCTTCTGACGGTTCGAGGCGAGGAGGAGGTCCAGACCCTGAACCCGTGACATTGCACGTGGTGAACGGCGTCGACCAAATTCAAGGAGGCCATGATCATGGAGATGCTGGAGATGATGGTTATAATGGTTTGATGAATGCGGATGCACGTTGTTGTCGGAGCACAGATGAAGGAAGATGCGGTGACGTGGAAACAAGGTTGGATGCTGGTCGTTTCTTGGCACGACGGAGATTTGGATGCCTGGAATCTGGGACTTCACATTCTGTCTCTAAAAATCTATGTTTCATCGAATACATTCCTAATTCCATCGCCTGTGCACCGCTGCGCTGCGGTCTTTGCCTCTGCTCATTGTTAGTCGGACTTTACCTGCTGGCGGACTTGAGACGCGCATTCTGGCGCGTGGTTTCGAAAGCGCGACACCCCTGACCACTCTGCCTGGGTCGGGTGTACGGTTTCCAGTGCGATCGGCGACCGACACGCTGGTACCAGGAGCTCAGTTCACTTGGAACGCCTGCACTCCAAAACACTGGAATCGGTGTCAGGACGTGTCCAGACTTTGACAATGTCTACGCCACAGCTCGTGAGGAGCTCCCTCCACTGGCTGAGGGTGCGTTCCATGCCAGAATGATACAGCATCATCATAATGTCCAGGTGGCTGGTCTTCACATCGGCCCCAGTGTCCGGAAGAACGAACTCCTCAATCAGAAGACGGCTGTCGGAGTCCATGGCCTGTATCGTGTTGCCAAGGAACTTGCGGATTGAGTCATCATCCCAATCGTGCAAGATCCAGCGCCAGAAATAGGCTTTGGCGCCTTTTACCGGCTGTGGTGTAAAGAAGTCATAAGGCTGCAAGTCAATGCCGTCCATTGTTGACCTGTCCACGTTCGCAATGGTCTCGGGAAGGTCTTGAAGTACCAGACGACCGGCGAGGTCAGGGTTGGCCTTGTGGAAATCCAGTATGTCAGCTCCACGATTGCCGCCGACATCGACTAGCAGGACTTCTTCCGTGCTCTTGCAGGCAGCTCCAACTTCCTGCGCAAAAGGGAAGATGGTGAACCAAGGCTTGTTCCCCTTTCGATTCTCCCTCATCAGGGTGTCGAAAGAGTTCTTCATCTCTGGAGTGTCTTTGAGATAGTCCCACATCATCCGGCCATCGAAGGTGAATTGCGTCGGATCCATTTCTTGTGGACGTGTTGGAAACTGTTTGAACCCATGCTCACGCATGTACGGCACTATACGAGCTGCAACCGAGAAGAGTAACTCATTGAGATACTTGATCCCGGCCTGGCCACCTTCGCTGCCCGCGATTTCGCTGATAACATTTGCTTCATACGTGTTTGGTGCTACTTCACGGCCGACGCCAACAGAAGTAAGCACTCGCATCAGACGGGCTACACAAATTCTTAGCTTTTGTCAAGAGATGCACCAGTGCAAACACAACAGTCTTACAGATCAGGAGCTCGTCTGAGCTGACGCTCTTGGCGATACTGGCAGCATCGACAGGCCCAGCATGAGCATTGAGTTTAGGCAGTACGCCAATCTCTTGAGCCATCACCAAGCAAATGCTCTTCAACGGCTGCCACAATTGATTGCCCCAGTACTCGAACGCACCCATGCCCGCCAGCTGCACGCTCTGCGTAGTCCTTCGGATTTTCTCGACCGCACCAGCTTCACCTCGGATGCGCGCCTCGACAGCATCGTTGACTTCTGCAGCCAGTCGGCGCAACTCGTCGGCTTGTGCTGCATTCAATGCCATGATTTGGTGTGCTGCGGCAGCAATGTGATGACACTGGTGGAATCTGAAGGAGCATAAGCTGCAGAATCAGGTCAATTTGCCGATCTCGAACGTTCTCCCATTAATCTGCAACGTGGTCGGTGGTTAACTCTCAACGGTCTATGCAGCAGATTGTCTGGTACCATGTGCTGTCTGCGGGCGGAACCTTGTATGCCCACACGTTTGGGATGCGATCGACCAATATGTACGCGTGACAAGCTGTCAAGTTGCAGTCACAGCAGTATTACAAAATCTAGAACACGCGTTCCGAGGCATCATCTCCATTCGACAGGTGTCCTAGCTAACCACCAGGTCTCTGCTCCGCACGCTGCGTCGGCGTTCTGGACGAACTTGACGAGGTGCAGAGATCGACACACGCTTAGGATTGGCTAGGATCCGTCGAAAGCTTAACCAGGTACTTGCAAATCCCGAATGAAACTGGTCAAGTTCAGATGCCACGCTTTGATCGACGAGCGTTTGTATCTTTGCAAGTACTCCCACTACAGTACTGCACATCTTTCGACGCATCGAATGTTACGATCGAAACTGCGACGACAATCGCATGTATAATTGAACATTTACTTTTGTTCGCTCCTACGCTTAACGCAAAGAAGACGACGATGACTATTCCATGCACATGGAAGTAACAAAACTAAGTTGAATCTACAATGGGCAAGATACCAGTGTTCGCGGGGCTTGGCTCTGATGCACTATTCAGCGATGCAACCAGAGATCAGGCTTTCAGAGACTCTCGACTGCCACATGGCAAAATTCTTATCGAAGCTTGTCACAGAGCGTTCGTCGAAGAAGTAACCATAGCTGCAAGGGAGGCTCAACATGACAATGGCATCGACCTGGACGACCTACTTTCTCCGAAAGACCTCATTGAGCCATGCCAGCGATACCATGGCCATCCAGCTGTCCAGAATGCGACCCTTTGCGTGGTCCAGTCTCTGCGCCATCTGGCTCTCCAGAACTCCGCAAGAGAGGACGGATCAAGGGATTCCGTAGCAACAGCTGGATTCTGCATGGGATTACTCACTGCAGTGGCAGTCGCTTCCTCGGACAATGTACTGCAGTTCATTGCCAATGCAGAACATTGTTTTCGAGCAGCAATTCTGATCGGCCTCGCCAGCTGGCGTATGCGAAGGGAGGTCACTAAGCTGCCATCGGAGCTTCCATGGAGCTTGGTGGTGGCTAATATTGGACAAGATGAAATGTCCAAAATTCTCTCATCCTATGATTCACAGGTATGGCAACTTGATCCCTCTTCAACTGCATCCACTGACTTCTGGCAGCACGACCGGCCGCCGATATTCATCAGCGCAATCAACTCAGCCCACTGTGTTACAATCTCTGGCAAAGGTATAGACCTACAGCGTTTCGTAAAATCACAACTACCAAGCAAGTGCAGCGTGAGGCCGACCAACATCCACTCACTCTACCACAACGAGAGATATGGCCAGGCACAAATCACAGCTCTGCTCGAAGATTCAAAACGGCGGAAGCTTCGATTCCCATCTACACGCGATCTTATAATACCGCTGCTCAACACTATCGATGGGTCACTCATCAAGTCTGACGATCAAGGCGGTCAGACTGATCTTTACGAGATGATCTTGAAGATGACCTTGGCCGCCCCGACAAACTGGGTTGCTGTACAAGACGCCATATTGACAGTTGCTAGCGAAATGCCTACTGATAATTCCGTGGCAGTTTGGAATTATGGACCTGGCTATGGTGCTCTGACTGGACACGAATATGTTGATTTGAACATCGAAGTTCGTGACGTGTCGCGGAATGCTGGATCATCGAATCACAATTCGGAAGACATCGCGATCGTAGGTGTCGGGGTAGACTTGCCAGGAGCACCAGACCTGGAAACTTTCTGGCAAAACTTGATGAACGGCATCAATAGCTGTTCTGAGGTATGTTCTATACAAATGAGCACTGTCACAAACTTCCTATATTAACAGATCGACAGATTCCAGAAGACCGTTTCCATATCGAAGACTATTACACGGGAGGCGATGCGAAGCCGGTCAACAGACATCGTTCGATGGGAACGAAATATGGAAACTTTCTCGACAATCCATTTGACTTCGACAACGAGTTATTTGGCATTTCGCCACGAGAGGCCTCATCGATAGACCCTCAGCAGCGACTGATGCTCCAAACGGTGCATAGAGCACTGGAGAGCGCTGGATACGTGCCCGACTCATCGCCGTCATTCTCTCGAGAGACGTTCGGCTGCTTTGTCGGGAGTGCAACTCTGGATTACGTGAATAACCTACGGGACGACATCGATGTTTACTACTCTCCTGGCACACTCAGAGCATTTATCAGCGGCAGGATCTCTTATGCGTACAAATGGTCTGGGCCTTCACTGACTGTCGACACTGCTTGCAGCAGCTCGCTTACGGCTCTGTACCAAGCATCGCGAGCTCTAGTGGCTGGCGACTGTCGTGCAGCTATCGCAGGAGGCGTCAACATCATCACGAGTCCGGACATGTATCTCGGACTGGACAAGGCGCACTTCCTCAGCCCGACTGGACAATGCAAGGCTTTCGACGAGAGTGCAGATGGCTACTGTCGAAGCGAGGGATGTGCATCTTTTGTGCTCAAACGATTGTCCGATGCCGTTGCCGAGAACGACCGGATTTTTGGTGTGATCAAGGGCATCGCAATGAACCAATCCGGCTTGACATCTTCCATTACTCATCCCCATGCGCCGACTCAAGAGAGGCTTTTCGAAAGCTTGCTGCGCACGACGAACATCAACCCTCATGATGTGACTGTGGTCGAGGCGCATGGTACTGGCACGCAAGCTGGCGACCCTAACGAGCTTAAGAGTATACGAGGTGTCTTCGCGAAGAGTCGTCAGTCTCATAACAAACTTCACGTAACGTCGGTGAAGAGCAACATCGGCCACCTGGAAGCTGCCTCCGGAGGCGCTGCATTGGCGAAGTTGCTTCTTATGGTGAAGCACGAGCGGATACCACCTCAAGCATTACTGCAAAATCTTAACCCGTCAATCGATGAACTGGGTAGGGACGAGACCTACATCACTTCGAAACCACGAGATTGGCAGTCGAATGGAAAGCTAAGAACAGCACTTTTGAACAACTTTGGTGTAAGTATTCACGTGACACAATCGCTCTCTCGAGGACGTAAAAGATCTAACTTCTTATAGGCTGCGGGATCTAATGGAGCCTTGTTGCTCCAAGAACATGTCGAAACGATCACAACAGAGACGACTACTACGCCATCCCTTACATACGTATACGGCTGCTCGGCAAGGAATGAGGATTTACTCGAGCAGGCACGAGAAGAGATGCTTGAATTTCTGGAAGGGAACGGCCAGGAGCTCAGAATATCAGACATCTGCTACACCAGTACAGCTCGTCGCAAAGTTGACAACTATCGGTTGACAGTGACCGCCTCAACAACATCAGAGCTGGCCGCCAACTTGAGGAAAGCTCGTGTAACGGAGGCACCTGGCACAGATAATCCAGTCAGCTTCCTATTCAGCGGACAAGGATCTCAGTACGCAGGGATGGGAAGAGGACTTCTTCAACTGTTGCCAACTTTCAGAAAGTGCGTGCTGCACTGCAACCAGCGCTTGGTCGAATGGGGATTTCCTGGCTGTCTGGACGTGATTCAAACCGAGGACACGGCCACGTTCGACATCAAGAATCTGGAGAACATCCAGTCACTTCAGTGTGGCGTCTTCGTGCTCGAGGTAGCACTTGCACGCTCCTTGATTGGTCTTGGTCTGAAGCCAGCACTCGTTGCTGGACACAGCCTCGGCGAGCTTGCCGCCTTGGTCATAGCTGATGTGCTTGATCTGGACAGCGGTTTATGGCTGGTCGCCGAAAGAGCGCGCCTGATCGTTACAAAGTGCGAGCTGTTCGCGAGCTCCATGGTGGCGATTAACATGCCTGCCTTCCAAGTTCGCCAGGAACTACTTACCATGGATCAATTTGCGAGCCTGACAGTATCCTGCGAAAACTCTCCGAGCGACTGTGTAGTAGGCGGCAGCATCGTGGATGTCAAGGAACTAGTACGTTACATCTCCGAAGAAACCGACAACAAAGCTGTAGTACTCGACGTGCCAGTCGGCTACCACACTGCGGCCCTTGACCCTGTTTTGGAACCACTGGCTGCTGCTGCATCTACGCTTACCTTCTCGCCTCCATCAATACCCGTCGCCAGCAATGTCCTCGGGAGGCTGATCGCTGTTGGAGAAGAGGACGTCATCGATCATGACTATACTGCAGCGCATTGCAAAGGACCAGTCGCGTTCAACAGCAGTATTGTCGACGCACATGAGCAGATTGACAACCTGGACAGTGGCTGGTGGCTCGAAATTGGCCCACATCCTATGCTTCTGCCAATGGTGAGGGCGATAACTACAGATACCCTCGAAAGTTTTACTGACCTGTTACAGATTGCCAAACATGGCGCCTCACAACGATTCGCCACCTTGAGGAAGGATAAACCTGCCGACCAGACACTCGCGGAACTTTTCGCTGCACTTTACCGAGATGGCGTGGTCAACGTCGGTTGGCGTACTTTGTTCGAGTCTCTCCCTGATCGACCTAGACTGGTCGACATACCAGTCTCGCCCATGAGTACAACAAGATTTCTCGTGCCTTTCAAGCGGGAGATTGCTCAAGGCCTCGAGATGGCTGCAGCAACCGAGACTTTGCCATACACCTTCCTGCAGAGAAAGGTTGAAACAAGCAAAACCGGCGAAGTTGTCTACGAGACGCCCATTCGGGCTATGGCTAGCGCGATTAAGGGCCATCTCGTTTGCGGCACCGCCCTGTGTCCTGCTTCCGTTTATACCGAGATGGCCCTCGCTGCTGTTACATGCGAGCGAAACGAGCAAGACAGAGAAGTCGCGTACAAACTGTCGAAGGTCAAGTTCCTGAGGCCTCTACTATTCCTAGAAGGATCTGAGGACATTATTCGTGTTACCCTTCAGCGCCCAGAAAATGGCAAAGGAAAGACGGACTTTGAAATCTCGAGTTTTGCAGCGCCAGAGTCTGATGCCAAAGTCCACTGCGTCGGAACCATCAAGGAGCAGGCGAAGTCCAAAGCTGGATCCAAGATGCAGGCGACCGAACAAGCCTTGTCGAGACGAAGGACCAATTTTCAAAATGGTGAACACCAAACATTCTCAACATCTATCATGTACGACAAGATCTTCAGTCGGGTCGTTGAATACAGCTCGGCCTATCGCGCTGTCAAGAAGATCTACCTGGATGACAAATTGGAAGAAATCTTTGCGAGCTGCGCGCTGCCACCCACGGAGGATCACTATGCAGGCCAACCCATACTTCTCGACACGATGCTGCATGTCGCTGGATTCGCGGCCAACCTCAATGTCGACAACGAGACTGTATGCATCTGCCACCACGTCCATTCAACTACCGTCCTTCGTGGTGACGTCGCTCCCGGCCAGGCGTTTGACGTTCACTGCAGCAACTTCATCAACACAGAAGATCCTGATTGCGTGTTGGCAGATGCACATGCAGTTGACGATCACGGCGTGATCGCGGTCATCAAAGGTATGGAATTCCGACGATCAAAGCTAGCCAAGTTGCAAGCTGCTTTCGAATTCGCATCGCAAGCTCCTTCAAGGAGAAACAGCAAACCAGAGTCGGCGTCGACAAGTCCTGCTAGGCGAGAATCGAAGGATTCAGACGAGGTGCCAACAGAACAGGCGTCTGTAACGGAATCCACAAGAGGCACGAGTAGCCCCGGGACTTCCAGGAGCATCGCCACAAGCCAGGACACTGTCATCACTATTCTATCCGAGGCTACGGGCGTGGATCCAAAGAAGATCGACACGCGAACGACACTTTCCGCGATGGGCGTGGACTCAATCATGATGTTTGAGCTCGATAGAAAACTGGAGGAGGCAATCGGCCAAAAACCGAGCGTCTCTGAGCTGTCTGCATGTAAGACAGTGGGCGATATGGAGAACCTCGTGACGAGAAGTGCTTCACGTGGAGCAACTCCAGTACCCATGCGCTCACGCAGCAGTCCGACGTCCAGGAGTCCTAAAGGTGAGCAAAATGCTCTAAACTTGTCCAAAGACTGATCACTAATATTGCTAGACTAGGCATGCCCAAGATCGAGAGCACGACGAGCTCCTCTGGTAGCCGCTCTCCAGTGGAACCTGAGTCTGCCTTGACTAAGGATATGCTTGAGCTATTGGAACGCCGACTGGGCCATGTTGAAAGCCCAAATCAGATCCAGTGGGACGAGAGCTCGCCCGAAGCTCCCCCGATATACCTCATACACCCTGGCGCGGGCATATGTTTGCACTACAACCGACTGGACCCACTGAACCGAGACGTTTACACAATCCAGGATGGCCGACTCCTTGCCGATCTGAAAGACGACTGGAAGTCGATTGAGGAAGTTGCCCAGAACTATGCAAATATGATCGCAAAACATAGTTCAGACTTTGGTTACCAAAGTGTCATTATCGCAGGCTGGTCTTTTGGCGGAATCATCGCATTCGAGGCGGCACGAAAACTGCAAAGCAACAAAAGTACCAGCACATTAGGTGTTGTCCTGATCGACCCGCCTCAGCCCAAGGATCACAAGCCAATTGCACGAGAGACGATCGAGGTGGCAATGGACGCTACACTGAAATTGTCCAAGCCCAGGTCCAAGGCTGCAGCAGACTTCGAAGCTGCTATCGGAGCTCTTACGATTAGGAACAATCTACGCCGTGCGGCTCTACTCGGCAAATATCGTCCCTCGCCAAAAGGGCCACTGCCTCGAATTGTCTTGTTGAGATCCTCAGAGGGCTTGGACTTGGGCGTCGAAGGTCTTCCAGAAAACGAATGGCTGCATGATCGAAGCGATCCTTCCATTTGCACTCGTGCTTGGGAGGAGTTAATGGGCGAAGAGATTGATGTTCTGGACATTCCAGGAGATCATTTCACTCCGTTTGAGAAGGAGAATATTGACGGTACGGCGGATGGTATACGCAAAGCATGCCGTATGCTGGAGGAAGGACAATAGAGCCACATTCAACATTGATGCGTTCAAGCGATTAGATCTACAGCGTTCACGCGCTTTTTTACAGCTTCTACCACATAGATTACAACGAAGTTCGACATCTTACCCATTCGATAATTGGTCTGGTGGACGACTTCGCTTTGGAATTCTAGACTTTTGATACTTGCCATCTGTACTCGTCCCGAGCACGCCATGTATCGTTTGCATGCTGATCACGGCATATTCGGTAAACTGTAGCCAAAGTAATGGTACGTGCCAAACTCAAATGTGCTGCACAGTGCAGATCATGACGAGAGTTCGAGAGCTGCCGTTTCAGGCAAGCGTTTGACGATCTTTGACTTGCCACGTTCGCGATTTGACATTCGCCGCCAGGGTGGACTTCTCATTGCTCGTAGATCTGGATTGCAGGCTTGCAGCGCGATACAACACATGCAGCACGGCATATTCACTTTGTGTTGCCGCTCTTTCAATGGCAATTGGCAGTGTCGCAGGGACTGACGCTTCAAAGAAGTAGATGGCATTCCTGGAAAAGACACAATTGACCAAGAATCCATGAAGAGCTATCGAACTTTGTCGTCTCTGGAACACAGTTCAATTGGCACGAACCTCACAGAATACACGTCGACAAAATGGATCTCAGCTTCCTGTACGAGGCCACTCTGGTGCAAATCATTGTAGCCGCATTCACAGCCTACATAGTCCTCGGAAGCATATACAGGCTCTATATCCATCCCCTCAGTCAAATCCCGGGGCCGAAACTCGCAGCACTTACCTGGTGGTACGAAGTCTACTACGATGTGATCCAACCTGGACAATACAACTTCAAGATCCAGAAACTCCACAAAAAATATGGCCCTATTCTGCGAGTCAATCCCGAAGAAGTACACATTGGAGATCCGGACTTCTTAGGAGAAATCTACAATGCTCGGAAACGCGATAAACCACCAGAGCCCAGCTTAGATATTGCAGGCTCGGTTGCTGGAACAGATGATTGGGACTTGCATAAGAAGCGGAGGCAGGCGATGACGAGTTTCTTTAGTCCGAAGGCTGTCAGAGAGCTGGAGCCACTGCTTGCGAGGAAGAGGGACAAGCTGGTGAAAGTGGTTGAGAAGAAGGCAAAGGATGACAATGCAGTTCCGTTGAACCTTTCGGACCTGTATTTCGCATACTGCTGGGATCTGATTCAGGAATATGCTTTCGCTTTCGACTCTACAGTTCTGCGAGACGATCTGAGCGAGGCTGCACAATTGCGAGCAAATTCCCAAGATTTGCTATTGCAAGTCAACTTCACTCGGCATTTTGGCTGGATCAACTCCTTAGCAGCGTACCTTCCGGCCAGCATCGGAGAGAAGTTGATACCGCCCGGAGTCATGGACCTCAAGCGGGTGGCGGCTCGAGTTGCAAAGACTGTACAGTCCGTGGTGCAGGACAAAACGACCACCAAAGAAGAGATACAAAACTCGAATCAGCATCGAAGCATCTTCTACACGATCCGAGATGATGAGCAATTGCCAGATGTCGAGAAGGAACCACTTCGGCTGAGCCGAGAAGGCAACTTTCTTGTCGTAGCAGCCAGCGACTCACCGGCGCGGGCCATTCATATCACACATTTCTATCTCATGTATGAGCCCAAGTGCATGCAGAAGCTGCGAGATGAGTTGCGTCCTTTGGGCCCGACTCCCAGCATGGAGCAGTTGACGGAACTGCCTTACCTGAACGCAGTCTTCCTCGAAGGAACACGACTCATGTTCGGCCTAGCCAGGAGAATATTTCGCGTGGCTCCTGACGACCCAATCGTGTATGGCAAGTACGTTATACCGGCAGGAATCAATGTTGCGACGTCTACGTACTGTGTGCACAGCGATGAGAGAATTTTTCCCGAACCGTTCAAGTTCAGACCCGAGAGATGGCTAGGGTCGAATGCCAAAGAACTCCGCAGCAAGTATCATATGACGTTTGGTTCAAAGAGTCCGCGATCTTGTTTGGGAATACATCTTGCAGAGGCGGAAATGAAGTTTGCGATAGCAGCAGTCGTCCGGTTCGAGATGGAGTTGTTCGAGACCGGATTGAAGGATGTGGAGTACAGGCATGACTTTCAAATGGCTCATGGCGACCTCAATAGCAAAGGTGTTCGGGCTATAGTCAAGAATAGCCTCTGGTGAGTGTCAGCATATTGGAAGCCATCGTTGCTTGTCGAATTTGCTGGATTTTTGGAGAAAGCAGAGTTGGACTACACTTCGTCCCGTATCTCAAGCAATGATCTGATACGAAGACGTTCGTAGTATGGGCAACGGGCCCAGATGCTGCAAAGCCAAATCAGACTCATCGTGGCTGTCAACTTCTCGCCAAGATTTCCTTTATGCATCATTCCAAGGCACGTTGTAATCGTATCCTAGGAATGCCATGCGGAAATCGAGGTGTTTACGTCCTGTGAACATAGGGTCAAACCCAAGGTTCTCTCGAGCTGCCGCCATCTGTCTCCTCGTTTCATCAAGACTCACGTCATCTGCGTGACGATCGTCAAGCATTTCCAGAATGTGGAAACCAGCAAATTTTACCTTGATGAGCTGTGGGAAGTCTCCCTGGGCAAGAGCGAGAGCGACTTCTCTCAGGAAACATGCGTTAATCCAAGTGTACCAGGGCTGTCTTCGCTTGGACGAACCTGTTCCACAACCAGATGATAATTGCGGAAAGTAGGTCTCTTCGGATTCACCCACAACAATTTCGAGACATTTCAATGTCCTCTGTGTCATCATAATGAGTTTCTTCGCGTCGTCGAACATTGTATGGAAATTGCGAACATCCAAATTCATTTCGCACACGGGTAACTTGATCTTCAGATGCGCCAGTCTCTCTAGAGGGCGAGTTCGGAGCAGACGTATCGTATACCACATTGGACCGGTAAATGTGAATATTTCGCCAGCTTGTTGACACTGAAACATCATCTCGTCCACTTTAGTTGTCTCCAGTTTGGTGACGGCTGGACCAGCCTGATCTTCCGCGACTTCGAAGTGCATCGGCAAGCCACCTGGCATGGAGCCTTCGTCCCGCAGACAGTCGAATTGGAATCGGAGCAGCTGCTTGGGATCCAGAGCGGTGATGATTGCGCTAGCGAGGCCACGATGCATCCAACCGACCAGACACAGCTCTGTCACCGCAGGGAAGAGCTTGGCAGGATTGTCGCGAACAATGCTGGCGACAGCTACATGATGCAGAGAGGCGAGATCAAGATCGCGCACATTCGTCATTCGACTGAAGGTATTCCACGTTTCCGCTTCAATAGATTGCATGATCTTCTGGCTAAGGGCACCGGCGTCTTTGTTTCCGCTCGTTTTCGCCACAAGCTCCTCGATCTCACCCCACACCAATGTCCATGTAAACCTCCTCACATAATGGGCCAGCTCAGGTCGATCCTTTAAAAGATGCAGAAATGCATGCTGTCGTGGGACTAAGTTTTCGGGTCAATAGTCCCCATCGTAGTCCGCGTAAGCCTCTTGCACCATTATGTTATCGTGCTCCGGGACTCGGCCATTGTTGTGCGAGCTGATATCCACTTCTCTGAGCAGAAAGGGAAGAGATAACCGTCTAAAGTCGCGGCAGGCGAGCCCGATGGTACAAAGGGTTCGTGTGTCTCCGGTGAGCTGCTCGAACAACAGCAGCAGGACATCGAGAGGAATTCCTTGTATTCGTGAGGGCTCGATCTCGCCTGTCGTAACTTCTTTGGATGGATCGCACATATTCACTGCATTTGTGAGATTTGCTTTCTGACAGTGGATTGTAAGTTGGCCGATGTTGGTGGGAAGCAAAAGGTCATGGCGGAAGGGCGCTTAGAAGTGAGGCACAGCATGCCAAGACATCTGCGCCGCAAGTTGTGCTTCAAATGCTGGCAGTAAGAGGGCCGTGAGCGAACTGGTAAGGACCTGGATGGAGGCCTTCCGATGGTAGGTAGAGTAATTCAAGGGTATCGAATGGCAGCTAACACATGTGCAATGCGCATATCGACATGCCGTCGCCCGTTCTACTTCTGCTTGAACCGCGTGCATTGCCGGAGTTCGTGCGATGACAGTCAGTGGCGTCGACATGTTGCAGGTTGCTTCGAGGACATGGCAAATATGAAAGGAGAAACAGAGGTGTCGATGCTAGACAGAAGTGTTGTTGTCATGCAGAGGTCTCAAGTTGAGATTCGGAGGCTTTGTCCAGGACAAGTCTTGGCGGACCGCAACTTCCGGCTGTCTTCCAATGCAGAGACCAGACATCACAAAACCAGCGAGGACCTGTCTCATCTGGGCAACATGCGGGGCTCAGACCACTGTGCTGAGCAAACCACAACAGACCCTTGATGTATTGATCGGGCTGACATTGAACATCATAACTTCATTCCATTACATACAACATATCAATACATCAACATCATTTCTCCGGCGGCAGCTGTGCCGTCGGCATATAGGTTACAAACCCGACCTCCTTCTCACACACATTCGGGCCCGTCTTATCACCCAGCGTACTATCACTCAGAGTCTTCTTCCTCAAAAGCTTTGTAGGTGAAGGGATCATATCCCTATAGCCAGGAGCGAACAACCCGCTATCACGTTCCTTTTCGTTGGCCGACATCATTTCAAATGACGGCATTTGTCGACTATCGTTAGTGGTCCATGGTCCGCTGCGCCAGCAGCGTTGAATGAGCCCGGCCATGGAGGGCATGCAGCAGCAAATCATGCTGCAGTATACCTCGATCTGGAAAGATGTGTCAGTAAACTGGTTTGGAAATGGGAATGGTGGCGCTCGCTTACCAGGCTCCACAATCCTGCATCCACATAGTCCCAAGTAATATTCCTTCCGGTATACAGTCCGTCCAGGCGGGTCAAGCGAATGAGACTACATACTGTGGCAATCAGGCCAACAAGAAAGCAGGAGCAAATTCTGTGACTTGTCAGCTACGTCCCACACATTGAGCACTCGAATTTGACTCACCCAATCTTTTGCCTCGTAGAGACATTGAGCTGAAGTAGTCTGGGAATGGGAAGAACAATGACGATGAAGTCAAATGTGGCGTTCAATGCGCCATAGGCAATTCCAGCATCCACTCTGTGGGTGCATGTTCCCATGGCCTCGTCCGCATATCTCCAGGAATTGCGAATGGGATGGCAAGCGAATATAATTGAGAAGATGCAAGCCAGAGCTGTCGCGACCAGTGCTGCTGCTATCGTCCAGCAGATGATGCGGAAGCGAGATCTGCAGCCAGGTTCGGAGGGCCAGATGCGGAGATAGAGAACCACGAGGGACAATTTCGTAAAGAATACCGCAGCCAGGTATATGGGAAGTACGGCCCAGAACCACTGCAGTAATACGATTCGTCAGCATGCGTCAAGGTTTGGACACTCTGTAGCCTTTTCTTGGGAAAAGTATGTCGCGTCTTAGGTGTTGGCCGACTAACCTTCGCGACTGCCATAACGTTCTCAACGGGCAACATCCACGAGTCTCTTCCACTTCCATAGTCTACGAGGCGAATCGCAACGATGGTAATGCCCACGACGGGAATATAGCAAGCCAAGACGATGCCTGCGCGCCTGGTGTCAGCCCATGTCGTTCGTTACTGCCTTAGCTTATCCGACCTACCATCGTCCCAGCTCAGACCAGCGCCAGATAAGCGTGGCCAGCGCGACAAAAAGCGCGCTATCAAGAATAATGTCGTAATTGTGAACAGTGACACTGCTGTCGCCAGCAGCACTGGCCCTCTATTCCGGTCGCGTGGATAGTCACAACCGAGAGCCTGGAACTTGAGGCCTTCGAGTGCCTCTGCCAGCGTCGGACATTCTTCGAGCACGCATTTCGACAATTTGTCCGCAAGAGGTCCAGAAGACGCGCAATAACAATCGGTGGGCAACAGGGTCGTCTCGTCAAGCAGTGTACAATTGTACTCGGGTAGGATCCGTTGCGCGCATGCTGGAACGCAGGGTGGGAGTTCGAGGGCGGCCGTGAGGTTCCATGATCTGCTGGCCTGTGCTGTTACGACAAAGAACACCAGCAGGTCATAGGCAAGCCGCATTGTGTACTGATGGAGGCATGACCTGCCTGCGATAGGAGAATGGAGCACAAGAGGATGAGGAGTGGCACTCGGTGGTTTATGCATGCTAGACTGCCATTAGCTTTGCCGTTGTTGCGTACTCCGCACAGGATTTGGTGGCTTCGCGTCCTAATGTGAGATTGCAGACTAATAAATTGTAAGCTTCGTGCGCAGGGCGAGATGGCCTGCAGTAGTTGCACCGCGACGAGAAGTGATCGACACGCTCATGCTGCTGTCTCCCACGGCAAACGCGATGCTGACACGCGATGCTGACACGCGATGCGAACGCGACTGCTCCCGAACGACACGGCATACCGGTCGCGTTTTGCAAACACAGCGGAGGACGTTGCAGACTCTCATAAAACGAGTCGTTCGGTGGCAGATGGCGTTCCAGTGTTGGCTTGGAGAACTCGGCCCTTGACGCGGCCCGTACGGGGAAGCGTGCACTGTGCATGCAAGCGTCAGGGCGGCGTCGCGGCGCGCCACGAATGGCAGTCAGGTACCAGGCACCTCCAGGGGCAACAGTGTGAGTGCGCTCGCTCTTCTCATCAACACGTTGGCCGCACCGTGATGTCGGCACAGTCTGCCGTCTGACTGCCGACTTTACACCCAGAGCAAAAGAGCCGCCTTGAACTGATCTGGTCGAGAGTCACGAGACCGTCAAACTCTCGCAGAGCAGTCTCGTCGCGCGGTGCTGCAGGCCAGCAGAAAAGATGTCGTCGATCTCTCAGCAGCCCAACACCATTCCCCGCCGGCACTGGACACTACCCTGCAGCTGTTCATCTACGGCAACTGTAACTTAACGGCAATGTTGCCAAGAACTCACTCCTGACACGATGTGTTTCGCGTGTTCCTGGACTGACACATCACATATTTTATGATCGTGCACATACAACACTGCGACAAACGATTGCCCTGTGCAGAACGCACAGATGGGAGAGCATCATGTTGATGCAGCAGCGCTGACTCTTTCAGATCTATACTGTTGCGGTGCCACGATTTCCGCATCATCAGCGGATTTGCATGTGGATCCTCGGATTTGTGATATATCCACTTTGCTCACGAGGCGACTCCGCGTCTTCGCCTGCGCAAGGCATCGAATGCTCGACCGAATGCGGCTCAAGTGCCTGGGCGACTGCCTCCGCACAAGCTGTCCTGACGTCCATTCGGCTTATGACTGGCTACTTTTCCATTTCCGAATCGGATAAATTGCCGTCCTCTGGAGAACATTCTAAGCACGACATCGGCGCTGTATCGGCAGACCCATGGGGGCATCTGCAATCGCCAACAAGGTAGCTAAAGCCATGGAGGGGCTGTGAAGACAATTGCCCGCCATTCGGCCTTTGAAACTCTTTTATTACTATTTCCTAACCATACTGCCCACCATTCTCGCATTCTCCAACTTTTACTCACTCGCACGCTTCTCAAAATGCCCATCCCAGATCACTTTGTACTCAACACCGGCGCCAAAATTCCAGCTGTCGGCTTTGGAACATGGCAGGCTGCCCCACATGAGGTACAACTTCAGAAACGTAGCCTTTGGAATTGCAGTCACTGACTCAAATATCGCAGGTTGAGAATGCTGTGGAAGAGGCACTGAAGCAAGGCTACCGCCACATCGATGGAGCAGCAATCTATCAGAATGAGAATGAAGTCGGAGCTGGTATCAAGAAGTCTGGTGTGCCCAGAGAGCAAATATTCTTGACAGGAAAGCTTTGGAACAGCAAGCACAGACCCGAAGATGTGGAAGCTGCATTGGACAAGTCTTTGAAGGACTACGGCACAGATTATCTCGACTTGTACCTCATGCACTGGCCAGTGTGAGTATCCACCTATGCGATGTGATTGACAGCGACTGATCATGAGCAGTGCTTTCAAGGCAGGCGACAAGTTCTTCCCAATCGACGAGCAAGGTGTTTTCCAGATTGATGAGGAGTACCAAACAGATGACAAGCTCGCCGAGACCTACAACGCCATGGTGAAGCTGCTCTCGACCGGCAAGGTCAAGGCAGTCGGTGTCTCAAACTTCAACAAGCGCCGTCTTGAACACCTTCTCGCCAGAACCGACGTCGTCCCCGCAGTCAACCAAATCGAAGCCCACCCATACATCCAACAACCCGAGCTTTTCGAGTACGCCAAGTCAAAAGGCATCATCATTGAGGCGTACTCGCCTCTGGGCAACAACCAAACCGGCGAGCCACGAACCGTTGACGACCCGAAGGTGCACGAGATCGCTAAGGCCCTCGAGATGGACCCTGGTGCTGTGCTCGCTGCCTGGGCTGTGCAGAGAGGCCAGGTTGTGCTGCCAAAGTCTGTAACTCCTTCAAGAATCGCCGCGAACTTGAAGATCAAGGAGCTGCCACAAGAACACTTCGAGGCATTGAATGCTTTGGAGAGGGGCAAGCGCTTCAACTACCCCAAGCACTGGGGCGTGGACATCTTCGAAGAGGGCAAGGGCGAGGACTTCAAGAAGTTTGCGCAGGATGCCGCTGAGGCCAACAAGAAGAAGTTCAAGAACTAGATTGCAGAACTCTACATTGCAAGAGGCTAATAGACACAGAACCAAAATAGATGTCTCGTCATGATTGCATGAATCCATCACAGATACTAATCTCATCGACTCAACGAAGGAGCAAAACTGATGCCTCTCGTTGGTTCCTGAGCTCAGTGTTACTGAATCAAATCTGCCCTTCAAATCACCAAACAATTAGTTGAAGGGTTGCAAACTCTACAGCCAAGCCTCATGCCAGTTCAAGCCTTCCGCCTCGTTTAGCGTCCAACCTGAGGCGCAGTTCGCAACGACACCTCACACATGCGCGTAGCACAGAGTATATCGTCTAATTTTAGAGAGAAAGGCGGTGTTGGAAAGATCGTATATAGAATGCATGTTCGGACGTTGATTGAGATTCTGAAAAATTCACATCGTTGCAATACTTTCAAGAAACAGTCGTCGGTCTGGTCAGTACCTATCTTTCTCATTGATCAAAGGCAGCGGAGAAGAAAGGATGCGTGTTCTGGAGTTCCTGCATAACTGTTTGGAGATCAGAGATACCATCAAGTGCCATGTGAGACATGGGAGGTTTGGGAAGAGGAGAGGTTCGAGGATGTAAGAGATCCAGAGCAGGCCGTTGAATGATGATCAAGAAGGACTGGAATACACCAGAGGATATCGAAATGTCTATTGAGAGGCAGTGATATGGAGGATACCAAGCCTATGCATCTACCGATTCCCGGGACGCCACGAACGGAACGCTTTACAAGCTGCCGACGCTCTTCAAGTACTTCACAAACTTCTCCACAAGGTTCCTATCAACGACGCCAGCCTCCTTCAGCGCAGGCGAAAGGGTCCTCGCATTCTCTGTGGAGTACTCTAGCCCAGGTCTCTTCGCCTCGGTATCATACTTCCCAGCAAAGAAGTCAACAAGCTTGATCGGAGGGTTCTTCTCTGGATCTGGCTCGCTTTCTCTTAGCCTCTTGATCCACTCTCTTTGTCCTACAGCCTCAAACTCCACTCCGGCCTCCTTCAAGAGCGGCAAAAGGTCTTCAGTCCAATGAACCGTCTTCGGATTCACAATGTTCGTGAAGGAAGCAGAGCCTGAGGGCTCCTCAGAAGTCGCCAAACTGATGTCAATAAAGCCTTGCGCCACTGTATCGACGGGCAACCAAGCGGGCCTCTCATCCAGAGCAGGCAAAACTCCGACTGTTTTCGCCGTTTGAAATATCATCGGAATTGCTTCTGTAGAGTTCCAGATTCCACGTTCCGTATCTCCTATCACTTGTCCCACGCGAAGGACCCTCGCCTTGATGCCGGCAGCCTTCGCTGCTCGGTCACAGATGTTCTCTGCCACGAGTTTCGATTGTGCATAGCCCATGCCCTGCGCACAGGCGTAAGATTCGGGAAGAGTCTCGGGCACGAAGCCACCAGGAGTGCGGACTGTGGCGCTGACCGAGGAGCAGTAGTTGAAGGTTGCCGGCTGGGGACGTTGGGACTTCAGACAGAGGTTGATGAGGTTTTGAACGCCTCCAAGACAGTCGGCGCTGAAACTTTGCAGATTCTTGTTGAAGTTGACGGACCAGGCGAGGTGAAGGGTGTGTGTGACATCGGATGCAATGGAGGTGTATTGTTCTTCTGTGAGACCGAGAGTGGTGGAGCTGAAGTCTGATGGGAGACAAACGATTCTCTCTTGCCAGGTTTGCGATGATATGGTGTTGTGAAGTTGTCGGGCTTGAAGAGATTCTTGGACACGGGTTTGTGCGGCAGATAGCGAGGATGCTCGAACGAGACAATATATCTTCCTCACTGTGTCTTTGTTTGCGAGGCGTGAGACGACATGCGCTCCGAGGGATCCAGTTGCTCCTGTAACCACGATGTAGTCGCCATCCCATTCGCGTTGTACGGGCTTATGGGTCTCAAATGAGCTGTACTCCTCCACCAATGCGGCCATCTGATCTTCGATGCTTATTTTCTGTGTTTGTGATTCGCCAGACTGTAGTCGAAGAAGCTCGTTGGCCATCTGCTCAAGCGTGGGAAAGTCGAAGACAAAGTTTCTCCCAAGTTCCGCGCCTCCTAAATCCAGAGTCTTGACAATGACACTTCGGATCTGAATCGATTGCAAAGAGTCAATGCCCAAGCTGAAGAGATCCGTATCGTCTTCAAAGTTGACTTCGATCCTCAACCTCGAAGTGACCTCCTTGCGCAGCAAAGCTAACAGCTCTTGTCGTTCCAGTTTCAAAGACCCTTTAGCTTCTTCCACGTACATATCATCGATCTGCTTCGCAAAGTCCCGGTAGAATGCAGCTCGAATCACAGTGCCTTTGTCCGTCTTCCGGTACTCCGTGTCTGCTGGCAGAACTCGAACCACGTCTCGTGATAGTTGACCGTATGCTGGCAGCGAGAGATTTCCTTCTTCGATAGCAGGCATGACAGAGTTGATGATGTCCTCATCAGAGAGGTCGCTCTCGGTCTTTCGAATGATGAACGCTCCAAGCTGCGACTTTCCAGCACCGAAAACGATGGCTTCCGCCACATTCCGGTTGTGTCTCAATATGCCTTCCACTAACAGAGGGTTTGCCTTCTCGCCATTCTCCAGCACAATCGTATCGTCCAGCCGTGCGTAGTATCTCCAAGTGTTCTCCATTGTAGGGTGTTTCTCGAAAAGATCCTTGGTCGCATACGAACCATCATCACGATTCGTCGCCACTTTCGATGGCCAGCCTTTCTTGACGCAGAGTTCCCACAGTCCTGGACCTCTTTCTTCCATACTCAAGAATTGCAGCAGGTACTCTGGAACGCGGAGCCAATCCCACTGCTTGTCATTGTCGAAGTCACGGAACGAAGTCATGAGCTGCCCAACTTCGGTTGCGCCATAATGTCCCACGAGACGGACGCCGTTGGCAACCAGACTGTCGCCCACAGGTTTTGGGCATGCGGACCCGCCGAACATGACAATGTCCAATCGGCTCAACAGTCGACATCCTTCCTCTGTTTCGGCAAGAAGCTTGAGAGCATACGGGACTCCGTACAATATCTTGATGTCGGGGTGCTCCCGCAGGGTGGCGAGAAGATGCTGGGAAGCTAAGGGTAGTCGTGCGTTGTACAAGTAAATCTTCTTGCGAGCGTAGACTCCGCGAAAGGTGCAGGCGATGCCATGATTGTGGTATAGCGGGAGAGTGATGTGGCCGACAAGACCGAAGCTCCCTGAATATGTGTACAGCGATGCCTTGTGTGTTTGGAAGATGGGCTTTGGAAGACCGGTGGAACCACTCGAGTGGATGATGAAAGATTGATTGTGAGTCTCTTGATCAAGGTCAAGGTAAGCCTGCGGCAATCGTGCTGATTGACCTTGTAGTGTTCTGCTGTCGAGAATATTGGCGAGCTTGAGAGCCGGGATGTTGGCCTTGATCGATGCTGCTGCCGGAGCGTATGAAGGATGAATGATCAAAGTTGTCGCTTTGCAAGAGTTGATGAGATGCTCGCACGCTTCTCCAGTGATTCTCGTCGAGAGCAGAAGTGCTGTGTGGCCAAGCCGAGATATTGCGAGGAATGAAATGAGGTACCCAAGATCTGAGTCGCCAAGAAATGCGATTGTTTGGACAGGGTCACTTGACTTTAGTCGCTGCTTTACTGTCGTTGCGTAAACACATGCTGCTTGCTCGATCAGATGATCGATGTCTTTGATCGAATAGTCGATGTACTGTGTGCCCTCGTTGGGATAGCTGATTATCGGGTCGTCGCTGCCTTTTTGGAGAGTCCGAAGTTTAATCAATTCGTCAACTGTTCTTGGGGTAGCATCCTCTAACACTGGAGCTTTGATCTCCTCATTTGAAATGCTGACAGCGCTCTTGCTTGTGCTCTGGTGGATTTGTGGTTGCTTCAAGACTTGTGCCGCCATGATGCTGTATCAAACGAGTGAATACTCTTGGCTTTTGCTGAGCATGTACAAGGTCGAACTATAATGCTATCGCGATGCTTTTCGTCCCCAGACACAATCTGCTTTGGGTCTATATGGAAGATTGTGGGGGCGGGAGGGAGTGTTGCGTGGCGCTGGGCCGGCATATGGCGGTATCGGGTGTGCGGATAAAGATTGCTTTTCCGCTGCCGCTTGCGGATTTTCCTCCAATTGTGAGGAGCTGTTGTGGGTCGTTCATGCTGCCCCAACTTCACATCCCCCGCATTGTTCATGCCGTGTGGCGGATCTTGACAATCATTCGGTGTTGTACGAGACACAGTGCTGTTCGTGCTCTGGGAGCCACTCTGCTCAGTACCGAGTATCCTGTGTCGTGAACAGCCATCGGTTTGAACACTCTCACGAGCTGCTTTTCCATCCTGCACGATCTATCATGAAGAATCCTCGCTCGTGATCATTCTCCGACGCAGCACACATTTGAAGGCATTGTGGAGCAAGCGACGTCCTGCATGCACGTGTTCCTCTTGCGCAATGCTGGGGCAGTCTTTTTCATCCACGAAGTGAGCGGTGCGATGTGTTCAATGCTCGTTCGTGCGGAGTTGGATTGGTGATTCGATTCGGTAGGAAGGCGGAAAAGGAAGTGTTCATGGAGTGACCAAAGGGAAACTGTGATCATTGCTTCACTGCGATGTCAGTTTCGCTTGTGATTGACCTATATCCGGGCTGCGCGTGCTCTGAGCACGCTCGTAGCCAATACTGCGCCTAGGCATTTGGTGACCAGGTTGACAACGCTGGGACTGAAGATGGTGAAGGGAAGTTCGGGCAGTGTAGAATGTGGAAGGAGTGTCCTTACCAGGCCGACCTACCTCTGACTCCTTCAGGCATCATGACTGAGTCTCTTATAGTGTTGCCGTGACACCTCGTGTACTTTGTCTAGTGCTGGCCTCGACATCTGGAACCTGTAGTGACCTGTCTCCTTCTCTGACAGGCGGATGCCGCGTTGCGTTGTGGCAGCTCAAGGTATGGCGTACTGCGGCTTGGTGGTTCGCGGCGCTGTTGGAGGGGGTCTGGCGCTCGGGTCATCTGCGAGAATCAAGTGCAAGTGCAAGTTGCCGCGGTTGGGAGTCGCGATGGTGCGCGGCTTCGAGAACAGTTTTGCCCGCAGCCGTAGGATGGAGGTCGACAACGCCTGCTGGGTGCTTTGAGGCAACTGCTGTCAATCGAGGGTAGGCGTCCATTGAGCTGACGGACTCGCAATGGCCATCGACCAGTCACATTGAGAGCGAGGAGTCGTGAGATGGCGAACTGAAGGTCTGCGAAGCTCTGTCGTCCCTGCTGGTCTACCTGGCGTGTTTGCACGCCAAAGAGGTGCACCTGCGGTATTGCAGGCTCATCCACTGGCAGCGTCATGGGCGAGACTTTCGGTGAAACGAATGCAGCAGGTTCTTCACGACCGTAAATGTCAGAACCGGCTGGAGGCAACGAGTAAGATGAAACGAGGAGCGCCTTGCACCATCGCGTGCGGTGGTTCGGCAATCTGGTGGTGAAGGCAGCCGTGCAATCACTGCCTCTCGAGGCCCGCCATTCCTCATCGGCAGGATTCCCTTCATCATATCCATGATCGGAAGGTTTGGAATTGTTACCACCCCACTGTGGCGCTTCACGAGTCTTCGCCCTCGCTCACGAAGGGGCAGAGATTTTTCTAGGAAATTCTCTGGCCCCAACAGCGCTCGAGAGTGCTCCCGAAGATACTCGGACCCTCTCACATGGTTGGCACTGACGAAACGCCCAGAGCACCCTCAGGCAACACGTTTGTGTAGATGAGCGCTATTGGCTGAGAACTTGTTGATCTCACTAGCGCGTTCTCGCCATCGCCTCCGCTATAAGTACCCGCCCCTCTTCATCAAACTTCTTCTTTTCTCTTCATGCGACCCTTCCCATCGCATCAAGTCTCCGTCTGCCCAGGTGACTGGGTGGGCCTCGAAGCACTGAGCTCATGAATCCGGTGCCTCGAGAGGAGTGTCGCTTGAGGCCTTGCCAACCTCAAGGGGCCCTCTGAGGCAAAATTTTTGATGTCAGCTCGTCGCCGCTCGCTTGCTTTCTTGGTTGCTCCTTTGGTTGCTAGCAGCTAGCAGCTCGCGGTCGACTCAAAACTCTTTCATTGCTCAGTCGCCAGTAGGCCGCTGCTCAAAGAAGGGGCCTTCGAAGATCTCATTACCAGTCTGATTCAGGAACATGTAAGAATGTGCTCATGGCCGCGAGAGCGCCCAGTCGCGCACCATGCGCATCATGCGCACCTGACGACAAGGCAAGCTACGTCGGTTCAGTCATCAGCAGCTGCTCATCACGGGCAGAATCGACTGAGCGCTGTCTTGCGCCCATGCATGAGGCGGTGCATGATCCTACTGGTGACGGCACACATAGAGTCCTCACCACCACAAGTCGGCTGTACTGCTCGCCGGCAGCGTTCCTTCGCAGGCTCGCGCTCATGGAGCACCTGATGTACCTGTGTCTTTGTGGCATGCCTTGAACTCCTCCAGCTTGCAACCTCGAAGGCACGGGAAGCTATTGGGGTCTTCGGACGTCCAGGACAGCTCCAGCGCCACACAATCATTGCACAGCACCCAGACTGAGCCTCACTTGTCTGCCTGCCGTAGATGAACCGTACACAGCACCCTGAGGCAGCACAGTCGTGCGGGCGACCCCGTCGTTAGCGCGTTTCCGCTGTTGCTGGGGTACTTAAAGCCCTTTCTTCCTCGCTCAACTCTCTTCCTTTTCTCTCCAGCCGGCGCGCCAGCGCCGGTACCAGGACCCGACACCAGAGCCAGACTGCCAATGCCACGCCAGAGCCGCCTTTACCATTGCTCCATGCATGGTCATCGACGTCGTTCAGGTGCTGCACTAACAGTCTTCTGTTTGTCAGGTACTTGAGGAACACACTTTCTCGGGTGCTTTAGCATCGCGAGAGGAATCTTTGGAAACTCAAGGGTACTGCTGCCGAGCCTTTGCACTGTCGCCGGTATGCGCCCGATCATCTTTCATCATTGCCAACTGCAACATCGCAGGGGCTTGGAGAAAGGACTGCACGGCCATGGCCGACACTGTGACTGCGGCAAGGGTCGTGGTCGGGATTTCGACTGGCCGCACGCAGCGTGTGCCGCCATTCGAGAGCTGAAAAGAACTTGGCGAAGCTGTCGTCCAACGCGACGTTCAGCTGTCAGCCAAACCATCGACCCGCGCTTTACTCGACCACCAGATAGATGCACAAACCACACGAGCTTGTTCTCAGTGACTCTAAGATCCTCAACATTGCTCACTCTTGTTGCCAGCATGTGCGTGGCACAATAAATCGTTCATGAGGGCAAAGCTGGCACCCACGACTTCATCGACACCTTAGGCACTTGTGTTGTGATCCGCACACTAGCTCCTTGGCGAAATCAGGGCATAAAAAGTCACCTTCTGAGCTTGACCAACGACTTCTCTTTTTCTTTCGAAGGTCAGCCATTGCCAGAGCCAGAAGCTCCTGATCAAGTATTTGTTGTCTTTCAAGTCTGTTGGTCTACGGATCGGCAGCACTTGACAGCTTCGACTCTTTGGAAAACACAAGGATGCAGTCGGCCTTCGCACTGTCGCCGGCCTGCGTCCGCAACTTTTTTCTCATCGTGTATTCGCGGTCGTGGACCTGCGAGTGCTCGGAGAGGATCTAGATGCCCTTTGCGACTCATTACGCCTGCTGAGTACCGATTTATGCTGTCAGCGTCCGTAAAAATAGCCCGTCCTCATGTCAAAATTTTCGTCTGCCTGCAGCATGTGCCCGGCCCAAGCTTGTTTTGTCACTCAGGAGTTTGCTGTATAGCCTGTGAGCCAACCATGGCTAGCTCCAGCAGCTTCACGTTCATGTAGGATCGCATTGACAGCTTGTAAGCACGACATTGGCACAGATGATGATAAATTTGCCTTTATGTCCGAATCGTGACCGCCAATTACTTTGCGGGCGCCATGGTGTTTGTCGCATGGTTCACGACTCCCAATCTCAGGTTTTATTGACCGCCTCTGCCATCAAGACCGTAGTTCTGACCTTCCGAGGCCATCGATGCTGAGCCAGCGCCCGTTCAGGGGCTGCTGTGCATCTGAGAAGCGGCCAGCGCATCGTATAGCGGCGGTGGCGGCGGTGACAAAGACGATGATGGGACTGTCCGGGTGTCTAGTGCGGAGGTTCAACACGAGCGATGATGTCTCGAGCAGTCCCAATCGGTGCTGAGCATTACAGGTATTGCAGAACATGCTTCGACGGGCCTACCATGGCCGCGCAGAGATCGAGCGCTGGAGCTTGAGTGACCATCGCTGCGCCGCCAGTGCCTGGCCAGGTTTTTCTATCTGCCTTTGTAGCGGTCAGCGCAGAGCAAGGATGACCATGGCGCTCAATGCTGCCCGGAGGTCTGGTCCCGAGGCTGGCCTCGCGCGGTGTAGGTGGTTTCCCGGGCGGCATTGACTAACACTGATCATGACGGTCATCGCAGAGCAAGCTCGTAACGCCTGCCTCGGACGCCGAAGCTGGTGTTCAAGGCCTGAGAGGCCATTTCTCCGCTCCCATCGCCCATGGAGGTGTTGCGACCTGGCCGAGAGGCCGTCACAGGTGCGCATCACAACGACAACGATAACAAAAGGTTTCAGTTCCAGCAACTTGGAGAGCCGGCACCGAGGCTGTACACGCGCAATGGTATCTTGAGCGGCGTCATGCGACACTGACTATCATGGAGACCGCAGGAAAGGCTCTCAAAGCCTCTTCCGGCCGCCGAAACGTGATTTCGGAGCTTGGGGACGCATCTCCCTGCTTCCAGTGCTTACTGAGGGCCGCTGTCTGGCTGGACAGCGATCGACAAAGCGCATAGCGACGACGGCGATGATTGATGGGTTCCAAAGGCCCAGAGCGGAGGATGCGCACACGCAATGGTATCCTGAACGCCTCACCATAGCGCTGACAACCATGAGCGTTGCAGGACAGATCCCCTCGTTATGGCAACAGCGCTATTGCGGCTGACCATGGCACCACCGCCGAAGCGGGTAGGTTCTTCCTCATCGGCGGATCATGGCGATGATTCGATGGATGGTATCAGGGCTGGCGGCTATCGAGACCCATCACCACGGCGAACACCATCGCGGCGAGCACCACCACAGCGAAAACGATCGCGGCGACGAGGACCATACGCGCACGACGACCGCCATCGAACCCATCACTGCCATTGAGCGCAAACGAACTACAACGAAGGCTCCGCCAGCCTCGCGAACAAAACCAAAACTCCGTCCAACACGAGACCGCCGGCCAATATGCGTCCGCCAGCACCACGATCGCCCCTTCCGGCCCATAGAGACGTTGCGCACC